GGTCTACCTGTCCCTTTAACAAATCTAGTACTGCCCTTAGATGGTCCTAATATTAGGCCTTAGGTCCAAAGTTGTGAAAGTGGGATGCACAAAAGTCTAAAAACATTCCGGATGTACAAAAAATAACAAAGTGTGATACACTCTTGTCTTTATAAATTCTGAATATATAGAATACGGTGGTATAAGCATTTACCATCCGACTGTATAAAAAAATGGCATACTCCAAGAACAATTAAACATTTTTGAAATCAAGTTTTGAAATCAAGTAGAGGGAATACCTGAAGAATTTAAGTGCACAATGTGATAAGCTGATGATATGTTTTATATTGTACACCAAGTCTTATCTTACTCTTACCATAACATCTTTAACATCTTCTCAAAGAACCTTTGTTCTTCAATAACTCGTCGACTTCGTGAAAACTCTATATGTTGATCTCATCCACAAATATGTGATGAGAACTGTAATGTATGTTGGTGCATGTTCTTTTAACCCTGTCTATTTACCACGTTTTGATTTCAATTATGTCATCAATTATTGATATGATATGTTATGTAGGTCTACATGTTTAGGGATATGTTTTCAAAAGCTTGATAGACGATCACAGATTTACGACAAATCAATACAGCTCAACATCATGCGCTTACAATTCTTGCCATTGAAGAGATATCGTGGATTGGAGTAAAACAACTAGTTAAGATATTCATGATCTGAAAATCGCCAACAAACAGGTATATCTGAATTTTCCATGACAAACTTCAATCTTTCAGATAATAATGGGCGAAATAGGGGTCGAAATGTTTATAGTTTTATCGTCCGATTAAAAAGATATTGAAACACTTTTCAGTCAAAAGGTTCAAAATACAGCTTAAACTGCACGTAACAAATCAGTGAAATACTGCTGTTAGTAGATCAAAAAACACGTGGTTTTAATATTTTAAGTCAAGTTTCAGGCATCAAAGGTTTTTAAGTTTCTTACACCCGGGTGCAATAAGTTATAACAAACTTTTGAAAGTGAAGGTTGAAGATTTTAATTGGCATTATTATCACCTCATTATAAATGTGAACCAATATTCACAGCATATGGTAGTATATTTTACAGGGTGGTTATTACCTATTTAAAATACTGTCATAAAAAATGATTTCCTTCAGGGAAAGGCATATTCTAACGATTAAACTCCGTGTAAGCTGGTAGACAATGTAAATACTTTGTAAATATATTGTAGCAATAGCATTGAGCGTATAGAGGAACACAAAAAACAAAAGGTACCTCCCAAATTGATAATAAACTTTCGGAGTTCACAATACAACCAAAATCGACCAAACAGACTTGAAATGATCAAAAAAAACAAAAAAACATCATGGATAATTCAGAGTATATACAGAAGAATATTATATATACATGTACCATTACAATAAACCGTTGGAAAGTTGCCTGGTGGCCCCCTTACTCAGCCCTCGAATGGTTATTACAAACTTGTCCTTTATCAGAAAGATTACAATAAACTCACAACTATTCCTGTCCTTTTCAGAAAGATTATAATAAACTCATAACTATTCCTGTCCTTTTCAGAAAGATTATAATAAACTCACAACTATTCCTGTCCTTTTCAGAAAGATTATAATAAACTCACAACTATTCTTGTCCTTGTCAGAAAGATTACAATAAACTCACAACTATTCTTGTCCTTTTCAGAAAGATTACAATAAACTCACAACTATTCCTGTCCTTTTCAGAAAGATTACAATTAACTCACAACTATTCATGTCCTTTTCAGAAAGATTATAATAAACTCACAACTATTCCTGTCCTTTTCAGAAAGATTATAATAAACTCACAACTATTCCTGTCCTTTTCAGAAAGATTACAATAAACTCACAACTATTCCTGTCCTTTTCAGAACGATTACAATTAACTCACAACTATTCCTGTCCTTTTCAGAAAAATTACAATAAACTCACAACTATTCTTGTCCTTTTCAGAACGATTACAATTAACTCACAACTATTCCTGTCCTTTTCAGAAAGATTACAATAAACTCACAACTATTCCTGTCCTTTTCAGAAAGATTACAATAAACTCACAACTATTCCTGTCCTTTTCAGAAAAATTACAATAAACTCACAACTATTCTTGTCCTTTTCAGAAAGATTACACTAAACTCATAACTATTCCTGTCCTTTTCAGAAAGATTATAATAAACTCACAACTATTCCTGTCCTTTTCAGAAAGATTACACTAAACTCACAACTATTCCTGTCCTTTTCAGAAAGATTACAATAAACTCATAACTATTCCTGTCCTTTTCAGAAAGATTACAATAAACTCACAACTATTCCTGTCCTTTTCAGAAAGATTACAATAAACTCACAACTATTCCTGTCCTTTTCAGAAAGATTACAATAAACTCACAACTATTCCTGTCCTTTTCAGAAAGAAAAAACTGAAACTGCGACCCTTTTCAGCATTATTACAGTAAACTTGCAACGCCTTTGGTTCAGTGTTAAAGTCATAGAGTCAAATGGTGCAAGGGAGGAAACCCATTTCAAATATCAGATTGCCATAGCAGGAAGCCTTTACGTTTTATTTGTATATATAAAAATTCTATTAAAACGGAGGCTATACTCTAACAAATAGTAATAATTTGGAATTAAAAGAAAAATAATACCAGATGAATCATAGGAAGTTTTTAAGAGATGTTGAAATGTGAAAATCACGTCATAAGGGAGCTATGAAATGACACAAGAGGTTGATTACAAAATTACCAGTTACTCATTAGATGAATATCCACATGAATTATTTTTCAAAATTCTCTCCTCAACTGAAAAGCCATTAATCCATGTTAAATTTCACGATAGTAACTTGTGATAATTTCTCGCTCTTGGCCAATTAATCTTGAAGGAGCAAACGTTTTTGACAAATTCAAAGCTATAAATTATACACAACTCGCCGTTATATCAACGATTGATCATTTTCCAGTTTTTAAGAAAAAGATTCGCCACGTTTCAACTGATAAAATGAATTATTACTTTTTCTAACAAAAGTGACTTTTCTATCCACTGTCATATCTGTTAATAAGGTATGAGCTATGAGTGGGGTCGGGATTGGTGACGAGAGGGTTAGATTAGGGATGAAATTTGAGCCTTATCTTGAGGTTGATAATGGAGCTAAGATTATTCCATCACAAACAGACCAGCTGGGGTCTCCTAAAAAACCACATAACTCGTTCATCAAAAACCATAAAGACATTTCCTACTTTTCATTCTCTTCATTCTTTTTGAAAATTATTGATTTGGATGAAATTTATTTATTTGTTTATTTAACCACTTATGTTATATTTATTTGGAAGATTATCATATAATCCGAAATGTTTTCGTCAAGGTAGTCGATCCATTCGATAGAAACGAACTCAACCAGAACAAAGTTCACATCATTGTAACAATTTTTGTATCATATAAATATGACAAAATTTTTGTCTTATCGCACGATTAGGTAACGTAAATCGTCGATGTTTGGTCCCTATACTTTGGTCAAATTTAATTACTGTTTGCATTATTTACCTCTGTTTTTCATTTATATTTTCATTTCATAGTGTTTTTCTAAAGTTTTACTACATGCAATGACTTAGACGGTTTTAATGGACAAATTGCCTTTAGAACGAATAGTTATTTCCTGAATAATTTTGCCATTTATCAATACATGGGAGGTAACTCTGTTCTATGCTGTTTTTTAAAATAGAGTATACTACAGACTACAAACGCTGTATCTTAGTCAGTGGAGGTACTTATGTAGATGATTGGGTTGGTGTCCAAGTCAACACGAAATTTCAATCAAGTTGTCTAAATATAAGCTGTGATTATGTTGTGATTCTTAATAATGCCCTGAACTTTCTGTCTTTTGAAAATTGAACCATTGATGTCTTATATGTTGTAAGAAATGAAATACACTAGGAATTATTTACAGTCTGTAGTACACAATGTATAGTTGTGCCCCTTTAATTACAGGAAGACAAAAACTTAAACGGACAGATTCTAGATAATTCTAGACCACTCAGATTCGAAGGCTCAAATTTCGACGGTGAGCTGTGCACACTATTGACTGATTGGCTCAGCGATAAAAAAAAAAACGTTTCTGAGACTAAAGTATGATTAGTCAAAAATAAAATTGCACATCAGTCCCTGGGAGCATTGGATGTTTAACTTCTAGTATTGGTAATAAAATTGTCACTACTGATATTATTTGGAGACGACCAAGCAGTAGTTTCAATTAGAAAATAACTTGGAATATATAATATATGCTGCAGACATAGAGTTAGTCGATTGTAGATTTGACCATTATATCAAGGGATGTAACTTAGACTAATTTTATACAATTTGATATGATTTCATTTAGAGGCATCTATTACTGTACGGAAATTATGAAATGATAAAGTCATTAAGCAAATATGAAATGATAAAAGTTACATTCGACATATTTGACACCGATATTGCTTAAAAGTTTGCCAAAGAAAATATAGTCGAGACTCCGAATTAATAGTTTTTTTCTGCTTTCAGCACATAAAATAATAATGCCAATTTTGACGTGTTATTGTATCATGTAAGACCAAAAGTCGGCTTTGTAGATCAGTTGAGTGACCAGAGAACATTGTTATGGGAATTATTTTTTTTTTTTAGGATCACTCGAGTTATAACCCCTTTAAAATGACTGAACCCGTCATTATTTATTTCTTAGTATCGTTCCCTTAAACAGAAAATCTGGCAGTGGTTCATTTTATAGTAACAATCCCTTTAACATACTGAGAACTTGTAATTGTTATATTATTTAGTATTAATCCTTTTAAATTACTATCAATCTGTATGTTAATTTTGATATCCTGTCATTGTCCACTGTCGTATTCTTTTGTTCAATCCCTTGAATTTATTAAGAGGCATAGACTGATTACTCCATAGTAACATCCCTTTAACGTACTTTAGAACCTGTCTGAACACAACTAGCCTGAGTAAAATGTTAGTTAGAGGAAGTCATGTGACTAGTTGTTTGTATGAATAGTTTATGTTTATAGTAGAAGTCAGACTGTAGGTTAATCTAGGAGAGAGGTGATATATTCAATCAGATTTAACCTTTCTCATATTCTTACCTAACCCAGGAACCAACTTCAACAATGCCGGTAAGAATTAGAGTTTATATTAAACCGTCTGATTTACATATCGTATTGAAAGGTGTGTTCTGCATATACATTACCTGAGTAATATAACAGGTTCTATCAAATGAATTGGCATGCATATTCACAGTTAATATATGTTTTTCTAATAAATTATATATTACACGGTGAAGTATTTGATCACATGATGTAGATTTATGAGATATTTGTAAATTTTGAAAAGGATGTAACGATGATTTTTACAAGACTAATGCGTGGAAGGCGAAGAGGGGTCATATTTAACTTTTCCGAATCATTTTGCACTGAACAGCTATATAATGAATCTCTATATTCATATTCTTACCACAGAACACTGCATATAACTATACAGTGTATTCACTATATTCATGGTTTTCATGCCACTTGTATATACGTTTTGTGTGTAATCTTGCAGAGTAAGATCCGTTTCCTGTGTTAGTAAAAACCTAGTCACGAAAATGTAGCACGTTAACAGGAAAGTGGTGAATAATCTAAATATGATTTCATTTAAAACTGGTCTATTAACGTAGGCCTAACTTAGCCTATATAAAAAAAAAACCTTATGGTTTGTCTAAAAGTGGTTGTCCACATAAATTTTCTTTTTAAAAGGCGAACGACATTCAGAACACAAAATGATGAGTCAGGTTTTTTTTTAAAAAAAAACGTGGCTGAATGATATGTTGGCAATAAACAACTAAGCATAGTGTAATTGCTGCAAAGACCTTTAACGTACTCTTCTTCCCTATCTCTCAGTTACCCTAAACCACCCATCCCCATCCAACCAAAGGTGACGTTTCTATGAATCATTTCGAGGGAATAATTGCCCAGGGAGGCAAAGAATAAGAAATTTGAAACTGAAATGGCACTCCCCTCCCTCCACCCTCCCCAATAGATGTGTCACTGCCAACAAATACCAAAAATCCATTGGATCACAGAAATGGTGCGATGAACGGATTTCTGATAGCCACGCCCAGAAAGAATCTATTTGTTTTATTAGCGGGAAATCTCTGATAAGAAGGATTATCCCTGTATCTATGCCCAAAGGTATTTTTATCAAAAAAGGCGGATATCAGGTTATGATGTGTTGTTGAAGATTTCCTGATAATCTTTTGCTTTCTTATTCGTTATCTTCACTAAAAAACCAACATCGTATGTTAATGAATAAATAAACACAAAACGTATCATTAGTTTTACTGAACTTTGTATAAATGTATTATATTATCGTTATAATGCTACGCTACACATCAGATACTTATGTTAATCTGTTCACTAATGAGTAGGTGAATTAATCTATTCATAGATCTAAATGTATTGCTGTAATTACATTTATGAAACAGGTGGCCGATAATTCTAGGCTAAAAATATCAAAGTTTGACCTTTATCCTGGTAGTACTATAGATGAAATTCTCTGACAGTAGAAATGGTATGATTTTTTACATCCAACCAGAAGATCTATTTAAATTTTAAATGATTATTTGTTGACTAAGATTTATTTCAGATCAAATTGTAAATGCTACAGCATAAAGCATATACTTTCAGTATAATTGTAATCGTATTCCCTCTCTTCTGATTTAAGGGAACAATCGTTGGTAATGATGATTTCGATACTGCAGCAATTGTCGAGTGTCTTCGTAATTCCATGAAAGGTTTTGGTAAGTTAATGTTTGCTGACGAATTTGATTTCGAATTCATTTCATTGTATAAAGTAATTGAAATCACATTGCCTGTCAACATTTGCAGATGAGCACATCATGAGACTCCTTCTGCTTTAGTTGTTACTATGGGAGATATCTCTGGCTGTTACTTAAGAACAATTGGAAGCTGTGAAGCAGAAAGTGGTTGCTTTTCTCTAGGAAGGGACGAGAACTTCTCCAAGTCATTTCTGGTTTCTTGATTAGGTCAATATGAGAAATTTTGATCAGTTCTATCGAATGCAAACGCGTAGGAACAACCTTGGGACACAAACTGACAAGGAGCTTGCAACAATTACTAAAATAGTTACCTCATAAACGATTAAATTTGTCTTGCAGGAACGGATGAAGATCAGATTATAGCTACTATTGTCGGTCATACCAATGCTCAGAGACAGGAATTACGAGAAGCCTTCAAGGCAGCTTATGGAAAGGTATTTAAAATAACATTTTGATGACCAACAGATGCATTCTCACAACAGAATACTGTCATTATGTTGCCATATAATAATGTATATGATATCGTTTGAGTCATCAACAGAAAATGCTTGGATATAAAATAACAATGTTTCACGCCGTCTGGCGAATAACACAATGCTGTTATGTCTGGATCGGAGGAGATTTGGATCTTTCTATACAATCTGCACGCCATTTTAATCCAAATTTCAGGACCTAGTAGACGACCTAAAGTCTGAATTACGAGGAGACTTAGAAGAAGTAACAGTAGGTCTAATGACACCACCTCGAGTATATGACGCTCGTCAACTTCACTATGCCTTATCGGTAAGAATATCTCTTCTTATGTCTTCTTGTTTAAGATGTTTTGAAACAACCTGGATTCTCCAGTACCTATGCAGCGATCTGTCTTGCATCAGGTCAGTATTATTGCCGAAGTTCTACGGGGAGATTAAAGATCCACAATGTGAACGATGATGAAATGCAAGTCCACATTTGTCATTATTCCAGATAAACTAACAGCAAAAGGGTATCTATTGAAATTCATTTCCTCCAAACTCATGATCGCGGCACCAGAGTTAGCCTTACCCCTGATGTTTATATTTATCAGAAACTTAGTTTATATTGCATGTAATATGTTGTTTGTAGGGAGCCGGTACAGATGAGACGATATTAATAGAAATCATGGCAACTAGAAATAATGATGAAATAGCAGAAATTAAAGAAAAATACAAGGAAGGTAAATTTCAGTGAAAAATTTGTATATTTGGACAGCGTATATGACATGGTATATTGATATGGAACCATCATTCCTTCTGAACAAGGTTACTTGAACCATCATTGTCCTGGCAGGGTTCTGGAACCAACGCTGTCCAGACAAGGTCGTTTGTACCATCATCGTTACTTGTTGAATCACTGACCAAACAATGTTCCTTGTCCTTTGTACCATCATTGATCTAATGGGATTCCTTCTACCATCACTATTCAAACAAGGTTCCTTGTGCCATCACTGCCTAGATAAGGTCTGTACTATTACTGTAGAAAAGGGTTCTTGTACCATCACTGGACGGACAAAGTTCTTTGTACCATTACCGTAGAGACAAGGTTCCTTGAACCATCACTGTTTAAACATGTACCAAGTACATGTACCATTTATTTCAGAGTTTGAGAGTGAGCTAGAGGATGATCTGATGTCAGATACCGGTGGTTATTTTGGCAGATTGATGGTTTCTCTATGTTCCGGTGCACGAGATGAGAACCCAGATGTTGACTATGATAAAGCTATTGAAGATGCAAAAGCTTTTCACGAGGTTTGTTGAATTTTACTTCAACAATATATACTATTAGAAAACATTCTTAAATGTGTTCTTATTCTGCTCATTTTCTGCAGTTCTCCAACTCTTTACCTCAGTCCCTTTGTTCTGTATGATTCTAGGTTGGGTGAGGAATCAATTATTTATGATTAACCCCGTCTCTGCTGTCTGTACTGCTCGTAGATGTTAAACTACCTACTTAACAATCACCTTTTGTGACGAACAAATTAAAATTATTACAATTTCTATTCTTTCATTAGGCTGGAGCTGGTGTATGGGGTACAGAAGAAGCCGAAATGAACGCCATTTTATGTTTAAGAAGCTTGCCGCAGCTCAGGGAAACTATCAAGAACTATGAAGAGTTTACAGGAACGTCCATGGAGGAGGCAATTGAAAATGAATGCAGTGGATCCTTAAAGAGGGGTTATTTAGCCATCAGTAAGTTGGAACTGGAATTAAAATAAAAGAATAACAATCTAACCACGTTTTGTACCATAAATCAAAAATTAGTAGCGGATGTAAATGGCAAAACGAGACAAAATGCAACGGCTGGTGATAATATTGGTTGATGGCTACCCATACTGGTCTTCTCGTGTTCTCGTTCGTAGTCAAATTATCACATTGATTTATTCTGCTTTGTTAGGTAGATGAAAAACGGCAATCTTTTCCTCAAATTAATCTTTTAATCTGATGAAAAGGGTGCTATATTAGCAACCTCATGATCAAGTGCTTGTTGGTTATTTTCAGTTGCCAGTGCTAAAGATCTACCAGGGTTTTTCGCAGACAGGTTAAAGAGTAGTTTTTCTGGACTAGGAACCAATGACAATGATTTGATTCGAATCGTCGTCTCTCGAAGTGAGGTAAGTGCAGTTTGATTCGATAAAGAAATGAAATAACTTGGTCCAGTCGGTATGAAAAGCGGTGACGGTGACCTTGAGTCCTCCCTTAGCACGAAATTGGTAAAGATCATTGTCATGAAAGTGGGCCAAGTATCATCTGGAACGAAGTATCATAAAGAAACCAAGTTCTTATATCAAATATGCTTATTGTTTTACTACCAGTTCTCTATTAGTGCGCTTTTGATTGTGTTTTATTTAAACTACATCTCATCCCATTTTGTTTCAGGTTGATCTACAAGAAATAAAAGAAGCATACCAAGCTAAATATGAAACGTCTTTAAATGATGCTATAGCTAGTGAATGTGGTGGAGATTATAAGAATATGTTACAGGCTATTGTAAATGCTTCCTAATTTACATTATAGTATTATGTTTTTAATAAAATATTGTTACCTGCAGCGAGTATGGTGGGCACCTGCTACTTTATGGAAGGCCCTGTGATAGATAGTCCATAGGTTATTTTATTGGTTATTTAACAAAGAAATAGGAGGTGATGCAATATCCTGTTAAAAATGACACAAAATGCTAGATTTGGGTACTATATTTTCGACACTGTCACAAATAGGTTATAGTGTTGAAAATGTACACTAGTCTTTCATGAAGGCGTAATATCTATGAAAAAAATACACCAGAAACCACAATACAATGTCCAAGTCCCATTTCAAAGACTTACATCAATATTATTCAAAGTTTAAAGGAGGTAATTATATTAACGATCAATAAATCCTCTTTGAAAACAAATATCAAGGGAGGTCATCAATGATATCTCTTTAGAAAACAATTAATACACATTCTGCCCCAACAAAATCTATAAGCTATCCAAGTACTATTCCAAGGGAAGTAATCCTGAACCAAAATTTAAATATTGACTCCTATAGGATAATAATCCAATAGATCGACAAAACAGTTGAAGAAAATATCAGCAGTATAACGAATAAAAGTTTGTGATTCGGAGAAAGTAGAATCTCAAGGATATTGCCAAAATTGGAACGATATATATCAGTGTATTATATGGAATCTTCTTTTCTGACAACGTTCATCAGTCAAACTTTGTTCACTTTCTTCTCATAGCACACAAGTTATAAAGACTAAATTCGTCAGCAGTATATGAGACACAAAAGCGTACGAAGGTCGAATGAAAATAGGAAGCCGCATTGGCCGGAATGGATCAATTACCACTCTACTGACCTATTCTTCCGATGGGTATCTAGGACTTCAGGGCATGTCTTGATCCCCGACGAACAATCAGTGAACCAAAAATGTTTGACCATGTGGCAAAACCGGTTGTCATATCCAGCAGCCTACTATAAATCTTGATGACTAATGGCGTCCTTATGTTTTACATTATACTTATATAGTATATACTATGTTAGTTTTCGCCCCCAGGTAAACTCTAATGAGGAAGTCAGTTACGCATACTATGCCCCAGAGCTCGGTCGGAATTACTAATATTATAAGGTTAATGCATACACACCGATAAATAGTCCGTGATATAAATGAACTTTGCCGGAAACTGAGAATGACTGCACTGTATTTGAAATAGAAATTTCCATGAAAAAGTAAAAACATCCAATTAAAACCGCCAAAGTCGTGATATTACTGAAATATAAAGCACTATCATCTTAGGTCGTGAGATATTCCTACTCGCATGAATCACATCATTTATACAGTCCTACATACCGTTTTCACCCAATGTATATTTTCTATCCTTTCAACTATTTGACAGTCGGGGTCACGTGACTACTACCTGTTTCATTTAGGTCCAGTGAGCAAAAGAGCCATTTATAATTTGTCTATAGCTGCCTGACGATCAATTAAAAAATTGTCAAAATGCCGGTAAGTTTAATTTTAGTATAATTCCAAGATTGGTTCAATCCCTTTATTTTTGAGATTTTTGTTTTAAATTCTGCTCGATAGGTCAAAAATTTTACTCAATTTAGACAACTTTTTGATGGGAATGTTGTGAATTCCTTAAAACTTGCCGAGCGTATCGAGACTTATTAATATGAATGAATGATTTCATTCCTGGAACTTTATTTCATAATCAGCTTATACTTTTAAATATTAAGGTAACTGATATATTTTTGATGAAAAATAAGCTATGCCTGAAGGTAAACATTATTAAAGTGTTAGCGGACCACGCCCACTAATGAAATATTTACTTTCGTGTCAACGTAACTTCAAAAATCGTCTGTATAAGTTTTTGTATCAACATACATATTAACCTATAACTTATCTCTTTTAAAAAAAAATATAACACAGTAGGTTTAGTCTTTGATGTTTGTGTAAAATGTTAATTGACGTGGCCATAATTATGTAAATGGTAAAAAAATGGGACCTAATAATTTCTTTACAAAAGATATCCATTCACACGACCTGTTACATTTGAATTAGTTTTTTTTCTTATACTAAAGGGGGTCCCAGGAGGCCTATCTGGAATTTCAGGCGGCATCTGGAGGAATGTGATGAAAGGGTTTGGTCAACCTGGACTAATGGTAAATCGAATTTGCCCAAGCGACTATCCATTGCTCATAGACTATACCTTCTTGTGGACGACCAAAGCGGCCGGAAACTGCGATATCCAGCCTTCAATTTCTGGATGCTGTCCAGCTGAGCTCACCTCAATGGGATCGATCTAATCTTCTGGGCTTTAGAAACACGCTCTGGATTAGTTCTCCAATGGCCCTACAACACTTCAAATGAGCATTGCTCTGTGCTCATAGGGCGTATAGACTTAAATATATGTCTCAATTGAATTGCTGACAATATCTCCGTATCTATACTTAATACTAAAAATGCAAACCTTGCATTGTTATGCGAAAGAATGTAACTTACTACTAGTTTGATTCAAATTTATGTAAATTCTGTATGACTAAAAGTTGGGTATAAACTGAGAATGGAAACTAGGTCCAGCTGTTACCATCATTAGGTAATATACAGTCAGATTTTACATACACAACGTAAAATGAAGCAGAAATATTTAATCTAGATCTTGAAACAGTCAATATTTCAAACAATCAGAATTATATTAAATTTCCAAGGTTAGAAGCAGAATACCGAGACTGTATTTTTCACAGCTTGTTGGACAGAATATAAGCTTCCATGAGACAGTTATATGGGTATCATATCATTTAACATAATAGCGTACTCACACTGAATTTATGCATCACAAATTCTTCTTGGCATTGATGACGTCAAAGACTTCATTCGTTATAGTGCAATTTAACTATCATTTAACGAAATTGTACTTCAGGCAGTTGATACCAAGCACCTCTCGATAATATCAATTTAAATTGAATTTAAAATTTTTTGATCTTAATGTCAATAACATTATTTTGAGGTGTTTTGCTCCAATAATTTTGTAATAACTACACACACAGTGATAGTCGTCAGTGAGTAAATATACTCGAGAGTCAATGAATGGGTTTGTTCTAAATAGGTAAAGATATGAATTACACCTACATAGGTAAAACTGGTATATTTAATGTGAACAATTTAACTCTTTCTGTCTCACACATCGTGGAAAATGATAACCTGAATTTGAGGGGTAGTGTGGGTGTTGTGTCGTTACATTCTGTTATATTTCACAATCATTCACCAACGAAGTTTACCAATCAAAGATTACGATATCGGTACGTTCTAACCTCGAAGGATTGCCTGTTATCTCCAGTTATGAACAACCTTTGGAAGGGAAAGTCTTCAATAAAATGTCAAATTGGGGATGAAATATGATATTAAAAAAATTGAGCCATCTTTACGGATTTTTTAGTCTGACTGATAATTATATTAATTTATAGTCCGAGACTCATACCCCCTTTGATAATCTAGACTATATTTGTCGACCAGCTACACTACTTCTATATAAAACACTTAGCTGAGAGAATATAATAGTATAGACGTTTTGGACCATTAAACCCGAAAAAAGATTTTGATTAAATGATAAGATGACCTCGTCTTGTCCGCCTACATTTTTATAATAACTCAATGACAGTCGCCAACCGAGAAATATATATCATTATATTCTCCACAACCTACCTTGTTTTACTACTCTCAATTTCACTATGCCTCATATTTCATAGCTAGCAGAGGATATGATATCGTTTCATTTCTTGGAGGGGGCAGCTGCAACGCAGCTTTGGATTCCAAAACACTTGTCAACAGCTTTCAAAATTTTAGCTACTGTGATAACCTAATAGTCAGCAGTATAGTGCAAATGCTTTAGCTTTGATCACTCATGTAAAAAAAAATTGAATTTGAGCAAAAGACGACTTACTTCAATTTGATAATCTAACCCACCATCTGTATTAAATATTGCAACATTATATTTCCAGGGAACTATAAGTAAGAACTATGATTTCGATGCCTCAGCTGTGGTGGAACAACTCAGGAACTCTATGACTGGGCTTGGAACTGATGAAGATACTATTATTAATATTCTGGTAACTCATGACAATGAACAAAGACGTGAAATTGACGAGTCTTATAAATGTGCTTATGGAAAGGTAAAAAAAAATTGTCTATGATCATATTAATTTTCTATCCATGTGGAGTTTAAAAAACCTTTAAGAACAACATTTAGTTAAAACAAACTATAAAACCGGTTTGATTGGCGGCCATCTTGGTGGCCATTTTGGTTTGGGTATATTTGCCTGGATAGCGACCTGTATAGAGCACCTCTGTTTTGCAGCAAATTTGCAGCACATACCAAGAACAACGTCCTATGTTTAATTTTAACAGTCAAGTCAAAAATACCAGACTTTTTTCTCAACGTCGCTCAAGATAATTTTGTTGTTCAGCCATGGTTCCAATATTGCAATAAATAAACAATCTGGTTTCATTTATTTTAGGACCTAATTGAAGATCTGAAGTCTGAGTTAAAAGGTGACTTTGAAGAAATCTGCGTTAGCATGTTGGAACATCCAAGAAAGTATGATGCCAAACAGATCCATAATGCTATGTGTGTAAGTTCCTTTACTTTGATTTATTTGCATGCTGCAGTTTGAATGGCATTTGAACCCAACCAAATCCAAGATCACAATGTGATCTTCATCTTTTCATCAGCAGTACATCGGTAGTTTGTTGTTGCGTCTTGTTACGCACTGAAGAAGTTGAATGGGTAGATTCACAAAAGAAAAAATATTGACTGCAACATTAGCACTTCAAACCCTTGGCACCTTTAAATGCCTGATAAACGTCTTCTAACTTGCTTACGTCTGTGAACCTTATGTCCAGCATTTGATTGCCGATCAATTACTGTTAACAAGGACAGTGGTGTTTTGTCATTTCACAAAGATAATGATTCTTAGAAAAGCCTCTGCCAAGGGGCACCTGTTATTGTTTAGCATAACAATTGTAGGGAGCTGGTACTGATGAAACTACCATTATTGAGATCATGACCACAAGAAGTAATGCTGAGATTGAAGAGATCAAACAAATCTATAAAGACGGTAAGAAAATCAATGTTGGTTGCATATTGGTAAACATATCTAAGGTTTTGGATATTCAACCCTTCTTCTTGAATAAGATTTTGTTTAAATCAGCAATTCTGCAATGCATAATGTGCTCCAATTGCCGAAAGCATTTGATTAAAGGCGTGAAAGATGCACCACTGCAATTCCGTGAAACCCATTAATATAAGTAACTGGAAACTGACAATGATATGTCCATAAATGGAATTTACACAAATATATATCACTGACAATAATATTTTGTAGAATTTGAGAATGAGATGGAAGATGATTTAAAGGGTGAAACTTCAGGATATTTTGAAAGATTATTGGTATCTTTATGTTCTGGTGCTCGAGAGGAATCACCAAGTGTGGATTATGAGAAGGCTACAGAAGATGCCCAGAAATTCTACGATGTAAGGATATACATTAATCTTCTGAATTCGTCGTGCTACGTGCACCATGTGTACAAAAATTGGAAGAAGTCATTTAGCTATACTAAGCTTTTTTTGTCGTCCAAGTCAAAGCTCGGCTTTGATATGTATTATGTCTTGATTATGCTTGCTCTTTGTGCATTTGGTCGCTTCAACAGGTGCAATAGACAACATGACATGTATATAGTTAATTGGTAAGGTCCTTTAAGCAACTCTGCATGCACATGACCACAAACAATTTTAAGATGCTTTATTTGAATAGAGGTATAACTACACCTGTAATTATTTTAGGCTGCTGAAGCAGTATGGGGAACTGAAGAGGCTGATTTAAATGCCATCCTTTGTTTACGAAGCAGACCTCAGCTCTATCAAACTATGATACACTATGAGAGTTTGACTGGTAAAACCATGGAACAGTCTGTACAAGACGACTGCTCTGGAACGTTACAAAATGGATATTTAGCCATTAGTAAGTGGATAAATATTCATGCATTACCAGTTAATTGTGTTGGGGGCCATATTGTTTATTGGGTCCAACAATAACATCCATAGTATTTCATTGTCGCATACCAGGCTCCAAAATACGAGAGGGTTTCGAAACTGGATCAATTTTAACTAATCAATTCTTCGTCCATGAGGTGTTTAATACATATTACCTCGAATTAACTGTTTTAACCCTGCGCTAGAGCTGTCTATTGAAATAGTGACTTGTTACCTTTCAACCACGCAAACATGATACCTATAACCAGGCCCTACGTCTCAAAAGTTGCCTTTACGATATTGTAAAGAATTAGTATTTATTATAACTGTTAATTCTCGGTTTGCCTTGTATAACCTCAATTATTTATATAAACTTTTGTTATTTCAGTTGAAACTACCAAAAACTTACCAGCATTTTTCGCCAGAAGATTGAATGAAAGTTTTTCTGGAATAGGAACCTCAGACACTCATCTCATCAGAATTGTCGTATCAAGAAGTGAGGTAAGTAGCCATCTCAGTATTTAGCCTAATAGGGCACTACTTTGGTATCATTGATAATTGTCTCCCTTGCTGAGCTACAGATTTAGGTCAACAGTCCTCTTCGCTTCTGGGAAAATCTCAGCAGTCGACTTTGCCATGTCCGACCTCAAAAGCCATTAAACATTCAAATAATGCAGATTATTTCAATCAGTTTCCAAGAGAAAGAAAATGCAATGAAGGATTCAAAATTACTATTTTTGGTGTTTCAGATTGATCTTGATGATATTAAACAAATTTATGAAGAAAAATATGAAACCTCTCTCTGTGATGCTATAGCTAGTGAATGTGGTGGAGATTATAAGAAGATGTTACAAGCTATTGTTAATGGCGGTGTCCAATAATTTATTTTTATTCTTGGGAATGTTTGAGTGTATTGTGAACCCTGGCCATATTTTGAATAATCCTTTAACGACATTTAGAGATCACATTCAATAACGGAACCAAACATGTTATACTTCTCCTTGGTTTTTAGCTGGGTTAAGCCTTTCATGGCTGTAACAAGGCTTGGGGGAAATAAAGAGATGTTCCCCACGATAGTAAAGTATATTTCAAGAATAACCATAGATAAATAGACAAAAACAATGCATGTTTTATTATGCCAGTGAATCAGAGAATCCGGAAAAAAACTCTTGTTCAAAACAGCGGTCGGAAAGAATGATTGTTGCTGAACAATTTGAAACAGTTTATTTGAAATTGAGAATTCTGAAATATTTCTATTTGAAATTTTATGTACACTGCCATTGGTTCACAATACACCTATCATCGTTCTCTTACTGAAGTATTTTATAGATATTTCAAATTCATATTATATATTATCGTTCCAAGGGTATTTTTTTGGATATGGGTTACGGAGAATTTTAGCATATAGAAATCTTCCTTTGACTTCCAAATCTGAACAATTCTTCTGACTTTTGGTTTCTTACATAGGCCTATATCAACCATCGTATGTATTAAACTTTTTGACACTGGAATTGAGCGACTCATTACCACATTTTTTCATGTAAACTGTTTTAAGACATAGAGGCATTATAAATGAGCATTTTGACCACTTTTACTTTTGTTATTTATTATGATATTTTTTGTTCCTCGGTATATAGAACAAGATAGAAATGATATACAAGAGCCCTACGAGTATTATTGAATTCATTTGGTTAGATTGTTATTACAAATTTGGATATCAATATGTCAATTTATGAGTTGAAACTTTGAGTATAGTGGCAAAGAACCAAACTAAGCATTATGTACTTATTTTCTGTTGATGTAAACACTCCAAGATATACACTAGTACTTCCATTTAGCAATATAGAATGTTTCTAGTTAAAAATAGTTAAATATTTAAATTTCTAGAACAGATAGTCAAAGTAATAAAGCTCAATAATTTATCAGTTATCACATGGTTTGTGTTCTCAATTACAATGAGTCAGGATGACATTTTTGCTGGTGTTGTCATCCAATTAGATCTTCAGTGAAAGGATAGACATCCCATCAGAGACTAATATTTCTGAATTGCTTCCAGTTGGGAACTTGAGTTGTAGATTCGGCTTCCTTATTCTGACTTCTTTAACAATTACATCTGACTGCAAATATTGACATTGTTTGAGGAGACTGACGCTAGAAGAGTGAAGATAAGGTAATGTTCCACTATGGCCAACACTAGTAATGTATTATTTTTTATTTTGAAAGATTTCTAGGAAAACATAACTGGTACAAAGGGGGCAATATATATATTGTTTATGAAATAAGATCTAGGCTTTATTCACAATACTGTATATAAAAATACAAAATATACAGTTCTTTTTATAACACTGATCTGTGAGAACAGAAAAACTACATAATGCTAGCAAAAACTAAGCATTAACCTTTTCTATCATTAATATGAGCAGTCTCAAACAGGACTTTCTTACTGAAAACTTGCCCCATAGAGTCTTCAAACAATACTTAGACAACTAACTCTGTAGTCTATGATATATCAATGCAAATAGCAAAACCATTCACGGCAGATCAGATCAATTCACAAAAAAGAAAATTTTGAAGAAAAAAAACAAAACAAATGTATAAGAAATACAACAGAATTTCTACATTGAATATTTCATTATTTAGTATTATAAGTATATCATATAGTTACTTCTTATATAATTTATCTATATACAATATAATAATAAACTCTCAAAAAAACATTTTGCTAAATTTTAAATCTGTACATATGTAGACTAGCCTGATAATAATAATAATAATAATAATAATTAATAATAATTGATCATTAAGAGTTGAAAACACACTTTAAATTCAAAATATCAGAAATATCCTTTACTATTTTCATTATTTTATTAACTCTTTCAAGTTTTCTAAGTTATTTCTTACTGATGACTGTAGGAATAGGACTAATTTTAACATATTCTCAATAGATCAACAAATGCATAAAATAATAAAAATTTAAGTGAGTAACCTCATGTAATTGATAAGGAACTTACCGTCCAAATGCCTATAGGCAATTGGAAAATAACTGCAATACTTAAATAGTAGGATATTCAAATCTACAATAGCCCATTAATTAAGATTGATCATTTCAAAAAAAAAATTCTGAATTACTTAACAAGACTGTAAACTGTATATAATTATGAACCATGAAATTTAAACAGGCCATCTAGTAAGATAGACAGCTTCCTAACAAGAATATTATCATGAAATATCAGGTTTAGATATAATTTTAGTACCAAAAAGATTGTCCTTCAGTTAAAAAAAACGTCCATATAATTCAACAATAAGAAATCATAGCTATGCTTATAAATAACCAATCTACTTCAGTTGTGGCTTCATAAGGGAGACAACTTGCTATTAGGATAAAATTCATCAAGGTCAAGGTCACTAAATATGTGTACCCTCAAAACCATCATAAATTACTTGAATTTGAATTACTAGATATGGTTATTACTAAGATCATCATTTCAACAGCTGGTATACTAAACATTATGCAGTAAGAAATGGCAGCATCATTCTTAAATGTCTATTATTAAACTTTTCAATCTATCACAAAAATCAAACAAATAGAAAAAAGGTTTTATGAGGAAAAAGTAACAAAAATAAAATCTTTAAAGATGAAATATTGATAATGATTTAAGAATCATGATTTAAATCTTGTAACAAAATATAGACTTTACATGAGTTGAAGGGTAACTATGGTAGAATCGAATATTAACTATGTTATAACTGGGCTAATTTTCTGTTTAATATTTCCAGATTGACAATTCAATGTTCCTTATATTCATGGTACATTTCACAGTTTTTTTTTTATTAATTATCTGTTGAAAATAGAGATTGAAAGTCATGATGTGATAGGCAGTGTTTCATTAAATATCTACTATACGCAATTCTGATATTGCAAACCCAACTTTTTTAGTCTGAAGTACTCTGAACATGCCTAAACTAAATCTTGCGTTTTAATTTCATTTAGTTTGCCTTTATTTCACACAATTTTTTTGGTATCAAACTAATAAAGAAAATATCAGATTAAGAACAGAAAGAAAGAAAAATGGATGGATGAGTGAATGATTTTGATTAGGAAAAAAATCAACATGTACAATTCCAATTGTACAAAGCACTTAAATTGTAAACTATCAATAAATCGAAAGAAAACAAACAAAAATAGAGCACAATAAAAGGGAGATAACACATAGAGGGAAAAATTAACATGTGGACAGCAAACATTAAATATTCTTTAACACATTATATACAGTCTCTATATCATTAACTTCACAATTTAGTTGAGGTTCACTGTATTGATGAAATAATCAAACTTATACAGCACAAGATATTGACCTTGAACTATCAGTCCTGAAGAATATGACCTTGGCCTTTCCAAGTCTGTGAGAGGTGCTGATTCTTTTATCATCTTTTACAAATGTACACACAATATGATTTTGTTCCAGACTATTTAACACTATAAGGAACACTAAGATTGTCTCACTCACAGTGTATGACTGAATATATATATATATATTATACACAGGTAATGATCACATGACTATAATCATATATACATAACAGGAGGGCTATAAGATGTAAAGATGGTATAATGTATATTGATGTTTATTATTGTCTGTGATCTCTTGATCTACGTCTTTTAGCTAATGAATCACTTTGATCTGAAATTAAAAGAAAGTATGAACAAGACTGATACAAACCCTGCCTTCATTGCATCAAGAAACCTTTCTACTAATTTGAAATTTAGTAATTACATTAAATTACAAAGAATAACATGCTTTGAAGAAAATAATAACATAATTTCAATTTTGGACTAGGAGTCATGGTGTCAACTCCATGTGGTCATGAAGTTTGAAAAAAAAATATAATAATTTTATTGAAATTCTGTTCCAACATAAGCCAAAGAAATATTAATACAGAAACATGTTGTTACTTCGAGTTTCACGCTTTGCGATCTTCAGACAACTGACCTATTTAAGCCTGATATGTTTTTACCTTTTTGTTTAACAGAACGTGTTGCCCTTTTTTGTGTAGTAACAGGTGTAGTTGTTGTTTCTTCCTTTAAGTCGTGTTTATCATTAGAAACAGCAGGCGTTGATGATTGACTTCGCGTACGCCCTTGAATAACTGGTGCAGCAAAAAATGCTACAAAACAAATTAGATGAAATAATGAATATACATTTTATATTTAATAACTGAAATAACACAGAGAGTCACACTGTTTAAGAAATATTGCTTTAAATCTTTTTATAACGGAGAGCTAGCTTAAAAATAAAACTGGAGCACTGGAAACAATTGAACTTGTTGTTAATTTTCAATAAAGCTAAGAATAGGATGGTTCTTTACAGAATTTCAAACTTACAATGTGCCACGTTAGCGCCAGGTAATTGTGGTTTGTTTCGTCTCCCTCTTGTTTTTAATAGATCATCATCTTTCATTCCAACATTATCTTCATTTGTGGCTGGTTTCTCATCAGTTTCTGGCTTGCAATCGATCAATTTCCCATCCACTGATATTAACGTTGGGATAGCATCGTTATCAAACACTCCTTCTTCTGATATCTTCATTTCTTTAGCTTCACTACTTTCGCTTTCACTGTTGTTAGATTTACGCTTTCTTGTTAACCTTCTCTGAGGAGGGTCGCTATCTAAAGGGGACGTTTCTTTCAGAGTTAAGACTGGTGGTGTACTGTCTGATGATACACTTGTTGAAGATGTTGTTGCTGATGAAGATTGAGAACTAGGAGTAGTCACTATTGATTGGGTAGTTGTGGGTGAGCTAGACACTACAGTGTTTACGTCCAAATGATTTTCAAGAACTGGAGGTTGTGAATCACTATCTTCTTTCACAGGCTCAATATTTTGTTTCTCGTTTGAGGCTTCTGGTTTGACAACACTCATAGATTCCTGTGTCAAACTGATCAAATTTTCTGCTTCCCCATTTTTAAGATTTTCAGTGCCTGTAGTTTTCAAAGTGTCCGACATATTTTCAGATTGAATTGTAGTTTTTGACACACTTTGAACAGCGATATTTTCAGGTTTATTGTCAACAGAAGGGGAAGGAACAGCATTTGATAAATCTACACTAGTCAACAAAACACCATGCTGCCTAGAGTAACTAACACTAGTCTGTGTGGTTAATGTGCTACCTGAGAGGTTAGATGTGGAATGCTGACTTGCTGATGAGACAAAGGGTGGGACGCTAGTGATGACAGGTGTGTCATCAGATCTATTAATAGTAACAGAATGAGTCACTGGTTGATCCTCTGAAGACAACTGCGTATTATCACTTTGTTTAGACACTGTTTTTAATAAATGTTGTGAACTACAACCACTATCTTCAACTGTTTTTTCTGAAGCACTTTTACTGAGATCATTAGATATGGTTTGTTCCGTGGCACATATGTTAGCTGATAAATGAAGATTTGGGTTTTCCGAAGTAGAGTCATTTCTCCTTTGAAAACTTGCACCATTATCACTGCCTTGAGATATATTGCACACACTAAAAGGCACAGATTCTGATTGTAAAGGTTGCTGAGTATGTAAAGATGACATATTATCCATTTTGTCATTTGCCATTTCTGAGTGACTGACTGTTTGAGATATTGACGGCACACATTTGGAATGATGTTGAGAAGTGTGAGTTATAGATGTGTGATACGGGTCACTAGATATATCTGACGACGGTGAATAAACTGAGTTACTAGACACTGATGAAAAAACGTGAGAATTACTGTTCGTATTATTAACACTCCCATATTGTGATGATGGTATAGCACTATTTAAATTATTCATATTTTGTCCCATGAAATTTTGTCCCAACCCACCACTACTACCTACTGTTCTACAAACACTAGCACCTGGAGATTTTGTACCACTGGCACAACTCCTTGGTGAAGTTGCACCATTTGCATTTTTCGAACTTCCAGGGGACTTGCATGCACGCGAGTGAGGTAGACTTAACTCATTTGAAGGGAGTGGTTTAACTAACCGTTGAACAGATTCAGTTAATCGTCGTGGTAACGGTAGTCCTGGTGCATAAAGGTGATTGAGCATGTTCACGTTGACTGGTGAAGAACGTTTCGAATATTTACTAGTTATGTTAGAACCTTTAGTTCCATCTAAAGCAGCCTGTGCTTTATATGCCAAGCCTTTTGCTGTTGCTTGTAAAATGTCTTGTTCAGTGAAGCCAGCAAATTTCTCAGAATTTGGAGGTGAATCAAATTCTAAGCCTTCAAATTGATGAGAATCAAAATTATCCGTATTTATGTGACCGAAGAATGAATTTGCTAAATTTAAATCTGGCCAATCATTGTAATTATTAACATAATGTGATTGGATTTTTTCCACAGGATCTAATTTAGGTGGTTCTGGTGTTTTGCCACCCTGTCGAGGGCTTTGTGGATTCGATCGCTGTTTCTTTTCACTGCTTTTTGGCTTTGATGGTCCATTCTCAGTTACACAATTTTCTGAAAAAAAAAACAAAATATTAGTTTCAACTAGAAATGTTTGCAGAAATATATTGAATTTCTTTCTTTCAGTAAACTTATATTTTAGGGAGACCAAAAATTCAGTTCTGCTTATTATCTAATGAATTCAACTAAAACAATTCATCTTCAATGGATTTACTGCTATTATGGATGATAATTGTAATAATAATCAAAAAAAATATCATAACTCAATAGTCTGAAATATTCACTAGAAGTACAATAAGCTTACCTCTAATGTATGATGAAACACTCGATACCACATTGTTGTGAGTAGAATGTCCTGGTGATTTAGATTTTGGCAATTCCTCCAGTTTTTTATGATCATATGAATTCTGCTCCTTCTGAACAGTTGTTGGACCATTCACTCTCTTTTCTGTTATTTCCTTTTCAACTTTTAAATGGACATTGTTGGGTTTTACGTCATTATGTTTATGACCATAAAGGATCTGTTCAAACTTATTCAATTTTGACATCGGTTCTTTCTGAAGCATAGAGTTTTGATGGGTTGATGTCTGATCGTTATTCATTACATATCCTACAGTCATCACTTTAGATGTCTTCATTTCTGCTGTATACTTCAAGGATTTTAAACACTCATCACCACTCACTTCTACATGAACTTGGGTAGTCGTCCTGAATTCATCACCAGGTTCAGATGGAGTGTCATCAGATCTCTCAGATGAACTACCAACACCTGAATCATGGTTATACACCTTGTTTCCACTTGAGTCTACAGGTGAAACCGTTGCTGCAGGTCCTTCTGTATTCATATCATTCATTATGCCAACACTGTGATTGGAGCTCTCATCCCCTTCGCAGGACACTTTGCCATTAGGACTGCCAGTAATGCTGTGAACTTCAGTATTTCTAATGTTTGGGGAGTTCAGAGAAGGAAGGGGATCCAATTTTGCACGTGATTGGGCACTGTGAGAGTAAATTGTTAAGGTAGTGTCTTGTGATGTAAAAGAACTTGAATAAGAAGTTACATTAGCGTTCTGAGTAGGTACAGTAGTGCTTGAATTATGCAGTTTTGACTGGCCAACATTTGTCCCTGAAGTAAAACTTGTAGAAGAGAGAGTGTGCATCACAGAACTATTTGAAACAGATTTTGGCACTGAAGAAACACCAGAAAACACTGAAGTTTCTGATTTCATTTCCTGTCTCGCTTGTCCACTACGAGGCGTAGAGTTCACTGTAGTATTCACGCAATGACTAGAATGTTCAGTTGCATAGATATCCATAGCAACAGAGCGCGAAGTAGGTATATGATTGTTGAGATTATCACTATATAAGCTTACGTTTCCCTTGTTCATCCCACTAGAGGAACTGGGGTGAGAGTTTTTGTTAGATATGGGTGAGATGTTCTGCGTTGTCAACGAAGATGTTCTAGTTGCTGCCACACTTTGTTTGATTTTCTCCACAAACTGTTCTTTATCCCGAGGAATTAAAGGCCCAATTCTTAACTTTAAATCACCTGGTTTCTTTTCACTAACCGTACAGGTTAATCTTTCAGTCATTAACATTGATTTAGATTTATTTGGACTATTGTCTACGGATTTTTCAATGCGTTCTAGTTCACCAGTGTAAGGATTCACAATTTTACCAGCAGTTACTTCAGGAGGAAATGGATCATCCACTTTATATTTCTTATTTCCAGCACTAAATGTACGCTCATGCTCCATGAAATTAACACTATCCACAACTCCCTGTGTATGGTTGCTTTGATTAGGTAAGGTAGGGATACGAGGATCCTCTCTGGGCTGCCCAGACACTGATGTTCTGCTGGACCCATCCAAACCAGGGTTAGGAATACTTTCAATAGGGATTTCTCCATCTACTGATGTTCTTGTTGAATCTTTCGGTTTTCTTGGTTTCCTTTTCTTTTTCACTGGTGGCCCACCTTCATTTGGAGGCAACATTTTCTGTCCTGCCAAGTTGTTCAACCCAGCCACTAAGGGTTCAGTCTGCAACAAATTGACCAGTAAGGGACTTGCAGCAGTGACAGTTTTACCCTGTCTTGGAATATTATTGACTGGAGCCATAGTATGAGGATATGGTGGTGGTGGAGGCAATCCTAGATTAGGGAAATTATTCATTGCATTTGAACTTCCAGGTGGGGATGGAAATTTCAACCCAGGTTGGCCTACAGGACTCAAGCTGGAGGATGTTGGAGATGGATAACTTGGGCTGTGACTTGATGGATAGCCAGTAGGACTTCTACCAGGTGGAAAATTACTGGAATAAGAACTTGCTTGAGTGGTGGTGGTTCCATGAATTGTTGAATTAGATGAACTGAGTATGTTGTTAGCTTTAAATGGAATCGGCTCACTTGATGTAGCCACAACATTAGGAGATCTGAACACTTCTTTACCATTCACTGATAAATTAGGATTAAATATATCAAATAATGAAGTTCCTTTTCGCAAATAGTCTGCTATATTTTTCCGAGTAGCTTCCACAACATTAGGTCCGGGAGAGGACACTTCATCTGAACTTTGAAGTCCAGATTCTAAGCCAGGCACAGTTGAAGGGCCAGTCCTATTTGAGTCATTAGTTTTTAAGATAAGTTCTGCTCTCTCATTATTTCGCCCTGCTATAGTTAGAGAGATAATCTGATCGCCTTCAATCTGTACAGCCAATACTCCCAAACTGCGTAATGTAGCATTTCCTTGTTGAGCAAATTGTTTTAACCTCAATGCTGCTTCTTTAGTTATATTGAAGGTTACTCGTACACTATTCCATGGCTCAACTTTCTTCAAAATAACCTGATTTGAATCTGAAAAATACATTGCATTAGATATTAATATGCATATATATCGAAATTCAGACATCTTTACATCATGTGATTTGAACGATATTTAGGTGCAAGAGTTACATTTAACAAAGAAAACAAGGCCTTTATTATTGTATTTTTATTCATTTTTTTAATTACTAAGCATATAAATCAGAAAAATCAGAAAGAATCATCTCATATGATGACATCAAGTGTAATTTTTGTAGAAAAGATATGTTCTTAAAATATGATTAATACCAGAATATGCAACTTGTGTTATCTTTTACCTCAATATTCCTTTCTTGTTCTTAGTATCTATAATTCATAATCTTAAAAGAAGTCGTCTGAAAACTTGAGGTCTAAATATTTAATGGGCAATAATTTATATAACAAAATTACCTGTTGAAAGTAATTCTTTCAGATGGAGTCTAAACTCCTCTAAGCGTCTATGTAATTCAGGATCATGAAAATCCCCCTCGCAGGTGACAACTGTCTCGATGTAGTCCTCCTGCGGACCCATCGCTATCATCCATCAACCATGCACCTGCAAAACAGATAAATATCTATCATGGAATAAATTAACATGAGAAATGCAATCTTTGCAAACAAACAAAATTCTGCTAATCTGGCAATCAGATATATACACATTATGGTGCCTAAAATAACATGATATCATATCCTTGTGATGCAAATTTGGAAAAAATAATAATATGTATTTCATTGAAAAAATTTAACTTTAATTCTTCCTAATGCACTCAAAACCAGTCAATATTCCAACTAAAACATTTCGAAATAAACTAAACAAATCGTACATCAAATTCCTTGTCCTGTACTAGTTACTAATTTGAAATGCAGATGCAAAAGTCACTGGACTACAAGGTCAAAAACTTAAAACATAACGACCTAATTTTGGCACCAAAGGCAATTCTATTTCGAGGAAACTAACTTGTAAGCTTATTTATGCCTGTTACAAGAAAGCTTTTGTTAATGGCAATTTTTCCATGTAGGATTCAGGTTGCATTTAATTAAATGCTTCATCAGTATAAAACAAGTCATTGAACACAGAAAATACCCAAATTAATAAAATAGACAACCATTATGATAAATTCATAAGACAAAAAATGTCATTTAATAAGCATATGTTCTATAATACTGTGGTGGTGGAATATTAGATAATATGGTATAAATAATAGTCAAACTAAATATGATAACAAAATTCTAAACTACAATAATTCTTGGTCTTCAATTTAGGCCTACCTCTTCCTTCAGTTTTTATCACATCTAGACACAACAATCACTTAACTGTAAATTGGTGGACAGAATCATTGCAAAAACGGTAGGTCTATGCCTGTTTGCTATGCAATGACAGAATAACAGCATAAAATGGGCAAATCTGAAACTCTTGTCAATTCAGAAAATAAATGACCCTGCCTGTCCAACACTACAATCCATCCAGTCAGCCATGGCATTTTGCAGATCACCTCCATAAACAACTTTTTTTGCAAAATTACACAGAGCTTTCCCTACTTGGTGTTAATTTTCATACAACCAGGTGATTCTAAATGAATAAGGTGACATAGATTGATGAGTTGATTAGGGGACTAGTTTTAAGTAAAAAATATTGCATCGTCTTTCACACCGACATCGTCGAGAAAAGAAGCGATACGGGTCGAAATCGGCCCAAATATGGAACCGGTGCACACATTTAGCTCGATTCATAAGATTAGTTATGTCGTCCTCATAAATCAAAATTATATAATTGATGTTATCAAATAATGCTGCGGGCTTAAAATACCTGAAAGGTTGAGAAATTTGTCCCAAATTGACTAAGTATCATGTACACCATTGAACAATAACAACTGCCGCCATTTGCAATGGATACACTACGCATGCGCATACTATCTGGGACTTCTGGGAGAAATCTTGTCAGAGGTGAAGGCCTCACAGGGACCTGTAAACAGGAGCCGAGATATAAGTGATGAAGCCTTAGCCTTATTACAGGCAAGGAAATAGAATTATTACATCTTGCTGAAACTTATTTTTCCACGATCTGTCAATCATGGGCTCACGCTCACACTTTGACATTGCAACTCATGACCTAAGGCGTAGTTGCAGATTCAATCAATAATGTGATGTTGGTTTTAAAATGTTCAGGGTCAGCTACAAAAATTAATAATTCTGTCATTAAACTGTGTGTTAGTTAGTTAAATGGGATAATTGCATTTGTTAGGTCATAATTATTTAGTGATGACGATGATCTTTGGGATTATAGTAGGCATACCATCCAGGTCCGTAACTAAACAGACTAAGGCAGCCGACCAATTCTATTACTGCAACTAAACTCCATACACCATAATAAAAAAGAACTTGCCCCTTTGAACAATCTAGTCACGGGAATATGATCTAGCCATTTCAGCATAAAATGTGCCTATAATAGAGATACTTTATGCTGAAATGGCTGTAGAGTGGTCCTATTTTTTTTATTATACCAAAACCCAAAATTTCAGTTATAGCTACACCTGTAATTCCTCTGCTTTTCACAATAAAAATCTAGTTTCAAATTTCCCAATTACCGGTATGTTTTTTTGGGGTTTTTTTTTTATATTTGAAGTAAACTTTGAAGATTTGTTTTCCACATCAAAATCTGTTGGGGAAGAATGTGAATGTTGGCATTTATCAATCAATATTTTAAACGTTTAACAATCTCTTTATTATTGATATTCCCTGAAAAATACATTCAAGAAATACTTAATCCATCGGTGGTCCATTGGCACATTTTTGTCTTTATACCTCTACGGACATATAGGGCATGTTTGCCTGTTTGGCTATCCAAATACATTTCTTGCATTTTCTTTTTCATTTTTCACCCAACGATACGTGCATGTAGACCTATATTTCTTGAAGATCAATTCGAATTTCAGGCGGTATGTGATGATTAGAAACGGAGTTATCTTTCCTGTCGCAAGATAACCAGGAAGATATATAGTCACTATTTTGCGCGTTTGACATTTATGTCATTTGATTCATAATATTAACGCAATTCAAAAACAAATTTAAGTAGTTATTGTTTGCTTTTTAGGGATAAAGAGGCGTAGAAGGTGTTCGTTTGTTACACTATGGGCGGTATCGTTTCATCTTTTCGATTAATGTTCCGCGAAGCAGTCATGGCCTGCAAAGTAATAGTGTTCCGCGAAGTACATTAAGACTGGTAGATCTAAAAAAAAAAACAATCTATGGTTTTAACATAGCTCTTCATGTCAACCGCGACTACATATCACATGGGGGATTTGTTTACATTCTGACGTCAGAAGAATGAGCTTCAACACGTTAAGGAACGGGTGGCGTCTTATATATACACTCACCTTTGATCAGTTTTTCATACGGTCTCCACTCATAAAACCACACACTGTCATTAATATGACTAGCAGAAGTAGAGGTTTAAAAAGGTCTGCGAAGGATGCCACGGCCTTAAAAGCTAAGAAAGCGAAAGGAGAAACTGATTTATGTAATGGCTTGCATTGGATTCAACATGGCAAGGAAGTGAAAGGGGCGAGTCCCGTCATTGCCCTAGTTTCAGATAGCTTACCTGGGCGAAATAAAGTAGCAGGATTTGACATTGATTTTACCATCATAAAGACAAAGAGTGGACGAAAATTTGCAACTGGTAATAAATTTTTACTTGCACATTGAAATGGAGTTATAAATCGACAGTGACTAAACTCTCGACTCAACTTTGCAATACTACCCCTGCTGGCTTTGTACTTAAAAAAAAAAAAACTAAGCTACAAAATGGATTTGGAAGAGATTTTCTGATATGTTGATAGGCTAGGGCAAAGATCCTTTAAGGTTAGGAAATGACTCTAGCTGTTTGGATGGGTGGTATATGCATTCTCGATTATAACTTCACGTATGCGACTCTATCCATACTGGTTTTGTCAGTTAGGCATCCCTTGCTGTCCCTAACTATCCACACAGCTATTAAGATAATACAGGTGTCTTCCCTTGTAAGCAGTCTTTTTATTCATAACAATTGTTTTCACCCTTCAAATTTGACCTGTATCTTAGACAGTTTTTTATTGTGCTTATTAATTATTTATTGCAGGATCCAAAGACTGGGAGTTCTGGGATGACAGTGTTCCAAAGAAACTACAGTCTTTAGATAAAGATGGGTACCGAGTGGTATTTTTTACCAATCAAGCTGGTATTGAAAAGATGAAAGTAAAACCAGAGGAAATTAAAGATAAGATTGAAGCTATCATTGCTGCCTTAAATATTCCTGTATTGGTAAGTTTGGTATCATTATTTGAGCCTAACCTAATGTTTAAAGATGAGCCTCTTGAACATTAGTTCGTTTGATGATACTGCCAGGCAATCAAATTTCTTCCCTCTCCAGTGCTGGGATTTTGTGACAAAAAAAGAGGTGTATTAAACACTAAATGCACCTTTTGTTTGCATCACAAAATCCAAGCGTTGGAGAGTAAAGAAATTTTATTGGCTGGGGGTGCCATCAATCGGAAAAATGTTCAAGAGGCCTGTCTTTAGACCTTAACTGAAGTGACTATATAAAAAAGAAAAGCTAATAAAAAAACGAAAAATTGCATGATTTTAACTAGACTATTCATTACATAAAAATTGATTCTTGTGACTATTTGATGTATTGAAATTTTTTTTCAGGCCTTTATATGCACCGGAGAAAATCATTTCCGTAAACCAAGTCCATTGATGTGGGATTTTATGGCTAATGATTGTAATCAAAGTGTCAAGGTAAACACCAAATTCTTCATGAAACTATTTGTTAACCAGGGATGTTTCTCATTTTTATATACCTACATGAAATGTCACCCATGTCTACTGGTCTGGCAACCCACAATTGCCACAAACACTCTGAAAGCACAAATTTGAAGCAACATTGTATAAAGAGAAGAGAAGCTATTGATATTGTTCTTGAATTGTTTGTAAACACTCAATTGTTTTTTACAAATTTCGACCCAACTTTGCATGATTATTAGCAATCATCCTGATAGTGCCTTTGTATGGATTTTCTATTTCTATAATTTTTTCAGCTAGACCTAACAAAATGTGTTTATGTGGGTGACGCTGCTGGAAGAGCCAAAAATTGGGCACCAGGAAAACCTAAAGATTTCTCTTGTGGGGACAGAATGTTTGCACAAAACATTGGAATTGGTAAGATTTCAGTCAATTGACGAGAGTTCATCTGTTAACATATGATCTTGGTATGTTATCTATCATAAGGACAGCTTGTGTTAAAATGGGGGTTGATCTAAAGAAATTAGCCAAGTGAGAGATCAGGAACTCAAATTATGAGAGGACTCATTTCCTGAAATCCATTTCAAATCTATATTGTGTTAAATAGATTTAGAGATACATATTTGGAAAAAAACTCTTTGAACCTCATGTTTGTAATTTTTGGACATCTTTTTCACTTTCTTCTCTTCATCAGAATTCCATACACCAGATGAATTCTTCCTTGGAGAAAAACCTGCCAAATTTGATTGGGGATCTCTGAACGCTGTTGATTATTTAAAGACAAATCCCATCTGTACTGAGAAAAAGGTGTATAAAGGAAAGGTAGGATTTAATTACTATTCCTGTCTTCTGAATTGCAGTTTTGGAAATCAGTCATAAGCTCATCAAGTGTCAGACTCATCAAGTGTCAGAGGGTAGTGTTTTTATGTTATAAGCCATTTGATTTCTCTGTGGTTTGAACATTTTTTGTCATTTTGACTGGTTTTGTATAAAAGTTTATCTGATTTCAGGGCCAAGAGGTAGTAATAATGGTAGGATGTCCTGCATCTGGTAAAAGTACGTTCCGTAAGAGACATTTTGAACCACATGGGTATGTTGCTGTTAACAGAGACACAATGGGCACACAGGAAAAATGTATAAAGGTAAAGAAATCTATTCATAACAATGTTTTCTTTTAAGCATAAAATGCCTTTTGCTCTTCTTTAATTTATTTGTATATAGTTTCTTCTTTTTTGATTTTGAAGAAATTTCTCAAGATTTACAAAGAAAAAGCTCTGCATTATTTAAAAAAATCTGTGGTAAGAAATTCAGTAGGATATAAAAGTGGATTTCACATTCAGATTTCAGATAAGCTCACATAATTGATGGCAATGAAGCTAAATTTTATTGGATTCTCCAGGAACATTATAGATATATTAACCAATGAAAAGTATTGTCTAAAAAGTTACAGGTTGCTGTTGGGATGCAACTTATTATTGTCAAAATATAAAAATAATGAAATGATACCCAATTTAAGTTCATTCCTAATGTCTCTCTGATATAATTCTTATTATCCAGGCAGCCAAGGAAGCATTGAAGAAAGGTAAAAGTGTAGTAGCTGATAATACCAATCCTTCTGTTAGTGCCAGACAACCATATGTTGAAATGGCCGAAAGTAAAGGTAAGCTCTCTTATCTGATATAAGCTCTTCTATTTTATTTGTTTGACCAATGAAAGTATTATTAATGTATAACATAAAGCTAATTGAATATTGATTAAAATTTGGCTGAAATTTGTGAGTTGATGTATTGCTCAGTACAAATGAAGTTTTAAATGGGCACTGTTCATGAAAACATTGAAAATTAGTAATACACAGAGACTTCTTGTAGGAATTAATACTGATGTAGCTTAATAAGTAGAAGTAACATATGACATATGTATCATAAACCATTATCTCAATGCTATAATTTTGAAGTCCAAGTTAAAAAAAACCACTCTAATTAATTGATATTGAATTTTAGGTATCCCATGTAGATGCTTTTATATGCAAACTCCACGAGAAGTGAGCAACCATTTAAACTATATGCGTCAAACTCAAACCTACAGTGAAGTACGACGAATACCAGATGTAGGTTTTAACGTTTATAAGAAAAATTTTGAAGAACCAACTAAAGCTGAAGGCTTCACTGAAATAATCAATATAGATTTTAAACCTATGTTTGATAATAAGCGTGATGAGGAGTTATTTAAACTATGGACATGAAAGATTACAAGTAAAGCTTAGTGAAAGAAGATTGTGCTCGTTCTTTAAAAATCAACTGTAAATATGTGTGAACGAGAAAGTTGTTGTTTTCACTAAATATATTAGCCTGATAAATCTTGCCTTACTCTTTCCTCAGATGTAATAACTCCTGACTATGTCCTATGTGTACAGTACATTTGAGGAAAGATTTGTCAGGCTACACATGTAGATATATATGCATGTACTTTAATTCCTCACATTGTGTTCATTTATTATTTTACTTACTTCTCATAATTTTAGTATTTCATTTTCATAGCAGCCGCTTTCCCAGCAACAAAACTGTTAGACATTTTATCACTTATGAAGCAGTCCTTACCAGTTGAATTCTGGGTATATGGAATATTTTTATATTCACTTTGTTAAATGGTTAAGTTAATATTCATTTAGATATTGTTCTCCACCATATTGGTTTCATAGTTTTGTTTTGCTCATTTTATATACTTGTTATATTTTCTCATGGAAACCATGATTGTTTTGAATTTGTTTGTTTTGCATAGTTTTGTCTTGTTTTATTCTTTTTATATCTGAAATAGTTTTTATGTGAAATCAAGGTCTGTATCTTGTAAATGCCTGAGGGGGAGAGGCCCAAAGTGCCTAACCCTCTTGAGACCAGGGGACTGGCGGTTGTCAGAGGCCCCAAGAAGACCATGGATTTCAGATGGCCCAATATGAATTTTTAGCATAATTTTAACTTCAAAATAAGAACTTTCACAGGCATCAGAGGAGGGCCATATATATATATATTTATTAGTATATAATTCCAAAGCAAAAACTAAATCTCGTGTTGCATTTAGAAAATATTTTTCAAGGAACAAAATCAACAACATAGGAATCAAAAGCTCAAAATATGAATTTTTATTATCACTTTAAGCAAAAGTGAATGGAAACATAATGTCTGTATAGATTAAAACAATTACCACTCCTGGTTGAATAAAATAAGATCATAAATTAAGAAACGAACCCATAAATGCCACATCCTACAGTCAAACAATTATATTTGTTCTTTTCATACATGTCTACATTTTTCAGAGGTAATTAAACATTAATAAACAAGAAATAAGCTGGTTTGCATAGTTTAAATCAATATTATTCTAGTCTAAATGCTATTACATATGTTTTGAATCATTCCCAAATGTAACCAGATATCTTCGTTCAACTATAGGGATTGTATTTGTAAAAAGGTTTTATAAATTTTATGTGCATTGGGGACACTGACAACATCGATTTGCACCATTCCAATTTTCAGTTAGACATCTGTGATAGTTGCAATTCCATTAAAACTAACGTTTTTATGACGTCTCTATGGCAAAAGCTGCTAATTTAATATAGGGCCCTTGCGATGTCATAAAATGCTTTGTTTTAGTGGGACTGAAAGAATCACAAACGAAAATGGTGCAAATTGATGCAATCAGTGTCCCCAGTATACATGATAAGTTTAGAAAACCAATTTACAATTCTTTTACCATTCAAACTTATAGATGTAAAGTAAGCAAAAAAGCTAATCTAGGCTAATACTCTTGAGAAGTAGCACAAGCTTTAAAACTGCAGAATTACCCTTATAATTGACTGTATACTGATGTTGACAAGTGATATAATTAGGAAACATTCAATTCTTTAGACTGTAAAATATTTACACAGAGCTTTCTACATCACAAAATCTTGAACGTTCAGAATTCAATCGCCTTTGAAATAAGGGAAACTTTCACAGACATGATCTTTGACAAAATGTCAGATTTAACCCTTTCAACACCAGCAACTGGTTTACCATCCACACAATTACGCAATATAAACCAGACCATCTGGTAAACCCACCGTTACTAAGTGATGTCATACAACTTTACTATATTACTTGGAGTTCAGCATATATGACAATTTATTTCATTTACAGGTTCAAAGGGTTAAAATAGGCTTAATCATTATATTCATCTTTGTTGTTGAATATTGATGTTCAGTTGTCGAATATCCAGCCTTTCGTGACTGCGTCAATCGTTTATCTCATTGCTTTTTGGACCAGGGGATTTTCCGGTGATTTCATCCATTCTTTTTGTAACATATGTTTGACTTGAGCTAATCTGAGGTTTGGATTTTCTCTCTTTAGGGCTGGTAATCTCGAATCTTCAAATTTCTTGAAAGCAGCTTTCATTCGTTTTTCTGGATGCATATCAACATCTTCCTTACCTTCACTGTAAATACCAAAACATGGATTTTGATTAACACATCAGTCAAGTCAATGACATTAGACACACTCTGAAACACTTTGAGGATCAAGCATAAAGTAAACAAAGTCTTAAAATGGAATTTAGCAATCTTAAGTATATATAGACTCAGCTTGATGGAACAACAATCAGTGGTTGTTTTATGTGAACATCAAAGCCCTGCATTGTAGATCCATAAAGCTGTGTCTATATAAATTAAGACAGATAAAATGTTCTAAGGATGAACTAAAAATTATAATATTCAAAAACCAAAATCAAATTTGTATAATTTACACAAAAGTTCAGTAATTTCATTAAAATACGATGTTAAGAAACAAAAAAAAAACATTTTTACCCGAGAATTCCAATAGCCTCATCCACAGTTCTAGCTTCACCTTCTATCACTACACGATTGAGGTTTTCTTCTAATGGGGGAAGATCATCATCATCATCATTATACCTAGCTTTGGATTTCTTTTCCTCTTTAGCTGAAGGAAAGAAAGATAGATAAAATGGCTATGTGTTTCAGTATGTATTGTAGAAGTCACACACAAAACCTTCACTTCATGATTTAATAAATTAATAGTAATGTATTCCATAAAAACTTAATTTGTGAACTAATTCATAACAAGTCTTATTTATTTAATATTTGGACAAGAAACTTGCATACATCTTAAAGTCTTTAATGGCATTTAGCAATTGTGAGTACGACATATCGACACAGTTTTATGGAACAGCAATCACTGATTTTATGTAACATTTCGACATGTTTCATTATGTGCCTGAGGACAACGGGTCGAAATGTTGTATAAAACTTCCATAAAGCTGTGTCTATATATTGTATACATCTCGTTTCAGAATCAGACTTTGATTTGAATAATTTGATGTCTCTATTAAACAGTCATATCTGATTAGTGCTCCAAAGTACCTAATAGTGAGAATTATATTAAAGACAAAAAATTAATGAATCCTCATCTCATTTTCATTGAAGTAAAATTCCATGGTTTTGATATTTACAACTATTAAATCATCCAGACATTATTAGATACATTTTGGACAAGATATCAACCTTACCTGCTTGTTTTTCCATGGTAGCTGCAATTTCACCTCTTGTTATTTTGGGTTGAGGTGGAGGTTTGGCAGTTTTTAATTTTGTCATTTCTTCATCATGTAATTGTTGTAATTCTTTTTTCTTCTCTAATTGTTGAAGTCTTTTCTTTTCTTTGTCCTCCTAATAAAACAACAAGTATACAGAAACCATGACGTGTATGATAAAAAGTTAGGGTATAAATGTGTATTTCTATCAAGCAACAAGTTACAGGTAGGGCCTATACAGATATGAGAGGTGTACTGAGAATTGAGACCTAAATGGAAGTATTGGCCTAGGCTACAGAGCACTAGTTTTTTTTTTCAGTTACTAGAATCTGATGTCTAGCTTGTCAAGAATTACAGGTAGATAAAAATCAATGGCTGTAAAAGTCAAAAAAATAAAAATAAACTTTAACATCTTAAGTTAATATATTACAGGGTTTTTATTTTTATCCATTAAGGTACCATAAATGATTATTTTGCAGGACAACAATACCTTTCTCTGAAGTTTTCTATTGGACTGTTTGTCATCATCCTGCCACAGGGCATCTTCTGCAGCAGCTGCTTTTCTTTCATTATCAGCCTCTTTCTGTGCAGATTTCCTAGCTTTGGCTTCAGCAGCCTTTGTATTGGTTCCAGAAAATTTCTTCGGCATGGCTTACGCCTTTCAGCCTTGGTCTGAAAAGACAAGTCAAGTATTCAGTAATAATAGACTTGATCTGAAAAGAACTGGTATCTTCAATTATACAGCAGTTCTCTTAAGGCTTAAGGAACATAATGAAGTCATACTCATAGTATAGTCATCAACAAACCTATAAAGATCTATTTATAATAGGATAGGGTTTATTTTAGGATATAATCTCATTAGATTATTTCTTTGAATCAGTCAATGGGGTGATAACGAGTTGTTCCCGAGTTTAAAAGACAGAACAAAATTGGTCTTACTCAAACAACAATCCGTCAAAAAAATTTTCTTTCAATTTATCATGCAACAATATATACGGATTGACATTGGATTTGCGATAAATATGTTCCGTTAAAAAAAGCTGAAACAATTATTTTTAGTATTAAGTCCATAGATATCTTGTATAAGGTAGATGTATTATAAGATATCTATGACTAAGTCTATCGGTAGGTCTACGCAGAATTTTATTGTCGACTTCTTCGTCCGGAATGTAAAACAAGCCGCCTCATATTCCATAATCAGTCCGTACCTGTCAAAAGAAAATTTCAACATGGTCGACGAGCGTGGGAAAAGTGACGAAACTGCTGATAATAAACTTGGTTTGGTTGATTCAGGCGTTGAGAAACTCGATTTAAATTCGGATTCATCAGCCACTAAAGAAACATCACCAATCCGCGAAATTACACAAACAGATCATCTCAATAAGAAACTTTTAACATCATTTTTAGACCGGCTCAATACTCAATCAAACACTATTCCTCTTCCGAGAAAGACCGACGAGTTTGACGAATTCGACCCAGGAAACATAGACTTCGCTGATCAATAGTTATTACAAAAGAAATACTGAACATATTTCCTCTTTCATTTTTACTTTGTGGGGAAGTCGGTGAAAATATATGTTTTTGAAGATTTATTTCATAACATTCACATAGAAACGGCATGGAATGTCATTTCAATGACTTTGACCAGTGACCGGGTTGTTGTGGAAAATGACCTTGACTCTTGTATTAAAAAATAAATGCTTGACTTCACACACTGAAAGTAGAATGCTATGATCATATCAACCTCATTCAACAAGTCCAGAGGATCAAGCAAGTTATACTTTGTTGCTGCCATAGGCTTTATTGTATGAAATAGACAAAATTTGTGTGAATTTGTAGCCTACTTCAACCTACTTTCAAAGATTTTATTATATTGAAATTCCAAGGCTATCATCCTTCATAGGTAGAAGTGTTGTGAGCACATTGTTGAATGAAATTAGTTACTCAGTATTTTGTATAGTAAATGTGTGACCTGTTAGTGTCAGTGATCAGTCAGGACAGTGTCTCGTTGATCTATATCTACCTATTATTTTAAAAGAAGATCAATATGTCAGAAGATAATAATTATGTTATAATTGGTATAAGTGGGTAGGTATTTTTTGTATTAATTTTAGCATGACCAGAGTTTGATTTGATCATGAACATTTTTTAAAAATCAATGCTGAAAAACTTTAAGTGTTTTGATAATTATGTTATATCAGAAATCATAATATTTGCAAGTAAAAAATAATTGAATGGGATACATGAAAATTATCGTAAAGAACATCGATAAGGGACACGTTTGACTTTAATTTTGGACATTCCAATTCTTCGTCCGATGCCTGTGGTTCCTGCAATTCCAGAAAGTTAACTGGAAATGATACAGCTCCCACAAGAGAATTGGTAACCAACCTACCACCAGACCACAATGATATAATAACTTTTATTCACATTTTCCTTCACCGTTGCCTTACAAAACTCTTAACTATGTCTTTTATTGCTTAGTTTTAACGTGGAGTGGAAGAGTTGTATGATATTTGTGCAAATCAGAGCGCTTATTTTTCCAACCTGAATTAAGTATGTTGAGAGTATACTACATTTCATTTTGTATGTAGGTTGTCAACTTAAAAAATATAAATGTATTTAGTGATACTAGAATATACCAACTCTTATTAATGACATGTTACAATAACCCACATCAATTTAACTGATAAATAAGTTTTCATGAACTTCTAAATTTAAAATGACCTACTTCTACTACAACTCATTTGACATTTAAGTGATAACAACTTCAAGGTAATATGTATTATGTTTATCTTAAAATACAATAACAAAAAAATCTCACTGTTACAATAGTGCTCATTACATCAATTGTAAATGAAATGAATGGAGTTTTACGTCCTACTTTTCTGACATCAATTGTAGAGAGATATAGAAATACCACTGTTAAAATAGTGCTCAATGCATCAATTGTAGAGGGATATAGAAATACCACTGTTAAAATGGTACTGAATACATCAATTGTAGAGTGATATAGAAATACCACTGTTAAAATGGTACTCAATACATCAATTGTAGAGCGATATAGAAATACGACTGTTAAAATGGTACCCAATGCATCAATTGTAGGGTGGTATAGAAATAACACTGTTAAAATAGTGCTCAATGCATCAATTGTAGAGCAATATAGAAATACCACTGTTAAAATGGTACTCAATACATCAATTGTAGAGTGATATGGAAATACCATTGTTAAAATAGTGCTCAATACATCAGTTGTAGAGTGATATAGAAATACCACTGTTAAAATAGTTCTCAATGCATTAATTATAGAGCGATATAGAAATGGAAATATTAAAACAATACCTAAAACATTTTGTCACTCAAAGTTTTACACTATGTGATCCTCAGACAACTGACATATTCCAGTAATTTATCATTTTTAAAAAACATAAAGCTTCTTTTTTTTTTAGAGTTAGTGAGAATGAATCTATATATACACACTATTTTACAATAATAACCATAAATGAGTTTGGTAGTATTTTGAGGTGAAAAATATGAATTTCCCTGCTGGAATTGATTGTCAGTTTTATTCTCGTACTGTGATTTTGTAGGTGTACAAATAGTGGGAAGACAACAATGACTGATAGATTATTAAAGTTATTTCCTTCAGCTAGCCAGATGTGTCAAGATACCTATTTCTTGGTGAGTAAAGACAGAAATTGTATTTTCTTCAAAAAGTGATATGATTATAAATTGTTTTCTACATGTAAATAGTTCCTGATACATTTCATAAACCTTACTTTTGGCTACCTTAAGCATTTTGAGTCATGAAAGCTTATATTTTGTCTTATTGAACTTTTACTATAAAAAAATGCTTCTTTAGTTAAATTTATTTTTGATTTATTAGTTTGTAATCAAGGTATGTCTATGAACAAGTCACTCAATTGTTTAAATTTTGATTAAATTCTTTCAGGAACCTGGTGATGAAAGACTAGAATTTGTGCCTGAAGTCAATCACAGCAATTGGGAAAGTATGTTTGTATTGTATCCTTTCAATTTGTGGAAATAGTAAATTTCTAGTTTTACTTTCCCCTCTCCAGCAGTAGAGGTCTTAATGATCTAAATGCCAATGCTAATGAATTATTTGACATTTTGAAAAAAGTTGGCTAATCAACAGTATTAGGGTAGTCTTGATTTTTAAAAACAATGTAAATGCATTGTGCTAAAGTAAAACTCACACCATAGAGAACGGCAGTTATGTATAATCATGAGTGAGGAACACGTGGCCACTTTCACTAATCTCAACCATATGCAATTGCTATGGTATGAGGAAACCTTAATGTAAAATGATTATATGATATAGGTAACTATTATTATTTCTATATTATAGAATTAAGTGCATTAGATATGGATAGAATGGTAAGAGATGTAAAACAATGGATTAAAGACAGTAAACATAGTAATTCTCACCAAATTCCTATTTTGTTTATCGAAGGATTTACTATATTCAATCATAGGTAAGCATTACATACAAAATATAAATAGTTCACTTGTTGATCAGGTTGGTTTTGATAAGATAAAAATAGGTGTCGAATTTGTTAGGTGTCCCTTTCACCATTCATAAAAATGAAACTAATGAAATAATTATTATTTTTGTTTCAGTCCACTTAAAGATTTATGCAATAAAAAGTATTTTTTTACAATGGATTTTGAAACTTGCCAAGAAAGAAGAAGGTAATATGCCCTTTACTTATCTGTACTTTATTATTGGTTAACTGCTATCCATTCTTTTGTTCATATAATTCGAAGAAAATTCTGAATTTTTCAGAGATTTATGCTCTCTGGATAAACATTTTTCTCCTAATTTCAGGGAACATAATTTGCAAAAATCTGATTTTTTTTTCTGTTTTCAGTGGCAGGAATTATATACCTGCAGATCCTGAAGGTTATTTTGAGAAAATTGTATGGCCTATGTATTTTTCTAATAAATCAGAGTTAAATCATTATAAAGATATAGGTAATTAACAGTTTTATCTCCTCCGTGCAGATCTAATCTAATGACACATGTTATCAAGATGTAATAATAAAGGATAGGTGGCAGTGGAATAGCTCAGTCTGTAGCGAGTTGGATTGTCCTCTGCTAGGTGATTGGGTGTCGTGGGTTTGAATCCCTATCAAGTTGTGAAACATTTTCAATGCCACATCCAACATGATGTTAAGTCTCAATCCCTACTTTTGCTAAAAACTCTTTGATTGAAAAAGTTAAGAATGTCTGATAGACGTAGCAATGCCTCTTTCAATACCCCCTTATAAAATATATAAAATCTGCTCAGTTTAAATTTGTAATGGAATGTCTGTTTTTTTAACAGTATATTTAAATGGTTGTGATCCACAAGAAAAGACACTGAAGACAATATTAGAAGATATATATACTCTACCAGCACTGAAGAAATTACATTTTATTAGTTGATAACGTACAAAAATAGCTCTAATATTATTACATTGTTTCCATTTAAAAGGCATTCTGCAGAAAATGTGTCAAAAATTCAGCCCTGAAGAAATCAGTTGAAAACGTACCAGTATAGCATGAATCTATTTTGTATGACTTTAATGTAAATTTGAGGGGGAATCCTCCCTTTCTGAAAATATGTCAAAAATTCATTATTTTTTACCTCATTATTTCAAAATTGTATAATTGTCATGTTGCATATTTCCTCTATCAATCCTCTTCTAATTACATATTTTTAATTATTATTACTGGTAAGGCTTTTCTTGTTACTGATATTTTTTTTATTGTGCATTTAAAAATAATAGATCAAAAAGTTTACTATATGAATAAAATATAATATAGTTAACTAGTAGAATACAAATATTTATAATTAGATTTATTGTACTCTGGGTAATTTTTTGTCCTTATAAGGTTATGATAGTCATGTATGATTTTGAAATAATATTTTTAAAAGTTAATAAATGGCACAGGTTATGGACACGAAAATGCTATTGCAAATTGTATGCCTTGAGTTTTCAGTTGTAATTAAACCTCAGAATGAGCATCTGCAGATTTCATGTGCTATATGCAAGCGGTTAACAATGTTATGCACATCTAAAGCAGGTCAATTTCAATCTATTTTAAGATAAAAATAAATGGTAATGGTGTTTTGTTGCTATATAGGATTATTGTTTTTAGCACCACTTACTGTTATGAAGAAGAGACTGTTCAGAAACAACTACAGTTGTGCATTTATTTAGTTACACATCTATACATGGCATTAATTAGGCCTTATGATTGATAATACAATTTTTCTATGGTTTCTGATTTCCTTAGATATATGTTATGTTCTTTTTTTAAGAACAAGTAAATGAATTTTATTAACTCAATTTAAAGTAATAGGACTAATATTATGTACATTGTCAAGATTGGCATTTTGTGATACAGGTACGGTTTATACTAATTATGAATGTATGGTTCTCAATAATTTGTTATAACATAGAAAGTGTGTATGGGATTATTTTTGCTAAAACTAATTATTGGTTATTTGTGTAAGATTTCCTTTGTTATTGTGCATTCCTTGTCTTAGTTATTTTATGATATTTCCTATATTCCTGATATAAACTTTCCCTCCCAGAACACAAGTCAACAGTGAGCATTGCTATATCTGTAACAAATATTAGAAATATTTTATTTTTGTTAGACCTTGGATAGATATTATTTTGTTTTTTTGCATCCTCAGTGCTAGATATTTTTTTTTTTATTTCTGTGTGTCTTTAATGTCTTGGAATAAATGGTTTCCTCTTTTAGTGATTCATTTTCACATGAACTATTTGGACATTCCGTATAAAAAGAGTTAAAGTATATGTTGCACTGGTCAATGAGAGAGACTTTACAAATAACAGTGTACTATACCCAAAGATAAACATAGAATAATTGTTTAGTTCCTCTTCTAACAATGGCCAGGAAATTCTGTTAAAATGTTTACCATCTAAATACAAACACATATTTTCTAGTTCCTATGAAACATAGCATTAAACACTGCAAGTTAAACACTGGGAGTTTCTACTTGCAACATTAAAGGAGGTTGGAGGGACTAAAAGATACATCTAAAAATCAGATTTTCCTTAGAGTACACCAGTTGTACTTGTTAGAAAGAATGATGATTCTTCAGGATTTTGTATCAACTATCGATGTCAGAATTAGGTCACCGAGAAGGACATCATATTCTGGGAATCAATACAATCCTTGATGCCATGTCAGAACTATGTTGGTTCAGAATACTTCTTGCTCTCAAATCTGGCTACTAGCACTTAACATGCTTGATCTGGGGTATCATTAATAAATATTTCCATTTTGAAATAGCCATGATCGTCCATATATCTTGCTCTCCTTTTATTTGTGCAGATGCCACATCATAGATCATCGATCAATGTTTAGAACGGCACCAACGAGGTTTTAAGTTCCTTTATATTGATTGCTGGATACGATTGAAAGAGAAATTAGGTGTAGTCTGATAACATGTGCTTTTGTTATGATACATTGTAATGGGCGGGGCTATTTGTACCTTAGATTACCCAGACTGAATGACTATTAATTTAACTGCAGACAGAAAGACTTAAAAATCGAAAATAAATCATAATGTTTACATTTTTAATCACGTGATATCGATTCTTATGAAAATATCAAGATGGCGGCAAATGAAAAAGAAAAATCTGCAATGTTTCATCCAGCGCATTAAGTGTAAAGACGATACGATTGCTTCAAGAGGAAAGGGGCTGAATAAGGCCACGCATTAAGATAAACATGAAGGGAACAGATGGCAGACACAGTCTTTCTCGAGGTCTAAGAAATCGAATCAGAATACGTGAGTTCTATTTCCTTCCACTTCCTCTTCTAGTTCTTCCAGTTTCCTTTCTCCTCCATTTCCAGGAGTTGGTTCCATCATGCATTTTATGACCTATAACTTTAGCCGAAAATTGACACAATTATGTAGACATCATCTTGAAAAATCAAATGACTATCTTCCAGTTATGGAAAAGAACACTGTACATCAGAAAGAATTCCTTGCAGAATTTGCCTATTTCTTCAATTTATTATTGTTATTACAAGGGAGGTAAACTCTCAAGGTTTTGATCAGATTCAGACAACAATGGATGATTGACAATTTGGAGTTTGCTCTTGTTTGATTCTCAGTCTGTACCACCTTTTTATGAATCAAGATGATTTGCACAGAATATACCATGTAAAACCTAAATACTTGAAATTGTATTTGTAATGAAATATTTTACAAGCAAATTAATGAAAAGTCTCAGTGACTGATAGCTGACAAAACCTGATCCAAGAGGATTATTATGTGTAAAAAACACTCATTGTTCTGTTACTTCCATCCATATCATGACTTTTCATAACTTATTATACAGTCTTGTTATCATTTTTATTGTCAAATTGTTTCAATGCATCCATTAGAATGCATACAATGGGCACTATGAAAATTTACCCAGCTGTAAATGTGTTTGGATAATCCTGGAAAGATCAATGCCAAGGACCAGCTGGTAGAAAGGATCCATTGTGAACCTAAGTTTTTATCCTTTAACTGTAGATGTTTCTTTCTTTCAAAACTTTTAAGTTTCAAATCAAAACTGTTTTTGTCTGCGGTACAAATGTTATTTTGTGTCCCTTTTATGAAACTTGAAACCAACCATGACTATCAATGAGATAGTTGGATAAGAAAATGATTTGAAAGAATTTTGTCTGATAAGGGATGACAAGGCAAGGTGCCAAAGTTTAAGTACATGTATTTTATATTCTATTTTCATGTTATATCATGAATATTATTACATGTCTTCAAACCAAGTGAAGTAACCCAGAAACTTTTTTTATTTAATTTGTGATACGGTACATAGAATTTTGACTGAAAAGGGGTGTGAAGAGGCTTGTTATTTTTAGTTTTACTGCTGACTTTGTTTATTCAGATATCAGAGAGGATTTAAAATGGCTAATATTTTCATAAAAGGTAATGAGAGATAAGATGTTTTATAAGTTTTTGATCCAGAATGTTACCTCAGTATTTTTACAACTTGACAGGTTTTATTGTGTAAACTATGAAAATTAATGAAAACTAACTAATATTGATAAGAATTACCTTTAAACATATTACACTTTATGGATAATAATTACTGCTTTATTTAACAAAGCAATGTTTCGACAATGATTCCCTTGTCTTTATCAAGCTAATGACCATAAAGTGGTTTGTGTTATTATTTTTTATTAAATGCTACTGTAAGAAGTAATGAAAGATTTAGTGTTCGGAGTCAAACACGACTGGCAAATACATTTAAATACTCATACATAAATGGCAACCAAACTATCAGCTTAGAGCTCTTTAAACTGTATGACTGCTTTAATATTGCCATATCAAGAGCCTTATAATAAGTAACTTTCGTAACACCAAGTGTCCGTTTATCAATGGGACAGGTTGGCCATCCTTTTGACTCATCTTTTAGTCTCTGAAACAGGAGATTTTTAGCAATGATCAGTAATAGAGTTCACCGCACATTGTTTAAATTTGAGCCTTCCAATACATGTATGTTTCTGAATGATCCGCGTTTGAAAGTAAAAATGACAACTCGCCTTTTTGAGACTTTGTCATAATATAGAAAAGACATATAAGAAATAAAAGGTGAAACTTCTAGTTTGATGTATATTTGAAGGGATTATGGGATTTTTGTGCAGGTGTAGTACATCTTTTACATATTCAAGACTAAAATCAAAATGCGACCATGACAAACCATGTCCTTTAAGTTTAAAAGTTCAATTTAAATGCCTTAGCAATGTCATCAAAACCTGCAATCTGCAGTAATCTGATATATAAAACTATTTTGATATTGCTGACTGTAAATGACGACAAATATTAATCATAGTTGAAATATTTGTAAAAATCAATTGAGAAATTCAGGTGGAGTGTGTGAGGTGACGCCAGCTGCCGGCAGTCAATTCAGGGTTTTAAAATACAGCAGGCCAGATCAATATTATAGGTATATATTATTAAATACCATAGTTAACTGTTTTGATATTTCGTATCATTGTTTTCGTTAATTCACGGATATGACTTCTCCGGAAAATAGCTGTTACCCCCCAACTAATGAAGGTAGGTGATAGATTATCGTAATCTGATATTGATAATTGGCTGCACAGTTGCTTTCAATCCAATACAGCATTGAATGCTGTCAAATACTAGAAGTAGGTAATATAATGACCTGGAAAATAGCTCATGCACCTTCACTCCTTTGTATGTGTGTATCCCAATATTTGCACCAGTTCAGTTTAGGTGAAATTGCATAGTTTAGGTGAAATTGCGAAAACCTCAGAGGTCTGATTTGATTGGTGCAAATTGATGATATCAGTGTCCCCGATAGTAGGACAAAGTTTTTGAAAACCTCTTTAGATAGGTTATAGCTTGTTCGATTTGTTTTTTTCTTTAATAGAAATATTGCAAGACTCAATTATACAGTACCCTCCTGAATATTTATAATAGATATGATGTTGGACTGCAAAAGGATGCAAATTATTTTGCACCATAGTCATAGTATCGCTACCTCCATTCACAAAGTCTAGGTGTAGCTGCTGAATTGTTCAAGATAGCTGGGCTGGCAGCTGTCAGCACATTATAAGTTTTTTTAATATCTAAAATACATGATAAAGATTTCATGACAAATTGTTTTTTATCAGTTAAAAAACTGTGAATGTACTCATGAATCTAAACATATAAGTATGTACCAAGTTTTTCTTACAATCTGACCTAAAAGGTTTTGACATGAATTTAGATTAAAGGGATTGTACAAAGGTTTTAAATTTTTTATGTGTATTGGGGACATTGATAGCATCAATTTGCACCATTCCAATCTATGGTTCGTGCAATTTCACTAAAACTAAGCCTTTAATGACGTCACAAATCGCAAAGTCTTTATGTGATGAAAATAAAGAATATTTTGCGATAAGTGATGTCATCAAACACTTAGTTTTAGTGGAATTGCAGGAACCACAGATTGAAAATTAGAAAGATGCAAATCAAGACTATCAGCGTCCCTGATACACTTAAAAAATAATTAGAAAACCTCTTTAAAATCCCTTTAAGAGAAAAATATCATACATACTGCTCTGAAAACATATTTCATGCTGACTTGGTTTCATCCACATCAAAATTAAGCTTACAATGTATTGTATTATATAGACCCATTCATTATTTTTGTAAATAACTTTTAACTGAACAACCATAAACCCTAGCCATAGGTTATTATTGAAGTATTTTCTGAGTTTCCTAAATTAAAACCTTTCCATTTTTTTAAAAAAAAAATTGAAAATATAGATGTTCCATGCTCTAAATATATGGCTTATTGGATGTTAATGGTACAGGAGTAAAGTGTTGCTATGAAACACATAACTGAGTTAAAAATCAGCAGAATTTTTACTCATAGAAACAAAGTATGGCCCTGCAATCCAAATGTAATATCAGTGGTAAAATCATAATAAAAGTCGATAAATTAAGGTTAGAGATAAAATGTGTGATTAAAATCAGATAGTAATTGCTGTTGTTTTGTAATATATCAGTGGTGTTGTATTTGATTAATCTCGTTAACTTCAGACCAGATCATCCAGATGCCACTTGATCGATCATTGATTAGCAGGGATTAGCCTGGAACATCCAGTTAAATACAGTTCAGACCAACCTTCCATTTAGATGATTATTAATGATTTTTTTGAACCAATGAGTTGAAATTCTCTAAACAAGACATTTAAGTTACTGATTACACTAGATCAGTGTTTCTCAACCTTTTTAAAGCTGACCTAGGCCAGTGCTTTTATGAGACTATGTGCTAATTACATGTTTAACATCCCCAGAGCAATCAATTTTGTGAAAAACCCTCACCTCAAAAACAATGAACATTCAAAATATTGTAATTTTTCATTAAAGCCCATTCATAATGCTATCTGAGGTTCCCAGCAGACTAGGTTGGCTCTGTGGTATGGGCTATACAATAGAACAGCCAGTTATATGCTGTTTTGACTAGATCATCAAGATACTGTTAGAATGAATGCTGTTCAGATTTGAGAAGTCCATTATATCTAATAGAAACATTGTTCAGGCAAAATTGTCTTAAAGCTGATGCTAACAAATGATTAGTCTTCATAATCCAGTTTAAATACTATTTAGATCAACCCAGGTCGTTAATAAGCTGCTAGATTGATTGCTGGGTAGTAGAAGGTACAATCTGCTTATTAGTAATTAAAGGTGCCCTCACACCACCATCACCGATATTTGTGTTGAATAGCGCTCATAAGTTTTGCACGTTTAGAACTAATGACTACTTTCATTATTCACTATCAAACACAACTGGAAAGCGCTATGGTGTGTGGGCACCTTAATCTTGTTAACTATCCACAGATTAGTAAAGGGTAGTCACAAACATTCAGTTGAAATACTGTCTAGACCAGATGTCAGTAGATTGATTGCTGATTTGACGAAATATCCTGATACATGACTGATTAGTCCAGAATGTCAATTTATAAACTGATTAGTCTATAATGTCCAGATTAAATATTGATAAGGTTATCTGATGTCAATTGATAGATCTGTGTGAATTAATAGTATTAAGTAGTGTAGTAAATGTTAACTACAAGTTATTTAACTTAATAACTTAAGGATTTCAGTAACATTAGAATGATAATCAAATAATAGTTAGAATTCACTTCTTAACCACAAAATGTTTTACTCAACTCTTAACGCTATCTGTCAGTCAAAAGTCACGCGATTGCGATATCTTAAGGAAATAGAATAGAAAATTTAGCCAATGCTTTGTGGATGAAAAAGTGGGTTAGGTTCTCACAAGAGGGAGAAATATGCTGTGAGCTCAATCATGCAAAATGAAAGTAATATTTTTATGCCACCACATGGGTACAATTCGTGATCTTGATTCTTGATGCAGTTGGTTTTTGATGAATGTATTTTCAACTTTACACTGTTAATATGTAATTCGGTCAATAAATTCTAATCACCTTGACAATTTGTATAAATAATTGACAGATTTATGATAAATCCCTGACTAACATATTATGAGTATAGATCAGAATTGACTTCATAAAATGATTAACTTTTTTTTCATTTTCAAACATGACTCTGTATGCATCATGCAAAATTATTTTTCACTGCAATGTTGTATACTTAGTCATTATGTAAGTCTCAATACCTTTATTGGTATTACAAATGTGTTTATAACTGAAATGTCTATATATTACCAATTTGGTATCAATGAAGATCAATTTGGAATTTGAGCTTTTTATATTAACCCCAACGATCTTAATTGCCATGGCTCACCATTTCCGGGGTTGATTTGGCCTTTGAACATACGTCAAAATTTCAAAATATTTTGTGAAGAAGCCTTGAACACTATTACTGATAAGTTTAGCTGAAAGACCTCTAAAACCTCAGAGGTACGATTGATTGACCTCCAAAATGGTGAGCCATTGCCTTTAACCAATAAAAATGCATTTTACTCTAACTTTTTTTATTTATCAATATAATACGTTACATACAATAGAATGAAATATTTCCACTGTTAAAATAGCGCTCAATACATCAAGTGTAGAGCGGAATTTCTAATATGTGATATATACAACTGTTGAATTAGAAAAGTATATAAAACTGTTCTATTATTACTATAAGCAAATGGATGTTGACAAGTAAAGAAAGTCTACTATATATATATATATTATATATGTGGTTTTGTTGTCATAGTAATCAATAATTAATATTTCTACTATAATATAGCACAACTTAGTATCAGTTTTATACACACAATATGTATATAACCATGTTTGATATATAAGCTAACTATTTTATCAGTAAAAGCATTTATATTATATAATATCATTGTCTTAAATACATATATTATATTCTGTCACATTCAAAGGATATTATAGTACGTTCAGATGATCAACCATTATTATTATAGCTATTCGAGCCCATTTTTACGTCCTCTGAATGTGATCTGTTAAACTTAAGCTGCTTTAACATGTACCTTTGGAGGTAATTTTTAATTATTAAAGCCAGCTTAGCTTGGCCGTCTGAACGCAAGTGGCTAACCTTAAGCCGAATATGTCATGTCTGCATGTGTGCATTCGTCATTATTACCTATGTCATAATCCACATGTGTAATGGTATTATGACCAGTAAACTTTTATGTCCGTCTGAACGCTCACCAAGAAACAGTAAACCAGACTCGAAAAATGATTTCTAGTTAAGCTACCTTCACATTAGTTGTCAGACCCCACTATTAGTTCAGAAATTGTAATATAATAAAAACTTTGAAAATGAGTAAAATGAAACACCATTCTGCAGTGAAATTGGATATTTTTCACCAAGAGACACATTCATTTTTAATAACCCAGGACATTTAACTTCAGATGACCAGACCAGATTTGAATCTTTAAGAGTTATGGAAAATTTTCTCAGCTATCACTATCAAAAATATATATTAAAAGGTGCAAATTTCACTGAAAGTCTTAACTATTTTTCAAGAGGAACCTTTACTGTTAAGATTTGTATAGTGATTATTGTTCAATGCCAAGGTTATCAATAAATCTGTAATATTGGCTTACCGTTATGTTACCACGCCTGTCTTCAATAATCTTTACTTTTCTTTCCCATAGTTCATAGTTAATATATATATTTCAGCGTACAGAATGTTAGATAAAAGATTCACCAATACCAGTAGACTGATGGTGTCGAGTAAAGTGTGGCAGAAAACCATTCCAACAAATAACTGTGATGTTTTGCTCACGTTTCCTGCTAAGACAGAGGATTCTACGCTTATGTGGCTTCTAGCAAGATTAAAGTGGCGTGTACCTGAAGTTGTCGTCAATGTCCGTCACCATAGTAGCTCTGGAATTTACGGATTTTATATGACAGCTTCGTATGAAAAGTGAGTATTTTGAAAGATGTGCATTTTGTAATGTAGACTTCTAAGGAAATATTGTTGAAGAGATTGAAATTTACTTTATGTCTTAGCTATTGATTTCAAATTTACTTTGATGCCTTATGTCTCCTAATCATAAGTTGTTCAAGATGATGTTGGAAAGTCATCAATCTATCTGGGCCATTTTCAAGTCATTAATCTCTGAAATTTTTCAGTTTATTGAAGGGTGCCGATGATTTAGCAATACAGAAGCCATTAAAATCAGAGTATGGGGGTGGATTGAAGGAATTCACTTTCGAAGATCAGGAATGTTTTGCTGGCGTGGAGGACGAAAAAATGTTTTTAACGAGTCAAGAACGACAATCTATTGTACATTATATGATAAATAATCTACGAGCTGAAGAAGGGGAGGAGCTTGGAAAATTGAAATTTCTAGAAGGACAACCCATTGGTGAGTGAGCTATATTTTTGTGATATTAATATTCCCATTAGATATACAATTATTGGCACAAAGTCTATTAGTTCATCAAAATACCACAGGTTTTACATAATGAGTTTTAAAATTAACAAATTTAGGTTAGGTTAGAACCACCCATTGAATATTCTCAAATAGGACCTGGGGATATACAGTAAAGATGTTTAAACAAACAATCCAAACTAGTTTCAAAGTGCAGACATGAGAACAAGAACTACCAGACAAACTTCAGTAGGGACATAGGCTGAAATAGGTCAGTTGTCTGACTATCACACAGCGTGAAACTCTGAGTAAAACATGTTTCAGGTTCTGTTTTGATATTTGTTTAAATTATAAAATCAGCTGTGAATCCATTAAGATTCCTTTCCTATTTACCTGAGTTTTATCATTTCAGTGCCATTGTTGGAGTCTAAGAATATCATATCTCAAGTCTTCCCTCTTCACAACAGTACAGACCTAGAAACTCTCAATAAAACTTGGGTTCAGGCTTTTGACAAAACACAGCCTTTAGGTGAGACTGAATTTTATATTAACATACATTTACTCCCATCCATTACAGCTTGTATTGATTAAATTCTTTTTTTGCAATTTTATCCAGTTAGATCAATTTTAAGATTACAATTTGTTTTCTTGTTTGGTGTTGTTATTGGGCTTAATTTTGGTTGCACATTGTGTGAAAAGAGCAATCTAAGATAATCTAATGTAGGAAATTGTTGGCATGAAAAGGTAACTAAATATATAGTATGTATAAATAAGAAATAGGCTAGAATAAGAGAAATTTTTAAAATCAGCTCATTTCTGGTTCTGTATGTTTTGAAAACAGAAACCATTCTAGTAGAAATTTTTGATGTAATTAATATTTTATGGTCTGTTAATTTAATTCATTATGAACTAGTATCAGATATCAGTCAGAATAAATTTAAACTGCATTGATAGGCCAATTATGATGGTTAAAATTGTTTTTTCACAAAAACATTCCACTGCTTTGGTTTGTAAAAAAATATATCATCTTTGACCAAGCATCTAGCATCCCTACAAATCTTGTGCAACCTGTTCCTAAGATGGGATTTTCGGATGAGATATATTAGCTTGTTTGCGGCAAGGCCAGACCATCAGGCCATTCAATAATCTAGCAACATAACTGCCAACTGTACACAAATTCAATTTACTTGTCAAATTATAAGTTTGTGTACTAATGATATCATTTGCAAGATTCATGATCTGCCCTTCACACTCGAGCCTTCGTTTTATGAAAATGAAAAAAAACACCCCAAAAACCTGAGGAAACAGAGAAATTTTAAAACACTTAAGACATGTACTAAGTGAACTAATGATGATAAGTACTTATTTAGCATATCAATTATAACATGGGCTAAATATGACAAGTACTGTAGAGTTAAATGTTAAATACATAGAACGTAATGAGTTTGTATGTAGTGACAGTATATAATCTAATGATTAATATTCAGGTAACAGCTGTGTATATCAAACATGATATGATTTGTTATTGATATGCCCAGTCATAATGAGTTTCTCCATAGGTAAAGGAGCTTGTTGAAATGTTACGAGCTCTAAGCAGCCAAATACAGCCACGTCAAAAGTCTACACATTACAAACTTTCATTCTGTTTTTTATGAGCTATTATGTTTAACGTAACCACCACAGTTAGGAGTGTAACAACAGCGCTCTATAACATTGTCCTGATAACCTTTCAACCTAACCTGAAGACCTCTGCTTTAACCAAATTTACACAAAATCACAAAGTCCCAGTGCTGGGATTGGTTAAAGCAGAGGTCTTCGTTAGACTTACTGTAGTCTCTACATTAAAAATGATAGAAATCAAAAAAATGGAAAAAGATTTGGTCTAATTTTGACTAGACTGCTCATTACTGCAATATTAGTCTAATGATCAATCATGAACTCAATACAGTCATTACAGACAAAAAAAAAATAAAATAAGGCATTGGCACTATTTGGGGATTTCGGTTCGATATCCTATGGGTTGACACAATAACTACTGCATTCTTTCTGTCAGTGACGCAGATTCGATGGAATGACAAGAGAAAGCATCTATTCTGAGCGAGAAAAGAACTTATGTATGTTGCTATCATTGTTAAATATTCAACATTGCATAATGTTACAGTCATACTGTTTGAGGGCATTTTATAGCACCCTACAGACTGGAATGATTAAGTCAAGAAATATGTAACTCTATGCGGGTGACATGTTGATGAATGAAAAAAAAAAAATGAGTTACATATCAATTATAAATCAATAATAATATTGACTAATGTGGTATGTGAGGTATTTTATCAAATGTATAACATAGATGAAAATAGTTCTGATGGACAGCTGTCTTACTAATGTCACCATACCATAACTTAGTTATTGACAGTTGTCTGGTGGAACAGGGTCAGAAAAACTTAATGGGGATTATCCACACCATCAAAGGTGTTGGGGTTTTACCTGATACATCTGGAAAGATGGATTTTTTTGTAGTTCATACAATTATTATTCAGCTACACCATTTTTTTTTATCGAGGTTGGGCAGATCCAAGGCAACGAGAAGGGTTTTCTACCTAGGTGCAGAAAATTTTGATAAAACAAGGCCAAGTTTTTCTGACCCTACTCCAGCCGCCAAGTGAAAAAATTCAGAGGCTGTTATAGAGGCAGACTAACCATATATAACTTTGATTTTGCTTTGCCAAAATCATTGGTGTCACCATTCTGGAATTCATGATACAAATTTTCGACATGGAACCAACTCTCCCTTTGAGAGATTCCTAATGGCTATTGATGTTCATTTAAAACATTTATTGCCTTTCTTCCTTTTTGTTTCCAAAATCACCTGTTAAAATGAAAATTATTCTTCTCTCTAATGCATTTATCTTCAAATACTTGTTCCCAAAACTTGCTGTCCTACTGGCACACATAATAACATAACTATATCTTTCCTTCTTCACAGACTTTGTAGAAAGAGTTGGTTTATTGGAAGGTTAGTTTTAAGTTCAGCTGGTGATGGCAGAACTGTGGGGCTTTAGGGTAGCAGGAACTTAGGCTGCAAAATTCTAAAACGCTTGAAGCTTGATTAATTACTTCTACAATACACTGCAATACTTACACAGACACATGGATGTGAATTCTAATAACTGAAAGATGCATTTTCTGACTTTCAGATTAGCTTTGCTTGTTTTATTCTATATCTGATGAAATCTATAAAGGTCACTTTCAGTCTTTAAATGATCACAAGAGCTTGATGTGCACAGGACTGGCTGCATCAACGGTTTTGGTGGTGGGCTTTATATACACATACTCTTGTTAAGGGATAAGCAATAAGGTTGAATTGCACGCATACACAATGTGCTTGCTTAGAGTTTAATTGATTTATTCCTAATACCTTTGTTTTGATTTCTTTGCTTTGCCTTGCATTTCCTATTGCCATTTACAGTTCTTGCTTCTTTATTATTATTACTATTATTATGTTTCTGAACAAATCTCTTTGACTATCAAGAAGTGTTAAATTTCATTTTACTTCAACTGAATATTAATATAACTAAGTATAATTTGATGGTATTTTTTAAAGAGATACTACCTCTTAGAAAGGACATAAAATTCACCTTCTTAAACATGACCTAAACATGATATATTCATCAGTAGATTACCTGGTGTCATAACTATACAACAGAATCCCTTTATAATCTTATTTGCCAAGTTTGAAAATCTATGTTATGTTCATTCTAAGAGGAAGTATTCCTTAAATGTCACTTTATCCATGTTTTAAGCATTACTATACACTGTTTTATGTTAATGAATATTTATCTATTTCAGATTCGATATGTGAATATTTTGGTGTTAAAATTGCTATGTATTTTGCTTATCTGGGTCATTATACCATTTCTCTTGTCTTTCCTACAGTATTGGGTATTTTATTATGGATATTACAGGGCAATCAGGTATGATACTGCAACCTATAATTGTGATTCAAAATTGTACCCACATTGAAAGAAAAAAATGAAATTCACTTTATGGTGTTTGAAAATCAGTTAGACTTAGTTCTTGGTTCTTCAGCAATCATGTTCACGTTTAAATAATGTATTTTGATATTTTGTTTCCAGGGTTTTGATGATTTCTCGTTTGTTTTATTTGCTGTTGTAAATGTGATGTGGGCCACGTTATTTCTGGAACATTGGAAACGTACGAGTGCCGAGCTGGCATATAAATGGGGAACACTTGATAAAAAAGATGAACTGTTAGAAGACCCCAGGCCACTTTTTAAGGTAGGGTATTTGTATTTCAATATAAAACAATGACAATGAAAAATTATGTTTCCCATCTTGAAGAAAAAATACTTTGTATCCTTTTTTTAAACAACATTGCAATTTTACATTATAACAAAGGTTCTTTCTCTTTTCAGGGTGACTTGGTGAAGAATCCAGTAACAGATCAGACATGTTTTGAATATCCAGCCTGGAAACGGAATTTATTTCGTTACTTAGTGACAGTTCCTGTTATATTTATTTGTTTGTTGGTTGTTTTTGTTGTTATGTTGCTGATATTCCAACTTCAAGAGTGGATCAATGCTTTAGTCTTGGCCGGTCGAATTCCAGGGTTTATCAAATTTTTACCAAAAATAATGTTAGCTTTATCAATTGGTGTGTTAGATGATATTTATAAAAAGATTGCCTATTGGCTCAATGATCAAGGTAAGACATGTTTCTGCTCTGTTAGTGTTACAACTTATAATATTGGGAGAGGGGTTGTAGCTCAGTTAAACAGTGTGTTGTCATGTACTCATAATTTTTTTGTTAAGTTGCATATAAATATGAAAAAAAGAATTGGTTAATTTTAATGAAATAAAAATTATATATCCCAGAAGAATTATTGCTAAGATAAGTAAGTGAATATTAACAATTGCCTCAGTGAACTCAACATTGTCAAATATGTCATTTTCCGAATCTACCTTTTTGGAAAATTTCAAATGGAACTAGATATTTGTAGAAATATAATTCAAATCTTGAGCAAATTTGTACTGTATGTTCTTACAGCATATTTTTACATCTAGAAATATTGGTATTTTTTTGTATTTTGCAGAGAATTATCGTCTAGAAAACACATATGAAACATCTTTAATTATTAAATTAGTTTTGGTATGTATTAATTGGTTCTATCTTTTGATTAATATTTATTCCCATAATATTATGTTGAATATATGATTTACCAAATTGTCCATATTCATTATTCTGAAAAGATACAGATGAATTCATATTTAAACAAATACAAATTCAAAATCTCAGTTTAAATGCAATGTAATTTAATCAGTGATGTTACCTGCAGAAAATAAACAGACAAATTGTTTAGAGCTGTATTCAATTCATTTGACACTACAATATTGAAGCATTTTCTTATCCAGTGTTTATCTTTGTCTTGTGCCAATGGTTTATGTTAGTTTGTAACATTGTTTATGTAAATTTTATATATAGAAATATTGTATATTTTCAGTTCCAGTTTGTAAATTCATTCCTATCATTATTTTATATTGCATTTTATTTACAAGATATGAGTCGATTACGTGATGTAAGTATATTTATATCTTGATATTGAATGTTGAGCTACAGGATAGAAAATAAACAGGATAGGACACACTTATTGCAATTTTACTATTGAAGATTTCTTGCAGCTGCTTCTAGATTTAAATTCTGAAGATAGTGATTCCATTATTTCTGATGAATGAAAAACTAGTAGACCATATTTAAAATTCATTAGCATTTTCTTTCTTTCAGCAATTGGCAGCCATTTTTATAACACGTCAAATTGTTGGAAATCTAAAAGAAGTTTTCATGCCATATTTTATCTGGAAATTCCGGTTGTTTAAAGTCGGGTATAAAATGGCGGGAGAAATGTCACCAGGAAGTATTGCTAGGGAGTTTAAGGAGATGACAGAACCTACAAAAGAAAAAGTTGAAGCAGATTCACCATTGTTAGCTCAAAAATCAGTAAAAGTGGAATCCCCAGTCAGAGCGAAAACACCAGATTCAGGAAGCCCATTTTCATCAGACATAGAAGAACCAAAAATATTTTGGCCATTGGACAAACTTGAACACAGAGTTACAGTGTCGTCTGGTTATGGTAGTTCCCATTCAGATGATATGACATCATCAACAGAACCTGTGACATCATCGGAACATATGACATCATCAGCATCTGTGACATCAACACCCATGACATCATCATCATCTGATGCAACAACAACAACAGAACTGCGGCCAGAAAATGGAGAAGATAAGCATCAGGGACCAGTTTTAACACAAGCTGAAGTAGAAAGTGTCATGAAACCGGTAAGTTGTCGATCTAAACAAATCATCCACATGCTCAAAGACACTTGTACATAACAGACATTTATCCACAGGGGCATGAATAGATTTAAGTTACTCCACTTTGAGGTATAATGAGATTCTAGTAATTATTTGAGTTAAAAACCTGAGGCTCATTTGTTTTGCAACCTTTGATTTTCTTGATTTGGAAATGCTGTTGTACTTGCAAAATTTCTCTTATGGCATACTGCATAGCAACGCTTGTCTTCAACAACTCGATATTGAGTATAGAACAGCCATAAGTATATGCATGATCTCAATTCCATTGTGATTACTGATAAGATAATGAACATAACTCTGGATTCCATGTTATTAGCCTAATAAGGTAGAGAACAGGAGGATTTAAACTTTTATTGCAGTATACTGATACATGGGAAGATTATATGGAGATGGTCATACAGTTTGGTTATGTGACGCTTTTCTCGTCCGCCTTCCCTCTTGCTGCCTTGTGTGCCTTCATTAATAACATTATCGAGATTCGCAGTGATGCCTTTAAACTTTGTTTCCATCATCAAAGACCATTTGGTAAACGTGTGGGAAGTATTGGAATTTGGCAGGTAAAGAAATATGGCTGGCGTAATAACTTATTCCCTAGCGACCAATTACGCAATATATTCCAGAATGGCTCTAATCAAAGTTAGTGTCATACTCTTTAAGTTCTATTACTTGGAGTTCAGGATATACAACGTTTTAGGGTTAGGTTGTCATCCTTTTAACCCTTCAAAAGCTGTGAGAAGGAAATTTCTATCTTGACTTGATAATTTTGATGCTACACTTGGCAAGAAAGATATTAATAGGAATAATGTTAACCTTTTTTTCATGTAACAGTATCAGGACAGGACAGTCTGGAAACATTTATATTTTAAGGATACGAAGAAGAGTATTGGTAAATAGTAAACTGTATTGATCCTGTGTTTTGTTATTTTACAGGATGTTATGGAAGCTATGGGTATTATAGCAGTAATAGTAAACTGTGCTCTAGTTGGTACGTCTGGTATTGTACCACGTGTAGCTCCTGACATGTCTAGTTCTACTACCATATTAATGATTATAGTAATTGAGGTATGGCAGTACTGATTGTTTAAAAAAACTTATTTAGTATTTAGTTTAGTTTAGTAAAAGTAAGAAACTTACAAACACTTGAATAAGTTCTAAGAATTCTGTCTACCAGCTAACTCTTTACTAAACCTCAATTGTCAAAATATCTACCCATTTACAACTGGTTTGATTATAATACATGTAATTACCTTTCATGGATATGGTCCAAATTCTGTCAAGGAACAAATTATAAATTTTTTCAATTATTTTTTCAGCATGTGATTCTGTTATTAAAGTTTATATTAGCTAACGCCATACCGGATGTGCCAGAATGGGTTGCTACAGAGAAAGCAAAATTAGAATTTAAACGAAGAACAGCATTAAAGGTTTGTTTATCGTTATTTTTCGTGGCTCTTGCTGATTTCTCCAAGTGCAAAAATTAAAATTAAAATTGGTTAAATAAAACATTTTAAGCTATATGGAGATAATAACATATGACATCTAAATGTTTAAAGTTACTTTGCTCGAATTCTTCTGAAGATGAAGTTTGAAATCTATTATTTTTTTTTCTTAGAGATTAGAATCACAAGGAGGAGGATCACCAGACGTCAAAACCAAAACAACGTTAAAAACTGACAGCGTTGTTAATACCATGTCTTCCCAGAATCACAATAACCGTGACGATCGTTCAGGTACAGCCATGACAGATGATGAGATCCGTGAGAGACAGATGCAGAATCGAAACTTAATAAATGCTTCCCATGCTTCACCAAATAATATGGAGAGGATTGTTTCCAGGACAACTGAGAGATCTTCTTCTCGACGTCTGTCAGAGACAAGTAGTGAAGGTCAGAGACGCGTGCTGGGCAGACGATATACAGATCCACGAAACAACACCATTTATAATCATCATCGTCAAGAACCGAAGCGGGAAAATTCCAGAAACACTTCACCTATGCATACATATTCCTTTGATGATCGGTATGATCGCGTATTTGGACACGATTATCAATATCGAGACACATCACCTGCTCACTCCACAAAAAGTAGTTCTAGAAGTCCCATTAAACAATTGCTGTTGGATGAATACATTGCTTCCTACAATTCACCGGTTTCTCACGATCGCTCACAGATTCCAAGCAACAAATATCTCGATAGTCATTTGAGGAAACGAAATTTGTCTCCAATAAAAGTGTCCAGTAATCCAGGCACATGGCGATCAAGTAGATCACCTAGTCCAGGAAACAAGATGAGATCTACAACACCCGGTTCACGACCAATGAGTCCTATTGCCCATGACAGCACACCTAGTCCTTCACCTTCCCCAACAAATTATAAAGTTAGTGCTCCATTTGCTACAGGGATTGCCTCCCCTACAATGCCAAGAAGAAGGAAAGATATCATCAAGCAGCAATCCCCACCCAAAGACTTAAGTAAGAATTTTGCTGCAATTGAAAAACAGCAGCAATATATGAGTAGAAACGTGAGCGATTGTTTACGTATGGACAGTAGAATTCCGGTTGCTGAGCACAGGCCAGCCGTTTCAGCACCATTTGCTCTGTCTTTAGATTGAACAGACATTTTTTATACTTATTCATTCCAAATAATTTGTGTTCATATGAATTTTCTGCTGAACCCTTTTCTATTTATCTTCTGAGAACTACCAGAATCATGAAAATCTTACAAAATATTAATATTGAACTTTGACTCTAAACTAGCATAATCTCTAACCTAGCATAATCATCATCATCATCATCATGACTGACAAGAATATTGTTTATTCAACTTGTGAAATATTAAAGAGAAGAGAGATAAAGAATGACTGTGAAGGTTTTAAAGTTTGTAACAAATGTGAGAGATGCGAATTGCAAGACAGTTGATAGAAATTCAAGATACATTATCAACAGAAGAATGTTCATCTTATTTAAAGATATATATTTATTTTTGCATACCATGTGTAAATTGGTTTAGTTATTTTGTGATTTTTCATTCCAATTCAAAGCAAAGTTCAGCTTTTTTTCGCACAAAATTCAGCCATTTTGGATTTGGTGATCTGCAAAATTGTGATAGTGTCATTTTCATCCATTGATACTCAATTTGTTATTCAGTTTAGAGAAGATCATTTAGTTCCAGTTGTCATCATAGCCAGGTTATATAAGTACTAACGTCTTGTAAAACTTGAAATATTGAATAGTGTCTGAGAATTTAATCATTGATCAAGGATCTAGCAGGACTAGATGATGTGTATGTAAATAAAGGGTGGAAGGATCTCAAATTTTATAGAAATATTATATACTAATGTTTTCAGCTGCTTCATATCTTTAACATGTTTTGTTTTACTCATATCACGTCACAATTTCTCTCCAAATAAGGACGTCTAAAGAAATAAACAAACACAAATTTCACATTCAAGTAAAACTTACTTTTAGGTTTTAAAAATAGTCCATAGATTTGCATAATTATAAGCAAGATATTTATGCCATAATATTTTACAAGAAACTCATTTCATATTTAATACCTTAACTTTAATATTTTTTACTGTTACTTTTCTGTATATATGTCTTGTTGGTGTTTGGTTGATCTAGTGTCACCATGGTCTAAAATTTATGTTGTTTCTCCTAATTCACATTATGTGTTGAAGTCAGTTTTATGAAAGCTTTCAAGAAACGCCCAGTTTTCTTTGTAGTTTGTGACTATGGGATCCAGGGTACTTTTGAATATATTTATTAGGGCAATTTTAGATCTATATTTGTTTAATATTTCTATAACATTTTGTAAATTAAGTCAAATGTAGCTTGCTATTTTTGTATTTTTTGCATATGTTTTACTTATAAATAAGATATTTGTTAAGATTAAATATTTTAATGGTTGTACAGATTCAAACATTCCAATTCAATATTTAATGGTTTTGTATTCACAAGTACTAACTTTTAGTCCCCCATCAACTCTGGTCTCAATAACCACCAATTATCCACCTTCTAATGTAGTATAGTAAAAGGCTTTGTTCAGATGACATTATTGGAGAAGCTTAGGCTTGAGGTGAGCTAGGATATGCTGGTTATTTTTTGTTATTTAGTAGTTTATATTTATATAAAACCATTTATCTTGGGACAGATGGGTAAAGTACTTTATCTTAAGCTGTTCATAAGTTTCAACTCTCATTCAACTGAGTTGTGAATTGCTTTCGGAACTCTTGACCACTTTCACTATTCACAACCATACGCAACAGTTAATCGCTATTGTGTGAGGGCACCCTTATGTATAGAATTTATTTAATCATCTACATTTTACATATCCCCTTTTATTACTTTCGCATAATTCATCCTCGTTTTATTTTTGTTTTTTCAATATTTTAGCTTAAATCTCTTAATCTTAAATCCTTATTTTGTTTTGTTTTTTCCGTCCTTTTTTTGTTAACCTTAAATTGTCATCAGAAAGTGCAATTGTTGTATTTATTATTTTGTTTGTTTTTGTTGTTTTTTTGTTATTTTATGACAAGTGTTCATGACATTATCTGCCTGAAATAATTCTGGAGTAAGTTGGTGGCATCTGATCTTTGAACCTGCAGGTTGATATTTTGGTAAATATATTTGATAGAGGCTTTGGTTTTTGACAAGTTATGTTCATTGGGCTTGAAATTGTTCTAAAAATAGGAACAATTTTAAAAACTTTTTACTTTGCACAGACAATAAATCAATGGTATAGAGGTCACAATTAGTTGTCACCATCATGTATCATGCCATTATTCAACCAATTAAACAAAAACTTTTCTAGCACAAAATGTTTCAAGAATATCAGCGGGTTGGGTCAAAGGTTAGATATTTCAGACTCCTATTACCTTTGATTGAGCTATTTGAGATGTTGACTTGAATACACCAAATAATATTAGACCATTTGATAACCTATATTGTGTTTATTGAAATACAATGACTTATTATATTTGATCATTTTGACCAGTACTAATGATCTAATTTATCTGGTGTATATTGACCAATATCTGTATCTATTTTATTTTGACTTTGTAAGTTCAAACTGAGCTTTTCTTTTTCTTTTTTTAAACCTTTTTTCTAAAACTATTGGTCAAGGCAGCTTGAAATAAAATGGTTTCAAAACTTTGTTAGTTTCATTTTAGTGAAGAGTTAGAAATGTGACCAAATTGAAGTACTGCAAGATATGATATTGCCTGGCACTTGCCTAAACATGTAGTGTGAAAACACTGTCTCATGAAAGAAATAACAAGATGTACATTCAATCTCTCAAGGGCCATAATATCTAAATAAATGAAATGATTGGAGTTTTACATTCTACTGTTCTACATCTTTTTATAGGCTAATAAAAACGGGTATTATCTAAATGAGCAATTCCTTTCAATTAGAGACATGATTAAATTGAATAACAAATATATATATTTAACAAAAGTAATAATTGTTCATGAACAAGATAGTTACATATCAAAATCATCCTTTTTACTATAAACTTGTCTTGAGCCCAATTCTTTAGAGCTAGTCAAGACAGAATCTTCTCCATCTTGGATCTACATGAATTGGCATAACAATCAATTGCTGGTTTGAGACATCCACCAGTTTCCAAGAAACGTTCTGATTCCATTTAAACAATGCCATATTTCATGATACCCTTAGGTCAACGCCTATTTTGATAAAAACGAAAATTGTTAACTGGATCAATAAACTGGTCCCTCATCACCTTCTTCTTCTTCCTCAGCTTCTCCATTATCAAAATAGCTCTGACCATAATCAGTCTCCTATAAAAAGAAAAAAAATATGTTTTCCAAACCCAGAAAAGAAGTGGTGAAAATGTTTTCCTAAACTGAAGGAGAAAATAAAACGGCAGAGAGAAAATATATCAATTGGGCGTGAAGCTCTTCCGGAAATTGAAATGCATATCATCACTTGCAAGTGAAATCACCCACAGAAAACGAAATCATCAAGAATTGCATCTTTATCAGATTGTTAAAACTAACTAAAAACAAAAAAACCAAAATATATTCAGCTCTTACATCTTCAATTTCTTCATCTTCAATGACTTCTTCCTGATCTGCTCCATCCTCCTCATCTTCATCTTTCTTCTTCTTTTCTTCCTTTTTATCTTCATCTTCCTCTTCCTTTTGATCTGGTTTATCGATCTTCTCTAATGACTGAAATATTATAAGAAGATTTGGTATTAAGATTTAAATGTCATTTAAAAGTGGAGAGCACATACAACAAAAAACACGAATTAGATTTTGGAAACTCACCTCTTTAATAACACATAAAGTAAATAAGTACATAATATTTCAACACAATTTGCACATCATTACCAGTATGTACTTTGTTTTGTTATAGGTTGAGTACTATTGACAGACACGACATGTATGTTGCTTTGCTTCTTAAGTTGGCGGAAGCTTTGATATAAGTAAAATATCACAAAATTAAAATTCATACATGTTACATCTTTTCAAATAGAAATAACAGAGAGGAAAGGGTAATTCTACAAGGAATCAACTGTGGAACTTTGTCTGGAGGGAAATTTCAAACCCATTATATAATGTTGTCCATAATGATGACACTCCAACTTGCTGTCTTGTCAAAAGTTTATCAATATATTACGATGCAATACAAAATTGAGTACCTCTAATTTCTTTGCAATGTCCTCTTTCTCCTTATCTGAAACTTTTGGTTTTTTAAATTTTGGTTTAATTCCTGTAACTTTCTTTCTCATTGTAACTGGTTTCAATTCAGCTGGAAACCTGCGCCAATCTATAAGTAAAGAATTTTCATTCAACATAACACATAAAGTAGCCATGTAAAAATCTTCTTAAGACCATATTCACAGGTATAGCATTTTCTCTTCTCAGAGGAATTTCTCAGGTGACACTCTCTAAAACCTACCTAACTTACCTGGCTGCCATTTTCTCTCACTGTCTTGATGAGCAGCCTGATATTTATCAGAATATCTTTCCACATCTTTCTTCTTCTCACTGATTGACAGATAATATGGGGATTTCCTAGCAGCTCCTCTAAATTCCTGTTTTAATGCCAACATATAATCATAATCTTCGTTCTGAACCAGAGATGCAGGCTTGTATAACTGCGTCTTTCAAAAATTGAAAAAAAATTAATTGAAAATTGGGCATGACTATGAAATTGATCTTAAAAGTGCTTCTGATTCTGTCCACGTATTGGTATTATGAAATCAAATTTTTGAGTAGTAGTAGGCCTACTTCCTTTCTATACTCAGTAAAATAATTGGATGACAAAAAGGGACAAAGAAATGGAACTTTTGCGTTCTGGCTCTACGTGATCTTGTTGGCATCTAACCAAAATTTCCCTAAACACTCTACTAATCTATAAATAGCTCACCGGAAACAATGGTCGAGGTTGTTGAACAGGTGGTGGTAGAGATTCCCCTCTTCCGAAACCTAACATTTCTACATTGAACGACCATGTCTTTCCTCCCCCACGTCCGCGACCTGCCATGTTTTACCGTATAAGATTGTTAACTCACAAAACTTATAAGACAAAAATAATCATTAAATAAAATAAGTTTTCGTCATGATATGGGCGCTGACATCTTGAAAGAGTATTCATTTTTCATCAAAAGCTACAAATTTGCCTCTGTGTGTCTATTGATACAATTTCATGCTTTCTCTTGTCTTCAGATGAAAATAATGATATTCAAATATGATTGCTAGTGCATAAAGAGGCATGAATAAATCACGTTTGATTTACAAATCAGTGACCCACTTTTGATATGTTTCAGACAACAATACATGCTCCCTTATCAATGACCTTCACCGAGTAATATTGTGATCCCGAGCTTGACCCCGATAATAGCAATGGCCGACAGGTAAAAGTTGGTCAGTGAATAGCATTACGTAAAAAAGCTTTTTCTTTCACTTGACCTTTATATTTTCAAAGTGATAGGTATATTTTAGTTGCATTGAACTTCAAAAAGTTAACCAGCAGAAACCAAGTCGTTATCTTTGTTTGTAAGTATATTTTCTGATCAAAACAATGTAAATTTTTATTGATTTTCAGGATTGATATTTGGGTTTGTGGTGTTTACATTTTCTATTTATAGCAACAAGGGTGTATTGGAGGCCCACGTACTTTTGTAATAGTTTATTTTTGGTCATTTTTGAGTATTTAATGCAGCCTATTATATGAAACCTTTTCTTCATTGAACACAATTTCAGTGATTTAAGTTGTGTTTGGGTTTATAATTGGATCTGTTACCAAAAAAAAAAATTGAATAGGCTAATGTCAATGTACGATGTGTTCAGACAAATATGTTTCTGTCCAGGAAGTGTTGTAAATGTTTGATCCATAAAAGTAATGTATAAGTGGCAGCATTTGTGTTGATGTGGCAGCTTAAAGGTTCTTTTGACAAATTTTGTTTAATAGGAAAAGTAATAATGGCTAAATCAAAATCTTCTTAAACAGAAATTTAGAGTTCAGTTAAGGTACATAACTGCTTGTTATTGTTCAGTACCAGTACCACCATGTACAGATAGAGGACAGTAAAACATATGAATAATGTGGTTGATTTGTATCTCTTACTGAAACTCCTGAAAGAGATGTTGTGATGTTGCTTCAGCAATTAACTTTAATGAAAACCAACAATATTTTGACAGATATTGCATACCCATTTTTTTTTTATTATTCTTGTTAGTTTGAAGGTGGCACATACTAAACCTATGAAAGTTATGAAATAGCCAAATTTCATTTGATTGATTTACAATATGTTGTTGGTTATTGTTATACAGATATTACTGACCCTCTATCAATATTTATTATTTTAGATATAATCTGTATACAATAGTTATACATTAAAGATGTCTGCTGTGTTATGTGGAAGAATTGCTATTGGTTCTGTTCGATCTAGAGCTTCAGGTAGAGGCAACTACTATATTATGTTATGTTAGCTCAAATAATACAGTTCATATAAGCTTATATGAATTAAGCTGAGAAATATTTAAACAGAACCCCAAAAAACATGTTGTTGTTACTCTGAGTTTCATACTATGTGATCTTCAGACAACTGACCTATATTCAGCCTGTGACCCTACTGAAGGTAGACAAGTAGATCTATTCTCATTTCTACATTTCGAGACAAGCTCGGAATGTTTGTTTAGAGAAGTGTGTTAGGGGCATTAATGATAGAAAGCTTCAAACACTAAGCTAATATATGATATAATATATTTATAATGTAATATGATATATATTTCCTACAGCTGATAGATTATTATATGATGAACATAGTCATAATTTACAATGCACCATAAGCTTATATTTCAATTTCTTTCACAACTCCAGTTCATATGATGAGATTATCTGATTTACTAAATTTATACAGTGTTTTACAATTATACTGTACCCTATTCATTAAAAAGCGTAGAAACATGTACTAAAACAATTGTAAAGTGCAAAGAAGGAAGTTGAAGGAATTTTTTATAATTATTTTTATCATAAATGACTTAATTTAGAATCACACTTATATCTGAATAAGGAAATATGAACTTCTTGATAAAAATTAGTTAGTAAGATATTTCAGAATGATTTCAAAATATTAAAAGTTAAATATTGTGAATCAGTGAGTTCTTTTAGCGCAATAACAACGCCCTACAAATAGTTTTATGATCAGATGAGTAACAAAGTATTTCATAAGAAATATTTGTGTCATTTAGAATTCTCGTCAAGTCCATCGGTACAAATACAATGGAATAATGACTCTATGCTTCAATTAATCAAACAAACAATAAGCATGATTTGACCAAGATCAATAATAATTTTGTCATCTTTATTTTAGTTTTAAGTGTTCAGCATGCTAGAGTATTATCACCAATATCACGGTCCAGCCCTGTTCGTAGACCATCAGAAGAAAGGTATATAACAACCTCAGCCACCTGTTTAGGTCGAGGTACTGGGGGAGGGGGCAGTGGTAGAGGAGGATCTAAACATTCAACCTGTCCAAAATGTGGATCACCACTTGAAACTTTTGATTGTAAGTACTTGTTCTAAGGTTATAAGAATAGTTTATGATGTAAGTTTAAGCTTGTATAACCATCAATAACACTATGTCTTCAAAATCTGTTTTTACAGAGGGAAATGTTCAGTCAAATTTGTGACTATTTTGGGTTGAAATTTCTAAGGAATTGTGTTTCTTTTCAATGTAAACATTATTTTTTTATCAACAAAACAGTACTATTTTGAGACTGCTATTTCAATTCTCATAAAAATAATGAATAAAATTTAAAAGATATTTAACTTTTCTCTCAGACAGTAATACTTATATTTGATTTAATTATATATCTATGCATAGATAACTTCAATATTTCAGCATCCAGTCGTTTTGTTTCTTGTGAAAACTGTAGATACTGTCTGTATGTGGATGGTAAAAATTCAGAGGAATGGAACCAACCTGAAGAACCTCCAGAACCTGAAAAACGGATTCCACCTCCTACAAAGGTTTGACACCTGATTTATTATAAAAGCATCCAGTTGAAAGATAATTTACTTTCATTCAAATTAACTCAAGCATTTGCTACAATTGAAAATCTAAAAATGATTGATGAACTGTACCTGTAGGGCGTAGGCCATGACCAAATTTGTTCAGTGTATTTGATAAGTTCATTCCAACTGTTAGTTTAGATTTAACTTGTGTATTATCCATTCCATATTATTTCAGATCCATGAATATCTTGACAAGTTTGTTGTGGGTCAAGAACATGCTAAGAAGGTGTTATCAGTGGCTACGTATAACCATTATAAACGTATTAATCATAACTCAGCTGGCAAACCATCCACGCCCAGTAATACAACAGAAAGTAAAATGATACCTACTGAAAGCTCACAACACTTTCAAAACAGATATACTAGTGGTAGGACATCTAGTTATTGTAAATTTATTCTTATTGTACCTCAAGTTTTTAGTTGACTTATACTTGAAAGATACTGTCTACAATATATCATCCAATGAAAAGATTAAAAAGAAGCTACTAAATACTATAATTTTGTTATGTAGATTAGCTAGGATTTCTAGAAAATGTGACATTAGTAAGCTGGTTTTATTAACTTAAATATGTCTAAGGAAAAGCTTTTAATCTATTTTAAGTTCTTATGATATAAAAAGTTATTTTATGTTAAATATCTATTGCAGACTTATCAGAAATTGCAAGACAAACTGGAATCAGACCTGGCAATCCCCTGGGACCTCGTTCTCACCAAATACATCAATCATTCCAGCAGCTGCAGCAGAACCCTCCGGAACCGGAAGAGACAACCTCGCGGCCATCTGATATCCTCAATGCTACAACTCATACTATTAAACTAGAGAAAAGTAACATTATACTTCTAGGACCAACTGGAACAGGTACTAAGGTTCATTATTTATTTGTGGGGTTCTGTCGCACAGTCGGTTAGAGTGTTTGGTTACATTGAAAGAATGTGTCTGACTTAGACTTCCTGATAATTGAATGTCAGTAATATGGATGTTATTTGTATTCAACATTTCTCAATCAAACATCATATGAAGAATTCAGTATTATTCAATCAATCTTGTTTATAGGGGTAACATACTGGTTTCCACAATCTTAATTCTAATGGATTGAAAACAAATAATTTGGCATCAAATTTTGTTTTTCTCAGTTTGAACATGAGGTTGTATTGATTGACCTAATTTGATTGATCAAATTTATTTATTAATATTTTCAGGAAAGACTCTACTAGTTCAAACATTAGCCCAGTGTTTAGATGTACCATTTGCCACGTGTGATTGTACCACACTAACACAAGCTGGATATGTTGGCGATGATGTAGAGAGCGCTGTTGCCAGATTATTAAGCGAGTGTAATTATAATGTAGATAAAGCACAACAAGGTAGGGTTCTACATCTCTTTCTAGTTTTGAATTAAAGCCATAGGGTAGGGTGGAGCAGCTGCCTGTAATGTAAGAGGTTAAAGATACTTCAATGTAAATGCAAAAAATCATCAAAAACTCTCTTTTTATCATTTTATTGAGGCGTATTTGAACTTTGATTACTGATATCTATTTTTTGTTGTTGTAGGTATTATATTTCTGGATGAGATTGATAAAACAGCTAAACCTAGTGGTCCTGGTTTCATACGAGATAGAGATGTAGGTGGGGAGGGTGTTCAACAGGTTAGCTTTAATTTCTGTTTATTTCTTAGGCCCCCTCTTTAATATATAAGGAGATAACATAAATGGTGTTATTTATGGGGTCGTTTGATTGGTTAGTTCTGCATGTTCAGGATTTATGTAATCAAGTTGGAACGGAGTTCAGCAGGCAATATATGTGTGCCGAAAAAATAGTAGATGCAGACAGAATTCAAAATGGAGGAGAAGGAAGTAGATGGGAAGATTTTGAATGTGACATTCTGTTCGATTGAGGGTAGAATTGGAACAGACAAAGCCTATTCCCAACTCTCCAATCGAGCGTCACCCTTAAAAAAATTTATTCAAGAAAGGAAACAATCATTGAACCATTTTGACTGGTATAAATTAACTTAAACAATATGCTATCTTTGCAGGCGTTTTTAAAAATGTTAGAAGGAGTGGTTGTCCAGGTTCCAGAGAAGAATCGTAAAATTAGAGGAGAATCTATACCAGTTGATACAACTAATATACTTTTCATAGCTTCCGGGGCTTTCAATGGTCTAGATAAGATTATTAGTCATAGGAAAGATGAAAAGGTAAAAATTATAACGTTTAGATAGTAAATATATTGACAGTGGAATTTGTATATTGTATATTTGTGGAATATATCTAGTTATGTCTGAAGTAAGCTGTTAAAAATTTCATGTATACTTTTGTGATTTTAGAGAATAGGTTTCCAAATCCCAACCAAAAAACCAGAAGGACAAACAGCAGTACCACAACCAAAACCTTCAGAAGAAAAAATTGATCCTTTTGCAAAGAAAACAGCTAAGACTGAAAATGAAGAACATGATCTGTTGTTGAAAGATGTAGAAGCTTCTGATCTCGTCAAATTTGGAATGATCCCAGAGTTTGTTGGAAGGATGCCGATATTGGCACCTCTGCATTCCTTAGATAAAGATATGTTGTGTCACATCCTGACTGAAACAAATAATGCTCTGATTCCCCAGTTTCAAGCTCTCTTTAACGATGATGATGTAAGTTTATTTCTTTAATCAATTATAATTGTGGGGGTTATTTATATGTCTTTGATAATGATCATTTGGAACTGTAGTAGCACATAGATAAGGCTTTGGGATTATCTGTACCTATTAACAGCTGGGTTTCATTTTAATTCTCAAATAAGGTATTTTAAACAAAATGGATTTTAACCAATGTAATGTATCTTTCTGTATATTGTTGATATATTTTCAATCTGATCTACTATAGGTGATACTAGAAGTCCATCAAGACGCTATAGAAGCTATAGCTGCTATGACTTTAGAGAAAAAAATAGGAGCTAGAGGTCTCAGATCTATAGTGGTACGTATTTTAGTTCTGTTTTCATTTGGATTTTAGGAACAACACTGTTTTAATCTGACTACTGATTCTGAACACTGTTTTAATCTGACTACTGATTCTGAACATTGTTTTAATCTGACTACTGATTCTGAACATTGTTTTAATCTAAATACTGATTCTGAACATTGTTTTAATATCTAACTACTGATTCTGAACACTGTTTAAATCTGACTACTGATTCTGAACATTGTTTTAATCTAAATACTGATTCTGAACATTGTTTTAATCTGACTACTTATTCTGAACATTGTTTTAATCTGACTACTGATCCTGAACACTGTTTTAATCTGACTACTGACCCTGAACATTGTTTTAATCTAAATACTGATTCTGAATATTGTTTTAATCTGACTACTGATTCTGAACATTGTTTTAATCTAACTACTGATTCTGAACATTGTTTCAATCTGACTACTGATTCTGAACATTGTTTTAATCTAAATACTGATTCTGAACATTGTTTTAATCTGACTACTGATTCTGAACATTGTTTTAATCTGACTACTGATTCTGAACATTGTTTCAATCTGACTACTGATTCTGAACATTGTTTTAATCTGACTACTGACTCTGATCATTGTATTTGGTTTTACAGGAGAGAATATTATTAGATGCTATGTACCAAGTTCCTGGTTCTGACATATCAAAAGTAATAATTGATAGTGAAGTGGTCAAGGGCAATAAACCTTTCAAAAGTGTAAAGAAATCAGAGGAGGATGTAGATCTAGAAGTGTTTCGAGAACCGCAAATAATTGAGGTTAAATAATGTTAAAGTGTGTTTTAATATAATTTTTTATTTGTATGAAACTAGGGATTGAATGAAGATGAGAAAATGTTTGTGAGTAAATGTTGAATTTGTTATGTATGTGACATTAAGAGCTGTTGATTTGACCTTATTTGCAAAGTCTTCGAAATATCATGCTTTGATTTCTGTCAATACATAAATAAACAATTTGGAAATCATGCACTTGATCATGAATTTCTGGATGTAAATATTGTGAACCAACAGCTCTGATAAAACAAAAAAAAGATTTCAGCCGATTTGAGGCCAAGAATAATGTTATAAGTCTTAAAATCATTCATTAGTAATTTATAATTGTTAAATTGTACCAAAAAATCTCCATCATGATTTACTATGGAGCTCTTAATACCCATATTTGGATAATCTTTTAATTGAGAACTTTTCTTTAAATCCACAAGTTTTCAGTTTTGATTAATGCTAAGTAGGTAGTTTAAGATACAATTTGAAAGTTCAGTACATAATTTAGGACTAGCCAATATAAAGCATAGAGCAGAAGAATTTTTGTTGTATTTTTTTTAAAATAGATTTGATAAATTTTATCAACTGTATCAACTTATGAACTATCTTATGTTTTATTTATCTGTTAATTTTTCTGTTTTTTGTTTTCAAATTTTATATCAGTTTTTCTTTGAGAGGAAAACATCTTGTGCAACCTGACTCTGTGTTCTGTTTATTGATATGATTTGATGTGAAATCTTGTTATTTTCAATGTTCACTAATAAATATACAATTATTGGATCTTTTCTCGCTCAAAAAAGAAAAAACAGTTCTTTGACGAGTCTTGAGCTTGTATTGGTATTTCATGTATAAAAATGTGTTGCATAAAAAAAGACAGTTCTCTGTTGAACTCACAAAAATGTGTTGTGCACACAGGATTTGACTTCAACAAGTGAAGGCCTAACAAAGCAAAATTGTCTGTTTATTTGAAAATGATCTTAAAATATCTTTTGTTAATGATCCAATGATATAGAAGTGTAGAAGACCTATTGTGGCCCCCGATATTTGTTACTGACCTATCTTACCAGTTTAATTCATAAGAATGTAATATACATGTATTTGTTGTAATATAATATAGAATAAAACATGTTGACAGAGAAACTCATCTTCACTTCTTGTATTTAAAGGGGAAGAGTTGGCATTGACAGGGATTGATTTGGACAATGCTTCATCTCATCATGATTTGGCACTGCCTGGCACTTTGAGAATTCAGACTGTTCTGTACGCTATTTCAATTCAAAGTTTCCCAGAAAAAAAAATGACCTTTACACATTATATAATATGCATTAAAAACAAATCAAGACTTTACAATATTTTAATTCTGTACATAAATATACAACTATTACACGAAACATAACAATTAGCTTTATAAATACTCTTAAGTCATAAAGTAACAATCGAATTTCATTCTTTAGGCTTCTCTGTAAAATCTAGAAAAGATATAACCCAGATATTTTGCTATGATAACCATTGCACTTAAATAAACGGGCAATGCCAAGAAAGTTCATAGCACTGAAGATGGAGTTGCACTTTCAGGAAACTAAGTCTTTTTGGACTGTCAACAGTTCTGTTTATTTTTAGGTTCAAATGTTTATGAACCAGTAACCATTCACTTTGATTTTCCACCTTTATTTCTGCGTTTTTTAATATGTTTGGGTGTTTTATCTTTTCTCTTCTCACGTTTCTCGTCTTTCACAGCTTTTTTTCTCTCCTGAAATAACATTATTAATTCGTTCATGTTTAAATTACTTCCCATGGGACTTGCATCACTATGACACATATCAAAATTTCTAAAAATCAAAGATCTCTGTTTGTACCAATGTAATAGAAAGCCAATTCAACTTCCCTCAATAACATAAAATACTAGTTTTATCTATGCACCGTTCTACCACTAAAATAACAAGTAGTTATCTAGCCGGCTTAATTAGTGCAACTTTTAATGACAATGTACAATGATAAGACTTCAGAGAGGAAAACTTTGAAAGTAAGGATTTAACAGTATATCGTTAAGTTTCTATCACATATATCCATAATGAAATCTGGAAAAAAAAACCAAGGCTGAACGACAATGTATATCAAATTTTGGAATTTACCTACCTTTTTACTATTGGGAGATTCATCTCTTGGTCTGTGATGACGTGATTTATCTTTATCATTTTCTTCATCTTCAGATTCTCCTTCTGAACTTTCACTTATAGACTGGTTATTCACATCTACTACAGTTTCTGTTGCTTCTGACTGGTTATCCTGGTCTATTGCCTAGAAAGAGTAAAATTCCTTTATTTGCACAAATTGATAGCTGATAGATTTATCATTGGAGTGACATTCAGTAACAGAAACACACTAAATAATTTTGGCACTAAGAAATAAGCTCAAGTTTTTCTCCTCAACAAGGTTTTAGGAGTTGGATCTCAATTTTCATCATAATGCCACCACTTACAACTTTAACTCTCGAAAGTATTATATATCAACATGCAAAAGCAATATTTTTCATGTAGAGAAATTTGCTATTAGTACAAATGAGATGATTTAAATTTGGACAATTGTCACAGTCAGTGTTAAAGAGTCAATAACCATGGTTCTTCTAAAATAAGTAGAAATATTGTCTCACCTGTTTATGGTCAATATCCAGACCAGTGAGTTTATTATAGAGAATATTATCAGTTTCTCCCACCAATGTTTTATGATAATCCCTTTCAAAATGGATGACATCTTCTAACGTTCGAGGTATGAATGAATTTTTGAATACCTAAGGAATAAAATAATTTATTCAAAAACTTATGGTTACAATTTTATGATGCATTTTCACCCAATTTTAGCATTTACAAAACATAAATACGATATGCAAAACTATTCAATATATATTGCATTAGGAGGCACATGCCTAAATTCACGTTACAGCTATGTCAATAAAAATATTTCAGAGAGTCTACACAGATATTTCTATTGAGTTAAAAATTTACATAACAAATCACAGAATGAAATCATGCTAATGTCAAACTTAGAAGTAAAACAATCCATTATTATACCTCTTCATCTATTTTCTCCTGTTCTGTTCTCTCAGCTACACTACGATTAGCTGATATCTCCATGGCTTTATCAAGGTATTGGTCAATATTATCATTATTTATAGATACATCAGTTATAAAATCAAATAACTCTTTCACTGTCATTGTACAAACACCTAACTTCTTAAAATATTCTTAAACAGAAAAAAACAGGAACCGAAATAACGAACCATTCTCAAATCAATTTACAATACCAAAACCATGCAGTGGAGAGGGGAGAAATTTGATTAGATGGAGGTGTTATAAAGTGAATGAATGTAGAATAGCAGGACCTTTAGACCTTAACTGAGGTGGCTAGAAATAAGAGCTAAAAAAGTTTGGTCTAATTTTAATTACAATATGTAAATATTAAGTTGAGTGTAGCTGAAGCAAAGCCTACTCACCAGTAATATTGGTACAATCTTTACGTAGAAATTCTAGAGCATGAGGGTGATCATGTTCAACTGCCTGAGATACATCTATTACATATACAGAACCTTGATGGTATCTATAATTATAACATACCAAAATAATCAGTTTATTTTTGTAGTAGTTAGTATTAAACATCAATGAAATATTTTGAACATAAATTATACGATAAACTAATAATTGCACTCAGAAATAAGCTCAAGTTTTTCTCCTCAACAAGGTTTAGGAGTTGGATCTCAATTTTCATCATAGTGCTTTTTGACACCATCAATAGATGGATCATTATCTAACTATTTAAAAAAAAATTTCTGATCTGCGATATATTTAATACATCAAAGAAAGAACATGCTATTGTCTCTGATATTCATCGGGCATTTCTTTTTGAATTTGGATAAAAAGAGTGTTTACTCACAATAAATTAAATTCACTTAGATCAGCATGTATCAGACGACATTCATGATATAACGTTCTCATCATGTGAAGAATATCTAAATATAGTTCTCTTGCCTTCGACTCACTTATATCAGCATCTTTCAGTAATGGGGCTGGCCTGAAATAGTAATTCTTGTTAATTTAGGCTTTAAGCAAAATTGAAGCAAGAAATTGATTGGTTTCCATAACTTATATTAATAAATATATAAAATTTTATTCCACTTTTGTGTCGAATTTTGGTGGTAACACTGTAAGCAAGCTCATAAACAGGCTGTTGTACAGGAGGCCAAAATTCATGGTTGTTGTTGACCCCTGCCATGGAAGGGGCAAAGTAAATACATTACATACCATCCATCCTGGCCTATAAATTCCATCACTAAAACATGACTGCGTAGTAAAATAGGTTGTGGACAAAGTATACCAGATTGATGAATTCTACAAAAACAAGCACAATAATTTCTGTTACTTTATCATTTATCAACTACAGAACTGAGCTAATAAGATTCAGCTATACAATTCATTCTTCTCTTTAAACTAACCAATTTTACTTATTACTAAAGTAAGACACGGTAAGTTATTTATTAGAAAGGGTTTATCTGTAGGGCACCTAATACTATCATGACAGTCCGGGACTCCAGACAGCAGACCCTGTGGTGCCCTCTACTGGTAGTTCTCTAGCATGTTGATCAAGGTACAGATTATAAAATCAATTCCTTTATTTGTCCTTAAAGACCAGAAAGACCTAAAAGAACTTCAACATGCATAATACAGAAAAATTATATACATGATAAACTAATAATCACACTCAGAAATAAGCTCAAGTTTTTCTCCTCAACAAAATTTAGGAGTTGGATCTCAATTTTCATCATGGTGCGTCTTAATTGGTCTGAAATGATGAGACCATTGGCTTATTGATTACTTTCACGATATTGAGACCAAAAATTCATACCTGATTAAATTCCTCATTTCTTTCTCTGCCCAGGTCCTTACCATTTTACGTGGATTATGTTTGCAGTAACCATGACGAAATCTGAAATTTAAATCAATAATGTGCAAATATAACCTTTTCTTCTTTTTCTTACAAATGTTTTGCTTTTTCCTCTTTCCATAAGTTTATGACAAAAATCAGAATTTTTGTTACCTGAATTCTCCAGAAACGTAACGATCTCTATCTTTGAAAACCAAGATGGAAGTTTTATACACCTGTAAAATAAGTAGTTGAAATAAGTCACAAAATAAAAACCCGAGAACAAGGTGGTGTGAATGCAAAATAAATGCATTCAAAATTTAACCAAGCTGTTGCCAACCACCACTTAACTAAAATATTTCCTGTATATTTAAGGGTCAAAATTCTGTCCATATATGTTGAAACAAACCAAAATTTTGACTTGTCCCAAAATATTGTGTTGTAAATTCATTCATTAAAGTTTGGAAAAAAAACATTCTTACAGTGTGAAGAAACTGGATGTAAAACTCATACCTTAACAGCTCTATCAGGATGTAGATTACTAGTACCATGATAAACATTGGCCTCTTTCCCAGTACTAATACAACCATTTATCTCTGATATCACCCCACGACTTAACAACTTAAACAATATCATTCTAGTTTTAGGATCCATAACTTGTTCTGCTGTAGCTCTGTCTGCTTTGTCTTTACCACGGAACCTGCATTGAAACAATCAAATTTAATTCCATATGCTGGGGAATGAGTTAGGTAGGATCTTTTCTACATTCTGTCTCCTTTGAACTAAGCGATCATTTAATCTTCAAATCATTAACTGAACCCTGGATACAAAGAGAGTCATATAGTGATCACATTAAATACCTTGACATAGAGCAGCCACTAGTGCTAATATTCCCGATTAATAACTCTCTTCAGACATCATTACATTAATATGACAGCAATCTACAAATCTTTCAAAAGTTTTTAACTTTGGAGATAGGACACTAACCTGTCAGTGTCCATTTTTCTGCCAGCCACAGCCAAAGAATTAACAGCAGAGGTTGACATTTTAGGCCCAACATATTTATCTACAATACAAATACATTTTCAGAAGCATTCTTCAATATCAAACAAATAGGAAATATAGTTTTTTATTTCCAACTTTCTGCACCTGTGACAGAAAAGAATAGGAGATAATCGTTTTCACTTTCAGTTTCTCAATCACCATGGCAACCTTTTTGAGGCAAACTAACAGAAAGTCTTCATGATTAATTTTATTTTATGTATATACGGCATTATTGTATATATATTAGTACCAATGTAACAGAAAGTCAATTCAACTTCCCTCAAAAACATAAAATACTAGTTTTATCTATGCACCGTTCTACCACTAAAATAACAAGTAGTTATCTAGCCGGCTTAATTAGTGCAACTTTTAATAGTGGTCCATGAAAGAGAACCCATACTTGGATATACTTATTGTTACATTTTTACATGAATATTACCAGAAGTTAATACCTACCAACATTAATCTTATCTACATATTTATGTAAGGATTTCTCTGCTGGTTGGTAACTTTTTTTCTGTTTTATTTGTTGATTTGGACGATTCTAAAAAAAAATGTTTTCAAAAGACTATTTTATATCAGTCATACAATACATACGATGATCTAGGTCTACCAGAACTGAATATAAGCTTTACACATATCTTTTAATCATGAAAAACCCTCAAGTTTGTCTGGATAAAATCAAACTTTAAGTTTCAAAAGAAAAACATTCTTAACATCTGTATAGTACCTGATTATTATTGACATTGTAAATTTTCTGTTTTCGAGTAAAATCATGTGACTCATTCGACCAATCAGGAGCCCAGTCTTCTTCACTACTGTAATAATCTTCATCTACTGCTTTAATAACTGAATCTGAAAATTGAAATATACTTTGTTAAATCAAGAGCGTATTTATTGAATGATTAGCCTATACTAAATTAATCATTTTTCTCAAGTTTAGAAAATCTTTCTTTTTTGTTCTAAAATGTAGCAAAAATAAAGGACAATAAAATCAAGGATAAAATTACCATTTATTTTGTCATCCAGTCTCTCATATCTGTACTCAGGAGTTACATGTTGCTTGCACATGCTGAAATACCAAAAAAAAACCGAACATTTATTAAACATTTTATGAAATATCTATACATGATCTATCTGACTTAACTGACTAATAAAGTTTTTAGAAAATCACCGACTCCAAATAATCTTGTCAAGAGCTGTTCCCCAAACCTAATAAAGGCATCTCAACCGTCTAATTTTATCCTAATTAAATATGTACCATTATCACAGATGGTAATGCTCGGAAAAAGATTGATTACATTTTTCAAAACTTTTTAGTCTCTTTCATTTTCAATCTTTCTTGTTTGTACAGGGCTCGTAGCGACTTGAAATAACCTCTAACCTTTCATTTTCAGCATCGTCAAATTGGCCTCGAATGATCTCCATCATTGAGATTCAACAAAAATCAGCCGATTGCAAAGAAATCGTGAAAAACTCGGCAAACACGTGGTGTGTTGCTCAACCATGAGGCCATCTTGGAACAACGGAAGTGCAAGGTGATTGTTACTGTCATCCAGACCTTTGCTGTATATCTAACTTTGTATTGATAATTCCGTCTGGATATCGTCGTCTCTGTGTGAACCAATCAATGAACTCAATATTGTCAACATTCCATTGACCAATCAAATTACTGTGAATTTATTATTAAGAATTGGCCGAGCTTGATTTACCCAAACCCCTAATTCCTTCAAATTTATTTATCTAATATGAATGAATAAAATGCAGTTTTGTGTGTGACCTGTCTTCTAAATTTCTAATAATAGTAGCTTTCAAACAAAAAACACTATTTTATAAACCATAAATGAACAATATTTTATTGATCTCACTTTTATAACCGTGCTTAACAATCCAATCTAGCCATTCTAGACTTGAGGGTAAATTATAATGTTCGAATGGAATGGAATGGAATCACTTGCAGGAATCGATCTAAATTCATCGGCTAAGCAAAATCGTCGCCCAAATCAATTTCAGATATACAGAACTGTTTTTGACGGGATGTTATTGTCATTTTCATTTATGACAAGCTAATTTTGTTTGTAAGTATCCATATTATTCACTCTGGCTATTGCATTATTATTTCTTCTAGCTAGGCTAACCCATTAGACTACTTGGCCCTCTAGTTAGGGCATAATGGACCTAGAATCCAGATAGGATAGGGGGCAATATTTCGTTCTAATTAAGTGCTACTCTGATTGACACAGTAAGAAATATTGTCGAGAGGTGAGCGCTGGTTATAATAGTCCTGTGCCTCTATTATGATATGGTTAAAGGCCTGTAAGGCACAGTGTCTTCTGCATCAGCTATGAGTATGAACATGTAAAATATCAAATTATTAATTAGAAATTTTGTTTATTCTTATTTCAGATGTAAATCAAAGCCATGTTGTTGTTAAAATCTGTGATATATTTATTTGGGTTATGGATACAAGGCATAAACAGCTACCCTGGGGAAGAAAAACATGACATTGGTACTCTAGCTGGTGATGTCCAAAACTGGGCTATGCTCATACAGAACTATATTCTACAGGTTAACAATTTCTTTTGTGCAATTAGCCAAGTAATCATGAAATAAGCATTACCAGAGTCTGTGTATCTGGTGATAAATTCCCTATCTTTTTCGGACAAACAAATATATCGAATTTCCAAAAGTTGATAAATATGTGTTACTTTCATATTATTATTGATATATTGTATTGCAGTTGGCAGGTGATGGAATAAAACGCGATTTAACCCAGAGTTATCTTGATCAAGCTAATTATACATATGAAAAGAAAAATGGAGCTGAAATCGTCCGGCAGGTCAAATTGACTCTTGGAGATTATTTTAGTAAAAAGAAACGAGCTGCTGAGGTGAGAAATCTAAACTTGTAGTAAGAGGAGAACTTTTAGTATCTATCTTGACTTATCCATATATGAACTGAAAAAGGTTTCAATGATTTAAGGCTTTCAAAGTGGTACTGCGCAAGGTAGGCTACTGTTCAAAAGGAGAAAGTATTTTAATACAATTTATGTTATTTTGAAACAGGCACTTACCTCCCCTTTACACATTAATTTTTAAAAACTGACAGTTATTATTGTTGATCTTTCAGAATTCCATGAAAAACCATTTATGTATTTAACAAAAATGTCGATGTCCATAGAGATTTTTTATTTTTTGGCTTTTATTTCCAGAGGCTGGCAGCTACAGTGAGAGAGATCCATGATGATTTTCTACTATCAAATTCTACAGCTGGAGTTCAAGTTTTAAAGAATATGGATCTGAGTTTTTATAGAGATTCTGATATTCCGTCTAAATTACCTGAAGATATTGTCTTTAATCCGTAAGTACTGGGGAACATTATTCAGTTTGAAGAAATCTTGAAAATGTTTCAAGTTAATGACTGAGACAACCACATATGGAAGAAGGACAAGCTGATTCAGCATTCTTTTTGTTTGTTGCATTTCAGATATTTCCGCACAGGTGTAAGTTTAAAACAGTCGTCAGTAAAACTACCTGATGAAGTCCCACGAAATGACCCAGCTGTTATTAATACTGTGTATTTTACAGCCAAACTAGAGGAAACATTTTTACAGAATGCCAGAGATGATCCATTGTTGAGGTAAATCTGCAAACCCAAAGTAAATGATTAAATTTGTCAACAGATTAATGGAAACAAGGAAGAGAATATCTACAGTTCTTGCAAAAACTTTGTTAATCTTCCAATGCTTAAACAAGTACTTATTTGCTAGTAGGAGAACCTGATGACCTTCCAAAACACCTGATGCTATTTGCATCACACCTTGTGAGCTCAACATGTTAGGATAGTCCATATAACAAATAAGTTTTAATTCTTTATTCATTACTTTGACATTGTTATTATAGACTCTAAAGTTATTATGACTATAAAGTTATAAATATGTTACAGATGGCAGTATTTTGGATCTACAACAGGAGTAACAAGACTGTATCCTGGTAGAGAATGGTCAACTAATTTTGCAGGTTTTTATAATGACTATGATGCCAGACTGAGACCCTGGTATATTGCTGCTACAAGTGGACCTAAAGATGTTGTTATTATACTGGATTGTAGGTAGGCACACTATATGGTATTGCTGGCAAAGAGCTTATCGAGGAAAAAGCAGGAAAATTTCCTAATGGTAACACAATTTCAACGAACCAAAAATTTCACCAAAACTTATGTGTAATACTCTTTATATTTAATTTACAGAAATTTGGATTTTTCTGTTTATATTTTACAGTTTATCATTAAAGGGAGAAAAATTTTCTATTGGGAAAGCAGTAGCCAAAACTGTAATTAATACATTAACTAAACAAGATTATGTCAATGTGATCTGTGCCAGGGCCAGTCATTGGGATGAAGTGGGCAAGTGAGTAATGGCTCTATTTTTAGTAACTATTAAATATTGTATACAATGATAAAGGAAAATGCTATTAACTGCTATAACACCTGTACCAGTGCCTTCTATTGAATAGTGAACTTGGATTGGCTGATAAGCTTATCAGCTGAGGTGACTAGACTGACAAAATGGTGCCGTGGAAAAAAAAAAACTACCCTATCTTTTCATTTGCACCAAGATTGATAATGAATATATTTCAACTGATAGTACACGTTCAGAATCTATTTATATAGATGGTTCTTCTGATAATATTAAATGGGAAAGAGTAGCTGGAATCTGTTTTTAAAATAAGGAGGAATTGTTCATTTTCAGGTGGCATTATTTTGACACAGAACCAATGAGTTGTAGACAGAATCAGATGGTTCCAGCTACTAACTCTCATCGGAAAGACTTGATTGAGAAAATAGAAAAACTGAAAGCTGGTGGTACTAGTGAATTACAGTAAGTATAATTACATCTGGGAAACCCTGACTCTTAGCTTACCTAGGAGTTGCTGGATGATTGTTGCATAACCAAAACCTGTATTTTATGGAGATATCAAATGGAGTATTTCATTTTTTTGATTGTCTCCCTTATTATTATATTCATCATTCCAGGAAAGGTTTTGAGCAAGGATTAAAATTACTTCAGAGTTCTCCAAGAACTGGGTGTCAGTCTCTGATTATATTTGCTACAGATGGAGTGGATACTGATGGGGAACAAGTCAGATGTGGTCCAGGTATGTATTCTTAAAATTATAAGTTTGACGCCTTTCTGATCCTTTCTGCCTGATTCAGGCTTTGTCTTTATAAGAGAGTTGGGTCGTAAAATATGATTTTTAGAAATAATACACGAATAGATACAATGAAAGTATATATTTAAATGTTTTCAATGCTAATTGCCAATATCCAGATTTCATATCAAGACATGTAAAGTATGTTGCTTAAAGCTAATTTTTGTTAATGATGAATGGTTACTATTTACCTTGATTAATGTTGTGAAACTTTTGATTTGGAAAACTAATAATCAATACATACACTTATTTAGTTATCCTTTTTCTCAATATAAATTACAGGGCAATTCTATGAAATTTTACAAGATTGCAATTATGAATGCCAATTTAATCAAATATTTGTTAAATGTTTGTTAACAGCAGGTATTGCTATCTAGACAGAACATTCTTTTTCTTGATGTCAACCTCAATTTAATCATGTGTAAGCATCATCTTTCTGCTCTTATGTAGAAAATTGTGGCGATCATAAAAATATTTGATTTTGTCTGACTTAGATCATGGTGAAAATAGGCTTTTTCTTAAATATAATGGAATATCAGTCTATTTAGATTTGTTAATATGTGTTGTATATATGTGATAAAACTCTGTCCTTATGATTTTTTAAACAAGGTTACTATACAAGAAGTGGTTATGTCCCTGGGCCTATTTGTAAATATAATTTTAGTGACGTGTGGGATTTGGTCACTGAGAAAAACAGTCAACTTAATCCACCTGTGAGTAACATTACTATTTTGACTGTTTGCCTGACTATTTTGACCAATGCTGAATGTGTTGTTTTGAAAGCTTTTTGTTTTTATTTGTGAAAGATTCACCTGATTTTTACAGTCAATTTATTGTTGGGTTATTTCTTCCAGAATAGAAATACATATGTGTGGTTTGCCAAAAAATATAAGACATGGTTGATATATTCTGAGATGTTAATTTATGTTTTCAATATGTTGTAGGCAAGAATATTCAGTTATCTAATAGTCGAAGATGCTGAACTATTCCCTGGTAATCTATCCTGCAGTAACAGAGGCAGTATTAAAAAACTAATGAATGGAGAAAATCTCATCTCTCAAATGAGTAACTATTTTGAGTTCCTGTCTGCTAATGCTTTAAGCAATAACGCTCTGTGGACTTCACCCTATTTAGATTCATGGGGTCTGGGCTTGATGTTAACACATGCTATACCAGTTCTTAGTAAAGTTACAGGAAAGTAAGTCAAGATTTTCATTTAACCCTGTATCAGACGAACAGGTCATGGACAGTGAATTAGATGATTGTCTGCAGTGTACCAATTGTTTGTATTTTGCTTTACCAAAGCAGCATTATGTTACATACGTTTTACACCTGTCGACTTTCCACAAAGACTGGATCTGTGGTGAGTTATGATTCTTGAATGCTCTAATTATTGGTTGGGTGACTGTTAAAATATTGCAATGCTGTTATATTGTAGGTATATAGGAGTAGTTGGTATTGATGCCACACTAGATGAAATTGAGAATTTTCTCACTAAACATCAGTGGGGTACGGTTGATTCATTTCTTATCAACAACCAAGGGGAGACAATTTACCATCCAAGGTTGAAACCTAGTAAAAAGGTACATCAATTATTTTTTATGCTTGTGTCTCTTTACATATCTGGCTTGGGCTCATCATATTGCATCTGCAGAAAGTACAAATCTGATTCGTTAGTCTAACTCCAAGACCTTTGATGTACAGTGACTAGATCAAGAAATGTTAAATTATTGTCAAAAGATAGCATTTTTGTTTTTGACATGGCAAGTTTGTGTTTTGTTTATGTTTTAGTTACTGGATGATCCTATCTTTATTCCGATATCCAAATTAGAACGGAACAGTAAAGGTCACTCAGAGGAATTTGCTATTATAGAACGTGAAATGAAGGCTGGGAAAACAGGAAGTATGACTATTATGAAGGCTAAGGATGGGAAACAGAGGGTAGGTGAACAATTATATGAATCCTGTCAACAAGTTAGTCCTATTTAGAAACTTTCCCAAATTATTTAAGATGACTATACAAATGATGTCTACAGTCTGAAGTAAACATATGTCCTTCACTTTAATGTTATTTTTCAGAAATATTATTATGCTGCATTGAATAATACAGAATACTCCTTTGCTTTTAGTTTGGCAGAAACAGATATGGTAGGTGTATATTTAGATTAAATAGAATAATTTTTAATCTGGAAACGAGGTTTAGAATTATGCACAATTCTTTAATATCCTTACAATCTAACTTAAACTCTTTAGTCAAAGGAGGGGAAACGTGTCCGGCTCATACTTGTAACATTCATGATGGTACAATGTACAACTGAGTCTTTCTGATGGATTTTTTTTGGTAAGTGATCTTCAATAAGTGTACTGATATATTTTGATATATGCTATTATATATTCTCTATGTGTTGAATATTTCTCCGTAGGAATTCCGTAGATCACAAGAACCGGTGGACCGTTCCAAATATGATGAAAGTTATTATAATTTATTAAAAGAATACAAGGGGACATTACTCCGTGAGAAATTACCAGGACTGTGGAGGAAGATTGATATACGAGAGAATGAGAAACTTTATCCAGGACTGAGAATCACCTACAAACATTCCACAATCTTCCTGGCCCCTAAAACACATTGTGATCCTACAAAGTATATGTATAATGATAATCTAGCTGAGAAAACATACCAGGCCCACATGTGGATCAATGGTAAACAACCAGATTTAGGATGTGAATCTGGGCGACAGAAGTTTAATAAAGGAGTTAGGTAGGTATCTGATTCGTATCAAAATACTGAGGATGTATGGGAAATGACAGACAAATCTGGCTATATCAACAGCCTTAAAATAGTGCATATCTTCACTTTTGATAATTCAAATTACCAGCAAAAAAAATTACATAGATATTTATGTATATATAATATATATGTTTTTGGTAAATTTCGGACCTACTGGTTAGAAAGACATTTCTTTTTATTGGTACAAGAGACTAGTTCTTCTTAATTCCAGAGCTGATGTTTTGATATCTCAACCAATAGAAGAAATCTGGAGAACAAGACAGTTTGAATCAATCAATCAAATTAAGTGGACTAATGTTGGATTTAGAAGTGGTGTTTTCCGCACCTACCCAGGTCATAGGTCATCAAGAGGTTATGACCCCACAAAGTAAGTTACGCTTCTACAATTGTAAGGCTTCAAGCATTTACTTCTGTAAGTTTTATTCATGAGGTGAATTTTCATATAGCCAAGATATTTTGGCCCTGGTCAGTACCCAGAATTCATTCTTGTGCCTCAGATCTTTAATTTTGATCTTGTCATTTTTGAAATGAAAGATCTTGAGATTGCTTGCAGTTTTATCACTTCATTTTGTATTCATATTTACCTAGACGTCCATGGTATAAAAGAACAAGTTCAGCCCCACACAAGACATCAATCTCCACACCTTATATGGATGCAGCAGGAGTGGGTAAGATTAATACAATATCACAAGCTGTATTCGAAGGAATGACACCGAAGACAGATAAAGAGTGTGAGACATGGAAGGGAAGTCCCCTACCAGGAGGTTGTAAATGTGATTTAGATAGTGACTGTATGACCAGTAAGTAGATTAACTCATTAAAGTTGGTAAAGTGGATTTATGAAAGGCTTCATGCCTTTTCAATGTTAAACACTAGTCCAGCAAATCTCTCTTATATATTTATTTAAATAGTTTGCTCCTTAAAACACGAAATGACTCTGCAGAGTTAGTGGATTTCTGCTTATTGAAATTACTGCAACTACAAATATCTTAGGCAAAGGTTATCGTATTCAGTCAATAGAGAGATCAAAACACAAGAAAAATTAGGCATTCAAGAAATACCACTAAAACAATACTAACTACTCAACCATTCCTTTTTTTTTTACCTTTTTTTGTAGAAGTGTGTTATATGAGTAAAGCTCCAGGGCCGAACGCTGACCATCGACGATGTTCAACAGAACGTGTAGAAGGTGTAACAGGTTTAGATATTCTCTATGATGATTTTCAGAATAAAACAATGGGGTCCATGCAAGCCAGTGATTTTAGAAAATCTTGTCAGCAGAAATACAACTGTCCTGATGGGGAACCTGGCTGTGAAACCAGGTGTGTTATTTGTGATATCATATTGACAACTAAACAATAAGAATTTAATGCTGATTTGAATATTTCCTTGCATATGTTATCATTACATTGTAATGTCTTTATTGTATGATTGCAGGGTTTTGATTTATATCAAATGCTGAAAGCTTTACATCATCATTATGAAAGATGGACATATATATCCCATTGTTTCATTTTCATATACATGTCTGCTCTTTAATATATTTAGCTGTCTCTTTTTAGATGTTACCTGTTTGACAGCAGTGCCTATCTTGTGATGGATCCTGACTTTCTATTGGCCAATAATTTAGACGAAAGTAAATATGATGGTGTGACATTAGGACGTAAAGAAGGGGAGGTAATGAAACATCTGATTTATCACCATGGTTTCATTAAACGAAATGAAGATACTGATTTTCAAGGATCTTGTCGTATTTCACCAGATGCTCCAAAGGTATGTGAACAATTTGTCTTAAAATAATCTGACTCTTTTGATGAATGTTTCATTATTAGATATTAACTGTGCATATTTAGATGATTAATTCATAGAAAAAATTTTGAAATTGTATTTACAGGTAACATTAGAAGGAATACCAAAGACTCCAGAAGAATCTGATGATTACTATAGAAACCGAGGACCAATACCAAAATTCTCAAGTGATTTCGGTTGTATTCAAGATGTGGTTAGTTTTAAGACAGTTGATGACAAATTAGGTAGGATTTCTGTATGTCGACATTATGTCATTGACATGTTGGTTTCAATGTATATTATATTTATCAGCACCAACAGTAAGTTATGTACTTGTGGTTCCCATATTTGCACTCTATACTGTCATCTATTTTTTGAGAAGTTGAGAAGTCTCTGTAAGGGATTAGACTCACTCATTTACCCATTAATTCATTCATTTGTCTAACCTTTTATTATTCATTCCCTGATTGTAGGTGCTAGTGGAATGATAACAGGTAATGTATCAGGACCATGTATGTCAGGTTTCTACTACGTTACTGTTCTACCCAAGACCAATCTCTATCTACTGGTAATTGAGGACTGGAAACCTTATAAAGAAACGTTGTTTTATAATTTTAACTGTAGAATAGCTAGGAGGTGAGTGCATTATTTATTAGTACATACAGGGAGTACATATTGATTGTTGTCTTTTCTTGATTAATTGTTTATACCTCGAGGATTCCATGAAGAGATTTTTGCACCTAAGGCCTTTAAATTTATTCTTTAAGGTGATTAAGTAAAAAGTAGAGTTTTTTATTTACTGTATAATTGCGAATATAGTGCGCACATTATGCACGCCCATTCTTACCCCCCAGTAAATCTCTGCCACCCTAAATTGATGGTCATCATTAAAACAAATATAGATAGATGAATATGGTGGAATAGGTATATATGTTCCATGGGTGCTGGAGACCACAATCTTAATAAGCATACACATCTTACTTCCATAGTAAATGTATTAGCCAGTCTCATTGCAAGGTGACAAATTCAGTGTATTGTCAACTCGATATATTTCTGCGACCTATTCAAATGATCATCTGTGTGTAAGGTATTGTTAGAATCCAAGTTGCAGCTGTAGGTTAAACAATTTACACAGAGCAATTTAAACCGTTTTCTGTTTTGTCAACCTTTCTGAATCAATTATTATTTCATAATGATGTATTATTTTTGAAATATAATAAGATTACAGAGTGATGTACAAACATAAAAGAAGAAGTAGTTTTTTAAGTTTTTTTTAGTTGGGTAATCTTTATTTCTCAATTCTGTTGTAGTGTGGTGAATTCTGGAGCTTATCGTATTATAAATGGAACATGTGCCCATGAAGACGATTCATCCTCCACATTGGCTGACCAGGGAAAATGTCCAGCTTTATTAGATATTGAAATGAAATGTGCTTATACGACAGCGAGTGGGCTGCAACTTTCACTTTATCTTTTCGTTAGTTCTGTGATAATAGCTTTAATAATTTAGACATAGCTTGTGTTAGTTTATGCCATTTTCACTGTCCATTGAATACATATTTTAGAGGGTTTTTTTGTTAAAAACATTCCAAATATTCACTTTAAATTATACTGTTACCTATAGATTATCTCATATTGACTCTGTTAGGCTGTTAGAAGTCAGGTGGATCTGCACCAAATAATTTGCAAAATATATTTATAAAAGTACTTTCATTGAAATAGGATTCCATTAAAAAACTTTCTTTCCTCTCCATAAAAAACCTATTTACTTTCCCCTTGGGGGCCATATTCTCAACATATTGTTTTAATGAACCAAAATTACAAAACATTTCTTCCATGTAATTATTAAAAACCATTTTATATACAACAATATTATTTTTTTTTTGTTTCCATTGTGTTTTCATGGTATTGTTTTTTAATGTTTTTTATCCTTCTTGGTCTATATCTCAAATACTGTGTATTTAAATCAATAACTGTCATTATTGTTAATGCTATTACAACTTTAGAAAAGTCTTGTAGCTATAGTTTCAAGTTTATTCAGTAGAAATTCTGGTTATTTTGTTAAAAGCATGTTTTTATGTAATGTTATGAATGAGGTAATTGAGACTGACATTTCCTTCCTGAAGTTCAAACATCATCTTTATTATAACTTGATATTCATTTCAAACTTTTTTAGTCAGGTTATTTGAATTTTTATAAATCAATTCATATTAAATTTGATTTCTTGATGTTTGACATTTGGGTTGGGAATTAATATGACATCTGGCATTATCAAATCACAAATATATCAAATCTAGGTTAGAAATGGTTTTAGGATGCTATCAGTGCAGTGCATGAGGTTTGAAGCTCTTTATTGACTTTTCGTGTTATAACATGTTAATTGATCTGCTGGTTGCGGTTTTAAGATTCCATTTAAATTGAAAGAGTTAACAATGATTTGAAGTAGGCCTACAAAACATGTAAGAATATAATATATTCTGAAAATTATGTTCCTTTTTATCATGTATGAAGGATATTTATTATATATGGACATACCATTTTTAAGTATAACCTCCTTGTCCGAAACATCTGCCTCTTTTCCAACCTCAGATAGATATTTTGACAGTTATCGGCTACACCAGCAGACAACTTTCAAAATAGCTATCAGAGACTGGAATAGAGGCATATATTTTGGTGGACTTACAAAGATATTGCTGCTTGTGAGAGCATACAATTGAGTTAAATACGAAATGATTTATCAATTAATAATTTATTGTGTTTTTTATTACCAAAAATAAGAATAATGATAATGATAGATGTACACTATTACTATAGACCTAGTCTAATTTTATAATAAAAACTGTTTTTTTGCATTTTGTTCTTTTCCAATTTCCATTGTCATCTTCTACCATAGTATATCATCTTGGAATACAGTGTTGTCAATTGAGCATTGAGTAAAGGTGTGTATGATAATGGATGTGTCTGCAAGTTTGTGTTGTCTCGCCCTTTCAGTGATGCATGTCGGATGAGCTGAAATGGAAAAAGCTCTAGACGTTCGGCTGGGACAATAGCCCAAGAAACCGTGTTCAGTTGGAAATCGAAAAAGGGTAGGCTAGGCTTGGCAAATGCCACCGTCCTGGCAAAATGTCCCTAATTGCAAAATCCATGTTTTTATTGGCGCATTAGCCTTAATTTCAGAAGAGAAGGATGTAAGAACTTCATTCAATAACATTTTGCGACCTTCCTTTGATTAGAGGGAAAAAATTTTAACATAGAACTGGATGAATTTCTTCTGGCCGTTGCTTAAAGGATCACACTGAATACAGGTGACTCTTTGTAGTTGCCAGTCTCTTCAATATCAATAGGTAAATATAACATGAAAGACCAATGTTTAGATAAAGCTAATACACGTATTGGTAATAGATAATGGATTTTATCCAAAAAAAGTTTCTTTCGTCTAGTGGGTAAATTCATTTCTTTAGAATATATATATTTCACGTTTTTATAAAACTATTGATCAGCTGATTGCCTTCAGGTTGTTGTGCTTGGGTTTAGAAAAAATCACTAGTCTAGAGGATAGATCAGGATTTTTTTAATCAATTTACGCTGCTCGGCACCCTCAACTTATGTTTCCTAGAACCGCCAATGATAACCCAAAATTTATATAAACTGTTATCCGAATAAAACAGTATGATGAGCAGTGCAATAACTGAAACTTTTTATACCGTGGCAGTTAAATACAAAAATTGATGTTTTCAGTATTTATATACTACAATAAACAACACTACAGCTTACAATGTTGGTTCAGAACAATTTGTGGTCATCACTAACAATGTACAAAATGGAAATATAGCTCCACTCGACACATAATTTGGAAATAGCTTTCATATACGACCCGGTTTTTTTTATAATAACGAGTTGTTGGATAGCGAAACTCTAAATATAGTAATATGGCAGTCTCTTTGGGGTCGATTATCCCGCAATGATTCATTGATGTAAAAAACGGGTCCTACTATGTCACGCCTTGATTAGTTGAAAATGACGTTTTTACCATCCATACCTGAGGCTTGATAAAGACTAAAATATATCAAATATTAATATTACACCATAGAAATCTGGGATAGGTTGTGTTACTGCATTTGTTCTTTTGTTGCCAATCGCCATTTGTAAAGTCTGATATAAAATTGTATATTAGAGCTAATTGAAAAAAGCCAGTTTCAATATCAAAGTTGAATTGTTGTACTGTCTGATCACAATAAAAATGTGCGTCTATTTTAGATTATATTTATTGATATTTCATCAAGTTTTAATTTGATTCTCTGTTAAAATCGATACAGAGACGGTATCGAATCGATTCTTTTGTATTTGCATTGAACTATTGGTAAATGCCACGGCAAAAGACAGTGAAGAAAGATAGATCATTTATCTAATACTGACAGTATGAGAAATCGTAATTTGGCTCAAGCAGATTATTCATTTTTGGGTGATAAATTTGTTTCAGCAGCCATTTCACACTGTCTTTAACATCAGATATATTTTGCTTATTTTTTCCGTTTTATAAGTTTAATAATAGCTTTTTCATGGCGAATTTCTATCATTTCATCAAATGTATAGTCCCGAACCTCAAGGACATCATTATCATTGTAAAATGTCAGGGGAACAACCTGTATAATAATATATTATATGGATTTTCAATATTGTCTTTAAGCAACCACATAAATGACTAAATGAAGTTAGAATACTTATTAGGTGGATTTCTTTGTAAGTTGTTATTGGATTTCTTAGGTAAATTTACAGAAGTATCAATTCAATTTATCTTCTTTAGAATATAAGAAAAATATATCTTGTGTTTATTGATGAGTAACTTAATTATTAATTCCTGTTTCAAGTCATAATATTTACATAATGGATTGTTCAAACGTTTGAAGTTGAAGTTTATTGAAGTTTAGATGCCCAAAAATGTTCTTAACATAGCATAAATGGTTGTGACTGCAAAATATACCACCCCCCACCTTGAGTCCTTAATTGTTAATCGTATATTTCAATCGATATTTGCCAAGTCTAATGTAAAATCTGATATTATAATTAACTGCCAAAAGCCCGTTTTAATATCTATATTTAGTTTTTAAATGTCTGATCACAATGAACGTGCGTGCCTATTCTATGTTATATATCTTGATATTTCACCAAGTTTGAATAGTATACTCTGTTAAAATCGATACAGAAACGGTTCGATTCTTTTCAAATACCATTGTGTAAAAACTGAGTTCTTTTCAGTTTTCCCTCATCCATAGTAAGTCTTTTCAATGATCAAACCTGTTCAAGATGTAATTATAATGATGTTCCCATGGGAATGTAGCAATAAACAGACTTTGTTAGGATTATGGTACTTTATAAAAACTCTGTGAAAGAATTTGAACATTAATGACTATAACAGTGGTATACCACTGTACGAAATATCACATATCATATGACATTTGCGCCATTTTTTAACACTCGTACCTTATAGTCTGAGAAACAGGAATTTTTCAGATAAGCCAATCAGTACACAATAGTGTGCACAGCTCACTGTCGAAATTTGTGCCTTCAACTCGAGAATTATCCGCGTTTGGAAGTGAAAAAGAGGAGTCGTCTTTTCATGAGACACTGTCATATATAGAAAGGACATTAATTATAGAAATAGGAAAAGAACTTCCTAGTTTTAGATAGCTTTGAAAGAATTATGCGAATTTTTGTACATTTCTGGTACTTCTGAAGGCTATTTACATATATTCAAGACTCAAGTCATCCCCCAAAAGGGCAGATTGGTCCCTTTAAATGTACCTTTATAGATTTCTTGACTGATCTATATCTTTAAAGATCACGCACCGTTCATTTCATGACACAACCTTGAAAGACAAAGAAGTATAACAATAGCAGTGCTAAGTTTATGTTGATTTTCTCATCGCATCAGTCTGATGAACCTCCAGAATTACCATTTTAGATCAATTATTACTCCGTCATACCGGGATGGTCTTCTGTCTCATTAATTGTATCATATATTCTATATCATGGCTACATTTCAAGTTTATTTATTTCTTTTTATTTCCTACATTTTGATAACTGGAGCCGAGGAAAAATTGTCAAAATTTGCCAAAATTTCAGAGAATGAAGAAGTGATCCCGCCTTCTGGAGGAAATTCCTGGTTTCCTGTCCGGAGTAAAATATTTTGTTCCACAGTGTGTATATCATTAGGAGTTTCTTGCAATGGATTTCAGTTCAAAGGAGAATCGAAATACTACAATGTTTCGAGCAATACCTGTGCTATTATTCAGTATAATATTGTTTTATATACTAGACAAGAATCAGCTGGAATTTCTGTGTATCTTCACAAGGATCATGCGGATCAGACTGTTGCGACATCAGTTTCAACCAGAAAGGCTACGTATATAACATCCGCAATAGATACTACTCTCACTACTACTAACGTCCCGACTACAGATACACCTACTTGTAATGTTGATGCGGCTTTAACTCTTCCAGATAGAATTGTGCTATTTTCGGGTATATTAATTTTTTTTATCCTTTCCTATGTTTTATGGACAATTTGCAACCTATTTGATCTTTAGATTAAGTTGCGCGTCTATGTCTATGTGAAAATATTTAATTCAAATTTACTTTCTTGTTGCATTTTTGGACGATCCGATCCTTACTTTTTGCCTTCTCATACGATGCTGATAATAGATCTAATTGTGTTTCAGATTCAATGGTGTATTTTTACAGCGATTTAACTGCTTTATTCAGTACTCCCTATAACTCCATGCCAGTGTCGAGTTTTTTAACCGGCAGCACTGGCAGTGTGGATGCAGCATACACGGATGTTACATCACAGTATATATTTATAATACAAGGTAGGTTTAAATATAATTTTTTTTCTCTTTAGGCGTATATCTAACCTATATTACAGTTCTTGGGATGTGGTTTGCTGACACCATAAAATTGAATATAAACCAAGATAGTTTTAGTCCTTATGATATAGCATAATAATATAGCCTAGAGTCGTTTTAGCCCATAGTCTATACACTAATGGTTGGACTGAGCGAAATATACAATGCCCAAGTGTCAAAATTGCAATGTACATATATTTCTTTCAGGAACAGACGTTCATAAACATATACTATCAGATGGAAGTTTGGATTCTAGTGAAACTATTTCTCAGCACTTTTCACAGCTATCGACAATCCCAACACATATTGATGGTGTCATGTACTATAACAATGACGTAATAGTGATTTCTAGTGACATAGTGAGAAGGTACTCGTCATCAAAAACTGTGTCGGTGTCAACAAATTCCGCTAACAATGTCTTTAAGTCAAGCAATCATCACCTGGCTCCGTCAGGTGTTACTGCAGTGACGCAAAATTCGAACGAAGCTTATATATTTTCTAATTCGCGTGTTTATAAATTTACTGCCGGTAATAAAAAGGGCACATGGGAAATTCTGGGCGATGTTGTTTGTTAAAATAAAATCATTATGAAAAATATTTGTTAGTATGGTCGACGTGTTTTGATTGGGCAATTTCATGTAGCATGCATAGTCAAGCATAGATCCTGGTCTCATTCTAAAATCGAGCAATCCAATTAATTTTGAGGTAGTAGAATTAACACAATTGTGTCGATTTATGCTGATTTGGACCGGATGTGTACAATTATCAGTCAATCTACCAATACAGATATAAATATATGGACTATACCTGCAAGTGGTCAAAAAACTTTCTAAGTTAATTTCTTGTAGGAGGTACATTTGAATAAAGATTATGCGATTTGCGTACAGTTCTAGTCCTTCTAAAAACATATGTACATATATTCAAAATCAATCCCTCAAAATGCAGATCTTTGCCCTTTAAACACTGCGATAAATCTTATCAAAGGAAACAATAAATGATGAGTTAATTAGGCTACATCAAGAAGTATCTACTTCCTTTAAATCTTTAGTTTAAAAGCTTTGAACTCTTATGTTTGAAAAACAAATAACTAGATTATTAGGTGACGGAAATAGCGTAGCTATCTTGCAGGTCAAGCCATAGCCCTTGTTATGTACATGTAAAGTGCAAAATTAGGATAAGAATGACGAGTAATTTGGTATTTGGCGAAAATTTCTTCTAATATTATGGACCATATTATGTAATTATGCAACAGACCGAAATTATTGAATCATATTTTTTGTTTTAGATTTCGCTAAATATGATGAAATAGTAAAAATGATTTATCTGTATTTCTGCTTACGATGGTGTTTTATTATATGAAAATCTATAACCCGTAATATAAGAAAAATCTGCATTTGCGCATGTTGACTTCCGGTTGAATAGGTTTAGGAAATAGGAGTTTAAAGCTATCATGCCTGTAGTCAAATTACGATAAATTTATTTATTTTAACATTTATAGGTCAACCACTGGTTCAGTAGTCAATGAATGGTACCTATGGTAACTTTTACTTCCGTTAATGTGATCGACAGGCGTTTATAACTTTTATTTGAAAAAACAAAATTCTTTTATATAAAAAAAACATGATAGCTTTAATATGTTACAGATCTCTTTAATGTGTAAGTCTAATTGGAGATTCCTCGAATCAACTTTTACACCACTTCTGAAGTAAATCAGTAAGTGTAGGTACACGCAACAGCCTATTCATGGGAAAGTTTAATTAGTTTAAAAGCCTTATGTCGAATTAAGCGGAAGTTCCACAATGTAAGTGACAAAAGAGGCAATCAAGATAATATTCTTTAGAAAATTCAATCACGTGCTGAAAAGAATAAGACAAATTTTAGAGGAAATGATTTTATTAAATAATTTTATCAATATTTCTATCTGTATTGTCTTCAGACAACCAATTACATATTGTCTCGATTGTTCTTATCTATAATTTCCTCAACGAATCTGGGGGAAACTAAATCTGGTTTAAACATGCACATAAAATATTCAATGCAGAAAGGCATTGGTTTGATCAATGGTTTGTTTCTTGCTCCGTAGGCGGTTGGCAAAGCCCTCGAAAAGATGCATTGCCCTCCTGACAACCGACCAATTCCATTACTTCGACTAAACACTATACACCTTCAGATATATTACTTGTCCCTCTGAACAATCAAGTCTGGCTACGGTCCTGGGTCACCACATAACATATTCTGGATGCTAATAGACATAAACATGCCATTAAGAAATAAAACGAAATCTTGGAGGCTCCAGTGGCGGAGCCAGGTTAACGTCCGAGGGGGGCCAGAGGGGGGCGAGATATCTGAGATTGCCCGAAACTCTAACCTAGTTATGAGATTTTTGCCCGAAAAACATGCTTTCGGGGTTCCGGGGGGGGGGGGGGGCGGCCGCCACTGGGAGGCTCTGCAACTGAATGACGGCCAGACTGCTTTCATACGTTATTTTATTTTATTTTAATTAGTTGTAGTCTGAATCATTCATTGTTATGTCCCCTTTTCGCTTCAATGTAGAATTCATTATGCTGCTCCAAACGAACTGTCACCAATTCAGCTGTTATCATTAAGTTTTTCTAAACGACATGAACCTAAAAATGGAGACTGAAGAAAATATAGAGGAAAGTGCTCCAGAGCAGAATTCGGCTGCTGTTTTCGCTGAATGTCTGCTCAATCAAGTCAATTCTAATGATGTTTGGTCCATGAAGGTCTTACAACGAGAAATGTAAGTTACAAAGCTTACTACCTTCATTGCTTCAGTCACAGAATGAGAAAACGGAATGAGAAAGAAAAAGGGGGGGGGGGGGATTTGATTCTTCACACAGAGTATACTTGATTATCAGTTAAAACATTAAAACTCCCTTCTAAGTGGCTAAAATTGTTCTCTGTTAGTCTGTTGATGTTTGTTAGTGATTGAATTTTAAACATCACAAATCACAAAGTCAATATAAGATTACTAGTAGAAACAGGCCTCCTAGTTTTTATATCTTATTCAGTTATTGTGTAGAAGAAGTAATCTTCATCAATTCTCTATACTGACAGTATTGCTCCAATAATCAAGATGTGATGTTGCATTTAAAGACTGTTTTAATAAACCAATAATTCTAATATTGCAGGTTGTCAAGATTTGAGAAGACAAATGAGATGTTGATCAATTTTAACATGTTGTCATCATCTAGATATAATGTAACAGCCGAGGATTTCAGAAAACATACTTTAATGTTATATGATATGAAGAAAGATCTTGATTTAGTTTTCAAAAGAATCAGGTGAGTATTGGAAAGGCATGGTCAAACTAATATCTATGGCCTGTGAAGACCTGTGCAGAAATCATCTGCATGGTGCTGACAGTCATTTCAAACAGTGTCCAGCTCTTTCACATACTACCGAAATCTTTTAATTTATGAAATTATGGTAGAATCCTCTTTTGCAGAGTTTTAAAGCAGAGATTGAGTAAGACATATCCAGAAGCCTTTGCAGTTTGTAGTGATATCTGTAGTATGTCTGAAAGACTAGATGATGGAGAACAAGAAACAGAGACTGCAACATCCAGTGATCAGCCTTCAACATCAACCACAATAACGAGTATTACTCCAGATAAAGATGGAGAAACTCAATCATGAAGGAAAGTTTGATGAAATGACTTAAAGAGCTGGCTTGACACTCCTTAGTGAGTGATGATATGAATACAAAGAGTTATTCAGTTGTATGTTATATAAAAGTGAACTAAAACAATTCAACCGACCAACAGCATTAGGGTTCATATGCTATAGCTCAATGGTCAAACATCAGCCTTTTGTTTATAAGTTTCAAAGTTACAGTACTCTTAAAACATTCTCATGTCTTCGAACTTATTGGTTTACTATTTGAATGATGATTATGGTACATTCTTTATGTGTTTGCATAATGAAAATACGTAGGCTCTATGAGCAATAAAATAACCCTTTGAAAATTAGGCATGTGGACTCTCTGATAATTGTACCCCATTGACATTCCCAGTCAGATGTCATGATTGTTAAAGTTTGTTATCATCTATTGTACAGTAAAAAATTTAATGTATATATTCAATTTGAAATATTCCTTTATCTTATTGTGTAATTATGCATCAATAAATTGTTATTTGTTTTATTTAGTCTTAAATTTCTTTTCGGTCCAGCAGTAGATAATAATTGATTCAAGTGGCGGTGAGTTGATTGCTGTCTGTAGTCTGAAAGTGGGATTCAAGTGGCCTGGTGATATAGAGGTCTCATTGGATCTGTTGCAGTTGACATTAGCAAAGCCTATTGTCAACAATCAACTGCATGGTCTCAGATTATGTCCATACAATCAAATCCCATTTTTGTTGGACAGTGGATCAAAGTGCTTAATTAAGTGATTCTTCAAGATGCTGCTAGTCAACACAGTCAATGAACACATAAGTTGAATTAAGAGTGGCTTTAACATTCTTTTATCCATTATTGTTATTAGCCCCCTAGTAACAGGAATTTACAAAACTAATTTGCACAAGGCCAACGCGTTATACATGTTTAAACCACCATATTTGTTTTTATCAGGTTCCTCATTTTTGACCTCATCCAGTGCTTTACTAGGAGTTATTGTGCACTTCTTTACTATTAATACAAAATACGCATAATGATCTTGATGGGGGGTCGTTTTTAAATATTATCTAGTCGAACGCATGTATGTACATGAAATAGATATCATGAACGCATGATCACACAAATCTATGACGTCATTAGCCAACAATATTTGATGACGTATTGCACATCGTCACTCCGAGAAATGAAATATTTGGGAAACAAAATGCATAACATTATTGTTTTATGAATTAAAAAAGCTGTTAACCGCGATGACAAGTACTAGGATTTCACGTATTCCTCCAGCTCGGCGGAAAATTACACGAATACGATGTGTCCAAGAGTGTATAAGGTGCTTTCAAACCAATTCGGAAGTGAGTGCGAGCTTGTGTTATGTTCCGCAGGAGGTACAATATTACTGTGCACAAGCGAAGGTGACGATTAAGCTATACCCCGAACCCCAAAAAACTAACGCTAAGAAAGTGAAAGAAATTGTGTTGACTCCTGAATCCATTTTATTTGTTAGTGGTGAAGAATTTTTTAATTCCCATGGTAAATGGCTTCGGTGTATCAAGGTGAGTTGATGACATCCAATAACTTGGGTCAAATATTAGCATATTCAGGCCTGTTATAAAATCTTTGAAGTTAGGGACTATAAAAATTATGCGACTTTATTACAGACGTAAGCATACATGATAAATATTGATATGAATCAAAGCATGCTTTGAACAAGAGCGCAGCTGGTCTCAGAATATTTTCTTGAAATCTATAGGCTTTGATCATGCCTAGTTTATGTGTTCTAGTTTCGACCAACACCAAGTGCTACAGTAGAAATATTTAATGATGATTTATGGTACCTGATAATTAATAATAAAGTTAGTGATGAATTACCTGTAATAAAATTAGTTCCAGCAAAAAAACATAGTCCTCATTTACTAAGGTACAGTCCTGTTTTTTTATGTTTTTTTGTTTGAAATAGCTTAGATACCACTTCATTGTTTTGCCATCAGTAGACATATTTTTTTTGTCAACTCATAGGCTTTATGGCTATTGTAGTATGCAAATGACAATGAATTTCATTGAATGAATTATCCATAGAAAAAAAAAGTGTTCAGGAATTATTTCTACCATCTTGTCCTTGGCAAAACTTCTTTTGTTCCTCATTTATATTGCCCTGGCTTGTCTGAAAAAAAGTTGACTTAAATCCAAGGTCATCAGAATGGATTTAGGGTCTCTTGATTTAAGTTTAATGGACATATTAGAAAGCTGAAGATTGAATTAATTTATTTCAGCTGGGAAGAAGTGGTAGAACAAAAATATTCTCTTCAACTACCAGAGCATAAAGTTATTATACCAGAGGCCGATGAAAGGACTGTCAATCAATTGAAACAAGTCCCACCCTCTTGGACATTAATACAAGATGAAGCTCTTGTGAAGTTAATGTCACTGCAAATGACTGCTGATAATGATACATTAGGAAGCATTAAAAATGTTGTGGAATCCTTGGATGTATCCACTTCATGTGTGAGTATGAATATTTTAAAAGACACATGATAAGTTCATTGATTCACTGCTTACTGTTCACTGTGTAGAATTTCAAGGGTAGGTTTCACAAAGCTTATGATTGTCACACGACAAGGTTATATGACCAGGTGTAGAAGAAATAAAATATCTTAGCTAATACCTAATGATGGTAACAGCTGGACCTAGTTTCCATTCTCAGTTTATACCTAACTTTTAGTCATACAGAATTTACATAAATTTGAATCTAACTAGTAGTTTACTTTCTTACGCATTACGATGCAAGCTTTGCATTTTAACTATTGAGTATTTTTAGTCTATACGTCCAAAGAGCGATGCTCATTTAATTGTTGTAGGGCCATGAGAACAAATCCACAGTTTGTCCTTAAAGTCCAGAAGAGTAGATAGATTCCGTTGTGGTGGGCTCAGCTGCCTATACAATGACTCTAACAAGTGTAATATTTGGTTTTGACAACCATCAAGAAGGAGAAATTAAATCAAACACCAAATAGAATTGACCATAATATTTATTTCTCTGATAGGATGAAGATGGTGCAGCCAATTTAACTGATAATGATCCTGATACATATTGGGAAAGTGATGGAACTCAGGGTCAACATTGGATACAGCTACGCATGAAGAAAGGAACAATAATCAAGTAAGATGTTTCCCATTTATAGACTTACCGTCTGATTGTAGGAAATATTTGTCTACAGTAGGCTATAGGCTTCTAGTCATAGATAATAACAGACATGTTAGACTGTGAAAAGACGAGGTGGGGTGTATGGTGCAGAATAATCGATACAAATAAAATAGAAGAAATGAACACGCAAGATCTGGGTCTGGACAAGGTGCAAACACGATTTGTTTCTTCTATCTTCTACTCTATCAATAATCCCGCACCCTACACCACACTGGACACCGAACATTGTCTATTTGCACGTTTGGTCGTTAATGATAGTGACCACCTGAATGATCAATTTAGCTTGAATTACTCAGATAGCTGATTTCCCTGTGTCTGTATAATAATTAATATTTTGTGAACCTAATTCTAGGAATTGTCATTTATTTTTTGTAGAAAATTAAGTATAACACTGTGTAGTAGTGATGATAATTATTTACCAAGTAATATACAAGTCCAGGTTGGAGATGTAGACATGAAAAACCTGGCCACAGTCAACCCTGACCGGTAAGATATGATTGATGCCTGCCTTTCTTTTTGCTAAAGCACAAAATTTTTGATGATCTACTCTGATTTTTGAGGCTAAAAGAGCCTGTCTTTTAGCCAAAGGTGACAGACAATTTTAAGCATAAGCTTACATGAAACCTAACAAACTTCCAGGACCAGACAAGCAATAGCCATTTCTGACTGGCACTCTCACAATATTAACAAGCCACCATGAAAAGGCCATATATATTTTTGTTGACACTCTGGTTGCCTTTAAAAATTAGGAAAATATTTTATTTTTCAGAATAAATGGTAAACAAGATGTTGTTTTATTATCTAACTTAACAGAACATTATCCCATTGTGAAAATCAGATTCAAAGAATGTAAATGTAAGTGATTTTGATTTATATAGTAATAGGCATATACTCGGTTCAATGTAAGAGTTATGTGAAGCTTCAAAAAAAAAATCCTGTGACTGTTTGTAAGGGATGAAAAACACAAGGTTCATTGTACTAAATTTGGACACCACTGGCAAAATTTTCATTTAGTCGGAAGATTAATAAGCAATTAAGTAAGTAATTTATGATATAATTTATAATACATAGACATTGCTATGTAGAAATGGATGCTGTGTTCACCATCTTATATGTCAAAAATTAACAGTATTATTTTCTGACTTGTTCAATATTTGTTGTATTGTTTGTACCTAACAGTAATTGTTTTGACAGCAGGTGGAATAGATACAAGAGTTCGTGGTATAAAAGTCATAGCGACTGGGGAGAAAAGCAACACGTATGATAAAGACTTCTTCAGTAGTGATAATTTAGTTCGGTTTCCAAGGTTACAAGCGTACAGTGCTGATCAACTGTATAATAGGTCCCAAGTTTTATTGAGGTATGTGGCTAAGTTTCAGTTCAAAGATATTTCTATCAATGTTTTTCTGGTTATTGCCCAATATGAATGTTGATGTGATCAGGCAGTAAATTTGAATATGTATATCAATTTTGAAAAACGGGGACCCAAGCTCAGCATCATGGGACTGACAAAGGCACTTTGAAGTGAGACTGTAAATTCATTATTTTAATAAGTAAAGGATATTTTCTTGTCATAAATTATGGTCAAACCTTTTATCTTCAAAATCAACATCTCTGAAAGCTTTTATCAAACTATCACCTTTTTAAATTAGGACAGTATGGTGTAGAATGTTCAAAACCAATTTATTTTGACAATCAAATATGTTCAAGATCCCAAATCAACTGCTCTAAAAAGCTTTGAGATATTTTCACCATTGAAAAGTTAATGACATGAAATGCCAATTTTCATAATAACAATGTTCAAAACTATTTTTGAAGTTATTTTCTGTATTGATGAATAGTATGTATTTTCCAGGTTTATTACGTTATTAGACAGTATATTACAATATATTATACCAGCCTGGAATACATCAGCTCATAACAAAAACCCTCTAGAGGTCAGTTTTTTGCAACACTATAGTACCTCATAGGCAAATATACCACTCTTTTTAGCCATGTAGCCTCTGTAAATTAGTTAGTGATGTGGTTGCTGCCTAATTTAAAGGCTTGTTCTCAGCATTGATCAGCTGTCATGAAAATTAAAAATCACCTAGTATGATGCACAGTTAGAAAAGAAGATACAAGGACATTCAAACATGCCTCTCAGATACAGAGTTGAAGATTTTATTTTGTCTGGTTATTTTGTATTTTAAATAGGGTATCCGAGGATTATTACCACTCTCTAAAAGAAGAATGGCTCTAGTTGATACATGTTTAAAAGATTCAGCTCATGAGTAAGTGTTATTATAAGAAATAGAAACATTTATTCATGAAGGAATTTTTATTGTTTCTTTAAGTAAATGAGCCAAAAACTGAGCAATATCGGGATATTTTTATCACTACAAGACAATCATTGGTTTCTTTCAAAACCTCTATTGCATGATTTAGGAGAAAAGCTGAATCGTGTCAAAGCAGTAGCCACTGTACCATGTGATATTCTTTTGTCTTCTGGGGATATTGTCTATTAAATTTAAGGTTTAAATATAAAACTAAGAAACGTTGTATCCTGCATGTTTTTTGTGTGTCTAAGCTATTCATTCAGTTGCAAACACTTGTATGTCCTGCCAGACTTCCTTACTTTGCTAATGTAAATTATACTGTCTTTTTCAGACCTCCCGAGAAGCCTTTAGTTCATATCAACCGAAGATTGGCCATGGAACATCGTTGTAACCCTGGTAACGACCCAACCTGTAAACACTCAATATTTAATCAGTTATATGATGGGTTAAAACCACAAGAACGGAACTCAAAACCTCTTGACTATAGGTAATATATATTCAGTCTCAAAATCTTAATGGACACATATTAGTCTGATTCTTGTTACCATCTTCTGTCTTCTTTTGAATTTTTGAGCTATTGGAGGATAAGAAGAAGGGCATATCATACATGCCTGGGCACTATGTGCATTTATGCAGTACTTTATTCTCCTATAATCTTCAGGTAGTTGTCTGCTGGTCAATCCAATGCTATAACCAGTCCTTCCAATTGGGTTGGACCTGTCTTTCACCCCTTATTTCTAGCAATGGATGTTATTTTTCAAGGTGGAATTATAGACATGACCAGTGGTGGGAGTGTAAATTTACATTAGAAGGAATTATAGATCAAGGTGGCGGGTTTCGAGACAGTTTATCAGATATAGCTGAAGAGTTATGTCCCTCTAACCCTGATTGTCCAGTCCCTTTACCTTATTTTATTAGAGCACCAAATCAGGTAAAAATAATGCTTCTTCTCAGAAATATTTGGAAGAGAGAAGTTTCACAGTCTAAAAATGGCTAATGCAACCACTTCGACGTGTTTCCATGTAGGATAATCAGTTTTCGATGTGTACTGAATATGATTCAAACAGTTGAAAATAACGGCAAAATGTGTATGCCTCATGGGTGATAAGTCATGGTAAATCTCCTAGCCTATTTGATTAATCTTGATAGTATTGTGGTAAACTTTCTAGGAACAAGATGTAACTAATGTAAATACAGATGTCTATGTACCCAATCCTCTGTGTCTTGATAAAGAAAAATTAATCTGGATTGGACAGTTGATGGGAGCTTGTTTTAGAAGTAGAGAAATATGGTGAGTATACACTGCCTTTGATGATACAATTAATAATCAATGAAACAAATATTAGCAATTAGCTAACTAGACGTAAAGCTCACTAAAAAAGTATTAAGATAACCCTTTCACAATATAGACAGTGTATTTAAAGCAGTAAAAGAAGTTTCTACAGCTGAAAATAAATAAAAAGAAGTATATATAACAGTTGTGTTTAGTTATGTTATTAACAAACTAATATGATTTATTTTATAGGTGATATCATTATCAATGTTTATATGGAAAAAAATAATCAACCAAACTGTAACATGGACAACAGATTTTAGTACTGTAGATAGTTTAGGGGTAGGTTGACAATATAAAGTATTCAGGGGAAATCTAGAATAGGTATCTCTTTCCATTAAGCCAGTGGTTCCCAACCTATTTCGGGCTTCACACTCCTGCAGCAATCACTCAGACCTTTCACACCCCAAAAATTTGTTTCGTCCACATTTGCAGCATATGCAAATTATCATGAAGATATTAATGTTCTATATGTTACCTTAATACAGGCAGTTTTAATAGATCAACTAGAAACTTTTGACTCAGCAACCTTCAACTCTGTGTCAAGGTCATGGAGTTATATTTCAAGTAATGGAACTACTGTGATATTAAAAATGGACAACTCGGGAAATCCCTTGCCATTGAAATATGACCATCGAGAAGAATATTGTAGTAAAGTAAGAGAATGTCGGATGAAAGAATTTGATGAACAGGTAGGTAGAAAGTTGATACATTGCAGACTGGAATCAGGAATTTTTGTACTAGAGGAATAGTGGACAATATTTATTAATATATGCCTATTGTTATATGTTAAGAGACCAGAAGAGGTAGTGGCTCATAGAAGTGGCGTTTCTGTGACTCTTTTGGTGAGGGGGCCAAGTAGGGGCCACAGAAATGTTAAAGTTGGGTGGGGCTCACAGGAAATTAATTCTCTATGTAAAATGATAAGAAATTAGAATATGGGTGTACTGGGAGACAAGTCTCACCACCATTTCTTCTGAGGGGAGGGAGGTATAGAAACATTACTGAGTAGGAAATGTTTCATCACAGATTCAGAACAACATGTGGAATTTCATTTTGACATTTTATTCTTGCGGTTAAAGTTTTACCAGAGACTAAAAGATCTTGACTAGATTGCTATTGCTATTTCTAGATTCTTTTATTTTCATCAAGGCACTGTGCTCTTTCTACTGATTGATAAGTGATTGTATATCAACTATATTAGTAAATGCTTTAATTGTAGATCAACTATATCCGAAATGGGTTATTACAAGTGATACCTAAAGCTGTGTTAGATTTATTAACATGGCAGGAACTAGAGAGTAAAGTCTGTGGGGATCCTGTTATTTCTATTGAAGCTCTGAAGAAATCTAGTGAGTAATATTTTGTATTATTTTGCTAGCAGCAGACGTGCATATTTTTATCTGAACACATTGATTAAGATGACCATTATTTTTTAATGCCGGATACCAAAGGGGCACACATACCAACTGGGCCAAAAAATATGCTTGCCCCTAACTTTTCTGTTTGGTATCATCCATGATGAATTGAAGAGTTATCAGAAAGAGTTTAATTGAGATCTACAACATCAGATCTACTCATTCAGTAGTCGATTCTTTGCTGAATTATTCTCTCCAGTGTCTCACCAACTGCAAACAATTATTATATCTTGCAGCTCATTATGATGAAGTAGAAGAAAATGATGACAGAATAAAATTTCTATGGGAAGCCTTGAAGAACTTCTCCAACGAAGATCGTAGTAAATATATCAAATTTGTCACTGGAAGACGAAGATTACCTGCTACTATTCAAGTCTCATCAGGGAAAATGTAAGCATTTTTAATTCTTGAACCTATAGACATAAAATTTATGTTGATAAAATTCAGTTTTATCTACTCAGGGCAATGTTTAAAACGATAATCCGCTTGATACTTTGTGAAAATTATTTCAACCCATTGTGAAATGATGAAATATTCACTTGATTGGGATTTAAACTTTTTTAAGGGAAAGACTAGTGAATATGGTCAGGAGAATTAAACTTTGATAACTTTAATTATTTGTTTTAATGAAATTAAATTTTGAGAATTTGGATGGTTTAGTTTCCATTCTACTGAAGATTAACATTTAACTTTATATTTCAGTGATGCTGTCGATAGTTTACCTGAATCCTCAACCTGTGCCAATATGCTATATTTACCTTACTATTCAAGGTAAGTGGTTTTATTTACTTCAGTTTTTTTTTAGCCTTCGGTGGTATTGTTTGAAAGCTGACACTGCACCGATTCCTCTAAGCTTTGACTTAGAAGGGGATTCAAGCCCATAGAGCCACAACAAAACTCGTTTCTTGCTGAGCTGTTTTGTACTTACGCAGTTATGCTATCAGCTAAACCGAAAACATCTCAATATCTCATATCAATTGGTAACTTATATAAATATAATACTGTTGGGTGATGAAACAAGGCGGTAATCAGCTATACTTTTCAATATATATAATGACTATATTATTTTTATACTGTATTGTTCATTGTATATTTCAGTGCCAAGGTTGCAGAAGAAAAGATTCGCTATGCAGCGTATAATTGTGTTGCTATAGATACAGATTTAAATCCTTTGTTTGACGAATAATTTTTATTTATGCATATCATATGACAGCAATTTATAATACTAGATATTCTTATGTACTGAATCATGCAGTGTTGTGCGACTACCTTGCCTCAGGACCTCTTTTCATGACTATTTTTCTAATACTTTGAGACAGACAAAATGTAATAGGGAAAGAGTTTAATAACTTATCCTTGCTGGCTAAAGAGTTCAATAATTTAGCCTTGCTGGCAACTTGTATCCAGCTATCTTATCATCCTTTTACTGACTAATAATTTAATACTGGCAGACCCTAACTTGCTCATGGTGAAAAAGTATGGAGTAATTTAGATAACATATATCTACATTTCTACATTACCACTTTTCACCCAACAGTACCTGAAGGAAAAAGTTTGTGACTATAACCTCAGGGATCTTCTTGCACAACCAGAAAGTTTTCAAACCTTAACACAATTGGTTTTAATTACATATAAGTAGAATGTGGGATACTGGACAGTCAGTCCATAAAGGTAGACTGTTATTGTTTATAGTTAAAAACTTCTACTTAAATATATTTTACTGACTATACTCGCAAATGCTCTGTTCAATTGAACACTTATATTCTATTATAAATTTGTCTAAAATCATGTAATGCCTATATATTAACAACTAGCATTTATTCAAAATGATAACTTAAAAGATTTGCTACAAGTACATGTCTTTAAAATTCACGTTAACTAAAATTATGACAATATTTTTTTCTATAGACAATAGTTTATGGCTTGGGTTTCATTTTCAATCAAGTGCTACAAGAATTGCTCTCCTAAGATTTTAGCTTTCTGATCAGAGTATTGGTCTTGCTTGTGGAAGGCTCAACTGTTAGTTGTTTTGTAAGAATTCGTATAATCATTATCTTTGTTATAGCTGTTATTTGTAATAAAGTTATTCAAACTTTTCGTAGTCCCGTTAAATGTGAGCTGTAAGACACAATTCAATCCAACAACCTTGAACATTAAAAGAAGGTTAACTTAACAAACAACAATGTGACAGTCTCTGTTGGTTTGGCTATCCCACAGTGTAATGTTTTTGAACAAAACCCCTTGACCCTGGGAAACCTTGTCAAAAAATAAAAATCCAAAGCAATCCACTAGTGCTGACATTCAGTGTGCAACAAACATATATCAAACAAGATTTAGTTAACTGGAGATTTTTCATTCTAGATTTTTCTCTTTCTTCATTAGCCATTTGAAAAGAAGACAGTTATTGAATAGAATAAATATCTTTTATTATGATATCACAGTTATAATGATAGACAAAAACCTCTGATGGAATGATTTTTTGATCAATATTATATCATTAAGTACATGGATGTAAAAAGCTAGATTAGAGTCAGCAAATTTTTAACCAGTCTTTATGATTTTGTCCAATAGTTGCCTTTTGATTAACCTTCCACATATATATATATACATGTACAGACATCATTTTTTCTGGAAATCTGAGACCAGTGTCTTGTTACAGTCTTGCCTTAAGACAAATGAAAAACTTTCGGAGATAATTCAGAAATAAAAGAAAATAGAAATAAATAAAAAATATAATTACAATATTCATTTAAATAAGAAATTCCCAATTTTTAAAATAATTAACTATAATTAATGCTGGCTCTATAAAAATGTGAAAGCAAACTAAACATTATGTCTTTTTAAACTAACCTAGGCAATATTTACAAAATTTTTGGCATTTACTATTAAAAAGAGGCTTAACTCAATGAATTTCAATTAAAACATTGTGCAGTTATGTGTTTAAAAAAAGTCATGGTTTTATATTCTATGCATAGCAAAAAATCCCCAACTTGGACGGAGTAGAATGAGACCTATTATTACTAAAATATACAGAGCTCTCTCATTGGATGCTTTCATTTAGCTTTGCAGGATGATATGAGAAACCATCATTTATTTATCAGATCCTAAAATAATCCCCCACAAAGACTTCAAGCTGCAGTCCAACATGAATGGTAAAACCATTGAAATCACATTCCTGACCAGACCCTGAGTATATAGAAGCGAAATAAAGACTTGTATAATATCTATACATGTATTTCTATATAGTCCCACTTAAAGCACTAATTTATATAGTTTATATCACAGTGTTGTTATATTTTTGGTTTCCATGACAATCAGTAACGTTTGTTTTTGTTGCCAGGTAACAACCAGGAATCATCATGGAGTGTGTTGTTACTCGGGGGTCTGTAATAAATAAGAATATCCAAATAGAAAAACAAAACAGTCTCAATTTATCATTGATTGAAGATTATAAAAGACCATGTCATTTGTGACAAAGGCTTCAACACTAAAAGCAATGAAACAGGACTTAATCTAAAGTTGTCTAATTTAGTACGGAAACAACAAGGGCATTGACTTTGTAATAAATTCCTGTACACAGTGAATACTATCATGCATTTACTTAAAATAAAGTAGAAACAATAATAATTCTAATCTCAAAAATATTAAAAATATCTTATTAACAAAATGTTAAACATAACTGTAACCATCATACATTTAAACATCTTCATAATGTCAAGCTATTACGAACTTTGTGCTTATACCTTGAATGCCCTAGCCACTATTCTATTATCAGGGAATGCAACCATTTGATTGGATAGTACCGAAGCGAATACAGCCAATCAGAGCCCTATACAAAGTAACCATTAGGGCTTTGTGATCACAGACTTTCTGTTGAGGCCTCTGATTGGCTGTATTCGCAAGCCTATAATCCAATTAAATTGCTCAATTTACAAGCTTCCATGATATGAGAATGGTGATTATTGTAGTCAAAGTATAAGTAAAAAATTTGTTATAGCTTGATATTGTAGAGATGAAATTTAAATGAAACTGAAAGCTTATGTATAAACAAAAAAAAAAGAACTGTTTAAAATGAAATAAAACTAACTAAAAACTAATAAATTTTTTGCCAGGTTTAATATTTTATAAAGTCAAATTTTAACAAAGACAGTTTTTTAAAGTTTTTTGTACCTGCTAATAGTATTTTGTATATAAATGTTAGAATTTTGTGACTAATATGTTAGTTTCTATTTTCACTTTCTAAATAATAATTTTATAATTGAAATATTTTATTTCCTAAACTAGTAACTTACTAAAATTCTTGAGACAATATCAAGATCATAATTGCTTGAAAATAAGAAAAAAATATCAAAATTTAAATGAATTGAATTGAAAAGAGTTAAAATTGATTGCTTTTTCACATATGAATTCCCTGAATATTGTGATCAGAACAATGTATTCTGTTTCTAGCCCCACTCTACTCCAGTTTTTATCATCAGATAGGTGCAGCAAATAAGTCATGTATATGATACATGTATATATAAATATGAGTTATTTACCTGTTGTGAGACTGTTTCTCCATAAATCTATTTATAACATCGTCAGGGTCGTATAGTGAGACATCATCACCTGTTGAAGAAGTAATATTTTATTGGTAAAACTAAACAGTGTCCCAGTTTAAGGAGAAATCTAACTATCAGTCATACTGTAATTCTGGCAGCAATAAATTTATACTATTTCAGGGCTGTCCATATATCCATTTAGGGGAATTTGTATGTCCAACAGGGTCTCTAAGATATAATTAAATAAGGTTATAAAGATACTCCAGGGTTATAAAGATACTCCAGGGAAATCTACTTATTTGGTCAGGAAATGATATTTTTAATGACAGGTAAAGAAGCAAGACTTGTAACATTATAATACTATAAGAGCCCTACCTTGAATTTCCTTGAGTCGTTTCAATCTATTATCATTTTTACGTTGAATTCTGTCAACATCCAGACTGACCACGGATCCCATGGGATTATAGTTTGAAGGTAAATCTGTACTAATATCCTATAATAAGAATAAGGTAATTATATTATCACCGAGTTAATAAAATAACCAACAAATAATGTTATTCAGGAACACATCATCATGTCTTTATTTACCAGGTACAAGATTGCATACAACAAGAACATAGCGTCACTATGAGAACACTGATCTTATTACTCCCTATTTTGTTAGGGTGAGGTACAGGAAATATTCTTTGTTGAACATGAGATGATTGAAATGATCTAGGCTTTGAAAGTTACAATGTCATAACAGTTTATTTTCTATACCATCTGTTTGCATCTAATAAATCTAACACCATATAAAGATTTAGTATAATCACCTGGAAGAAAAATGCAGAAAAAAAATGTGATTTTATTACCCTAGGACTTTTTGAGGGATATCTATTTGCTTCCCTCTGTCTTCTTCTATCTCGAGCAGATTCATTACGTTTGGGAAAATCATCAAAATCATCTGGAAACAGACTTCTATCCATTCCTTCTACATCTAAAATATTTCACATGGGTTTTTACATCCTTCTTTTCTGAACATGTTTGGACTAATGAGGATGGACAATGCAATGCAGTTTGCAATGGGGGAATTTTGCCAGTATAGCAGCTTTAGCTTACCCTTTTTCAATTTTCAACATTTTTACAGCATGAGGCACAAGGGGCTTCGGCTTATTATCCAATCCAAGGGACTGAACACTTCTTTTGTTGGAGCCCCTCCAATCTGTGTCACAAATTGCATCCAGAAAATATTAAAATTTGCAAAATAAAAATATATATCAGATTCTCCCCACAGACATTTCTCAAGTTTAAATTCAAGTTTTAGAGTAGGCAAGAAGATCAAGAGCACACACTGAGAGAGTAATAGAGTAAAATAGAATAGATAAGTTAATATAAAATAATAGTAGAGGTAGAACTAACCTATAAAGGCACTATTAGAGTGTAGCATTGACTGTGGACTGGCGGATGTTCCAGGCAAATCAACTACAAAGATACATATACACGTTGCATTAGAGATGTGCTGATTGATTTCAACAGGATAGCAGATTCAGATTGGCAAGAAACAGTTTGATTAACACAAAGAATATCTTCGAAACCTGTATGAGTAACCCAATTCAAAATCTTAGGACTTTTTAGGCCTACTAAGATGACTATAGACTTGGAGCATATTATCAAATAATTACCATTAACACTAATATCATGCTTAGAATTTGAACCAAATATAGACCTTATTCACGCATCGGCCATATTGAATCTAACATTGCAAACAAAATAAGGTGATGTACCAGTGAAATTGCCATGTCTTTAATGCTTCATTCTCCAATCCCACTAACTCAAAACTAGTGACGTAACATAGGCTATTCTTTCATTTGAAGTCGCCATTGTTTCAATACATTATACAATTGTGTTATGAGTCTTGCATTTAATCCTCCCAAAATGAGATGAATAAAGGTCTATTGTGAAGATTATATATTGGTGATTATACAAAGGAATCATATGAGAGTTGAATCTGATTGTTGAAACAGAAGACTAAGATTCCTGACGTTATTACTGTACGTACTTGGAGAATCTGTATATCTTCTTAATCGCTCTTCCTGTTGACGTAATAATGCTGCCTGCTGGGATTCTAGGTCATCTTGAGTGCGAGGGTCAACTGGATATAGTTTACGGAATTGTTTACGTGAATCTGTGTCCTCTAATAATTGTGCAAAAAAGTAAAAAATAATGAAATGAAAAGAAAAACCAAATTTTTCTTAAAACTATTACTAACAAAACAAAAAGAAGAAAAACATTAACCAAATATTGTGGTGAAAGATCGCTAAAAATTGCTGAAACATAATTGGTGATGTATAAAAAAATATATTCAAAGTGAGATTTATGAAATTTGTGAAGGCAGAATTAAACAGGTTTCAAGATCTAAGAGCTAATGGGGGTTGTCTGGACAGTGGTCAAATTGCTTAAAGATAAAATATTGCTTAAAATGTGCAATTACTGTTGAACCCTATTGTGGCTAGACTAGAGCTATGATATGTACTATAGTATCTAATACTGATAACAAGGTGATACATCCAAAACTACTTGGTAATCATGGAACAAAATAGTTCAAAATCCTTTTATCAATTAGAAAATACCTTTATATTTTAAATCATCAAATTCTTGTAATATTTTCATATCAGCTGTTCCACCTCTTCTCACCTGTACAGCATTTCGGTTTAATGCAGTTTCAAAAATATCATTTCGTCTAGAAAAAATATAACACAATTATGATAAGTATAAGCATTCAGTCTGGATGTTTGAGAATTTATTTTGACTATTGGTTGCAAAATAAATATTCAACAGAAAGATTGCTGTTTTGTCTAAATTTCTGCTGTACAGGCATCATTTCTTTCTTAAGTAAAAAGATTGAAAAGGGGATATTGATTTTGAGATAATTGTCCTACATGACATTACCTATATATGTTTATACAAGAACTTACGATTGAACTTGAACTGGGATTTGTTGCTGTGATGTTTGCTGAACCAATCGTGGATCAAAAACATCTGGTTCATTCTAAAAATAGAAACTGCTATGTTAATTGTGTGTATCTTGACTTAAAGGATAATCTTACTGAAGCCAAATCCTTGTTGTTTTGATATATTCCAAGTGAACTTCTAAAGAAAAAATTCCAGAAGCATTTTATCTATCTTTAATGCTATCAGTTTGACAAGCATTTTCGAAAACCCAACAAAACAATGCACACTAATATGTAGTAATATCAGGAAGATCTTTTTCCAGCCTCAAGACAGCCTTACCCTGGTCTCTTCTAACATATTTTCTACACGTTTCCTCTCACTCTGTAACTGACGTCTCATATGAGCCAACTGATTCAATACATCAGCACCTATAATATGTAAATAGGTCTAATTATATTCATATCTTGACTATATGGACTGTACTAATTCAAAGATGAATTGACAAACTTGAATACTAGAAAATCCTTTTTTAAATCCACAGAAGATGATTTGACAACTAAATTATGTCATTTGCTCTGAAAGACTGCCTCAGAAAAGAAATTTGACATTGAATATATATTTTACTGATGCCAGTGTTCAATACAACTGTTAAGTCAGAAGTTCAGTTCAGAAAAATAGCCTAATCTTAATAAAAAAAGAACAAAATATGCTTACTGTTATTTCTAGCAGGAGGCACGTTCTGAAAAAAAATTAACGATAACATAAAAAGACCGTAAAAACAAACACATGGAATCATTTGTATCTAATTCTAAATGACTAGAGGCACAAAAAAACACATTTGAATTACCAGCCAAGATAAATTCTATGCACAGCAACTACCTCCTGATGTTCAAAGATTGTCTGATATCAGTATTAAGAATAATGTTTTGTTTGATTAGCAGAAAACATTCCATATGACCAAAAATTTGTTGAAAGTATTAGAACTGAAGCTGAATGGTGTTCATACTCAGAGTTCTTTTAGATAATGGATACATGTGCATATTGATTGCTATGTGCAATATATATATATCTATAAATAATATAAGAAGAAGGTGCGAAAGAGGTGAGACTTACATCAGTATACACATCAAGATTTCTATGGCGTAAAGTAGGAATTAATGGGGAGTAGGTTCTGTAGTCATACTGGATAAAAACACACAAATACAATACATTAATATAAAACAACACAGAAATAAAGGATAACACAGTAACACAATATATTATGTAGTTCAGTGATAGGAATGCACATTTCAAAATTAAATACAATTTTATCTGGACTGTTTATAATATCCCTCCATTTTTTACCAACACAAACTTTTTCTGAGTGAATTTCTTGTTAACCTGAGACCAATTCGTAAATTTTTTTATGATCAATTGGATCACATCATAGCAGACTGTTCTGCACTAAAGGTAGGTTGCTGCTTTTATTTACCCTCTATTCCACCTCAGAACATAGTGGACTGGTCTTGTTTTTGTTCTAAAACATCCATGCATGTGCATTAATATCATTGACCTACTATATTACAGCACACATACTTGATATAGCAACCGAAGATACATGATTAAAAGCAAACATTACATATTTATAAAAATAAAAGAAACCAAGCCTTATACACCCAAAAATAAGCCACAACAAAAAAAAAAACAATTGGTCAGTATAAATATAAAGTTAACAGATATAAGTTAGAAAGTATCAAAATAAAGAAATAGATTGGTGAAATGAGAGGAAATGTTAAACAGATTAGGTGGTCACAATTTTAACAAATATTAGTGAAACAGGGACATCAAAAACAAACATTAATTGTGAGAAAATGGGTAAAGACTAAAAGTACCGATTTCGAGGGAGGCGGGGTCTCTTGTTTCGTTTTTATAGCTGGTACAGGTGGCGACTTGCCCCTGGTTTGATTGACAGCTGGAACAGGTGGAGATTTAGGTTGATTGACAGGAGAGGTGGGCTTAGACGAAAGGGACTCTGATTTTGGCTGAAAATGAAAGTAGGATATATTTCTTATCCACAAACCAAGAAAACTGAGGGTGAAAATGGAAGAAATCATTTCACTTCTAAAAAATGTGACTGATGTCATTGGCATACCAGATAAGTTGTTTTTTAAAAAGCGAAGAATGACATTTGCATCAAGGAAACCATAACATGAAACCAACACAACACAGAAATTTACCGTTTTTCTATCATCTTCCTGTTTATTATCTGTTGTTTTATTTTCAACATCATTTTCTTTATTTTCAGAATCATTATTCTCAGTTTTAGGTTTTCTAAGGGCATGAATAGGAGGGGATTTCCCTCTTTCTTTCTGTAATTTTAAGGTTAGTAAAAATCTAATCTACATATAAGTACACCAATGTATATAAATAAACATTGAAACCCATTTCAAACTAAAATAGCCAACTTCATCTTAATTTTGTGGTTGATATTATTTTCAACATGTTGCCTCTTATCTAACTTCTGTTATTTATTTTTTTGATGAATGTTGGTAATATATAACAGGTGTATACAAGACTAATGTACCGGTATGGATGTAAAAAATGTATCCTAGAAATCTAGAAACAGGAGCCAGTTTTATTCACACTTCAAAAAACAACAGTCAATGATATCTTATTGGGCTAAATAACAGTAATCAAGTCTAAAACTATTTGTAGACTGGCAGATTTTAATTTATTCAAAATGGGTTTCAATTGAAACTAAATCTATAATTTGTTAAAATCTTCTATAAGTTAAGTATTGTAATAATTCTATTTTCTACATAATAAACTATGTAGCTAAGTTAACATTGTCTTGGAAAACCTTTATTCTACCGGAAAATTGAAAGATCTATCTAATTTGGATATAAAGACAGTAATTTGATTGGATATAAAGACAGTAATTTGATTGGATATAAAGACAGTAATTTGATTGGATATAAATAAATGCCTACCTCTTCACGCTCCTGTCTTTGTCTCTCATATTCTAATCTTCCTTCTTCTCTCTTCTTCTTTTCACCCCGTAATTCTGATTCCTTTACTTTCTGATCTTCCTGTAGTTTTATTATCTCAGCATTCTTACGATCTTGCTATAATTCATAATTCGTTATTACTCCATTTTCTCTTAGATCAGAATTTAACACTTTATCTCTGTCCTTCCAATAAAACATCCCCTCCCCCATTCACCCCTCAAACCTTAAAAATGCTTTTCCTATTTTGCTTGATTTACTTTTCATCTCCCCCAATCATCCCTTGAATAACCAAACCAAAAGTCAACAAAAACCCAAAATCAACCAATTTTATCCCGTTTTACTTTGATTAATTTCATCTGCTTTAACACTACACACATTATTGCATTCCCCACAGAATCAACCCACCTCATCCTGTTTGGCCTGGATACGTCGTTTCTCCTCATCATATTCTTCTTGCATCTTTCTCCGCTGATCATCAATTATTTTCTGTTGTCGTTCTTCTTCTCTTCGTTCCCTTTCTTTCTCTAGTTCAGCTTCTCGTTTTTTATTGTCAATCTGTCAAACATTAGTAGGCAGTGTAAAGATAAATGGAGGGAAATTTAGGTCGAGCAAGTCATATGAATTTCTGATAAATATGTACTGGAAATAACTACTAGTAACCTACAATGGTGGTTATTTTTCAAATCTTTTAAAATAAATAAACATCAAGCCATACTAGAGAATTACTGGTTAAGAATACAAAATATACAAAAGAACCTTTAAGTATGTAAAGAACAAATTTAATAACTGATCATTACTAAGATAAATTACATGATAAACCTATATAGAATTCTAGAGTATTTTACCTGTCTTTTTAATTCCTCTTTGTATCTGTCAGCCTGGCTCTTTTCTGCTTCAGTCTGTAAACAAATCAAATTCTGACAGTCAATTACAGGTCAAGGATGGGTCAGAAAAGATATTGTTCAAATCTGAGATGAAATGGGATATATCGGCCCTTCACTTAAACAAATACCTATATCTATCAAAAGCTAAGACCCAGATTATTTTTATGATTTGAAAATGCAATAAGCAACTACAAATGTGATCTTTTAATATCATTAAAAGGGGCTAGTAAATTGTATGCAGTGACCATTTCATTAATGATACATAATTTTACTTTTGTATTTATCGGGTCTACCTCTACTTTCATCTTCAAAACCAGACATTACTATATATACCTTAGGATGTCCGAATATTCCATGACCTCCTCTAGCATACGTCGACTCTCCTTCTGCTGTGGTTTGTGCTGGGGGTGTTTTTATCAAATCATCTTTAGGTGAAGCAGGTCGAGGACCACCTCTAGTTGGTGAAGACATTGGTTCATATCGTGGACTGTAACCTTTATTCTTAGCTCTCAGATCAGCTGAAAAGATATTTGTACCATGAGTATTTCATTTTACAAAAAATTCATATACTTCATTATTGAAAATAAAACCATACTAGAACACAAATATCCCCTAAATGAAACTGACTAGAAGATATATTTTAGGCAAGTGGAAGTGAAAGAAACATATCAAAACTTACCAACAACATTGCCGTATTCATCTTTCATAGGAGCTCCAGCCCCACCTCTTCCAAATGGATTATAATTCCTTATATCATCTTCTAATTTCTGCTCATATCTATCGAAAAAAATTGGAAATAAATTTTAGATTTCTAATGCAGATAAAATTCAGCATGTAGGTCATTTTTAATATCAAATTTTTTTATGTGATAACAAGTGAACTTTCATTCAGCAACTTTATAAATTCACGATGAAACAATGGAGAATTAAATATCCAGGCCAACGTTTCACAAAAAGGCTACCGGTACAGGGTATATCTATTATAGCAGATATAATTGGAAGCCCTTACTTCTTGTTGGTGATAAGCCATCAAAGACATACCTTTCTTTCTCTTCTTTAGCTATAGCCTGTTTTAACTTCTTCTCTTCCATCTGAAACATTTCAAATCATGATTAGATGTGTGTCTGTTACATGATAGAACTGATAATCCTCAAACAACATCTAGAAACTGAGATTAACAAATTTTGTTGAAAAACAAGATCAGTCCTGAGAGACTTCAGTTAAGACTAGCAGGAAATATAGCGTACATGTGGATACAATTGATATACAAAGAATAAATCATGATCCAACCTGACGTTCCAGTTCACGTTGATATTGTTGAGCTTGAGCTCGTTGTTTAGCCTTTCGTTCTGCATCACTTCCTTGGTTTATACTCTCTTGTATCGCTGCAGCACTTGGTCTTTAAATAAAAAGTATATTACATTAATAATAGCTTCAAATCATATGTGAATGCTTTTGAATGCTTTGAAAATCCTATAGGGTGCTTTACATCTATTACTTACTGTTTCATCCAAGGGGCAACTTTATAGTTAAGACATAAATACTTACCCTCCTAATACTGGTGATGAATATCCTCCTCCTCCTAGCCCCCCTCCCCCAGGGGCTGCTCTGTAATTATCCATAACAATCTGGTTACCTGTGGGTACACTTCCTGTAGAGAAAAAAAAAATGAAATTCAAACCTAACAATAAAATTATGCATAGGATCATACCCAGGACAAACTACATTTTACACAAGTTTTAGGACTGACTAATTTTCTTTTAACTACAATGTCAATGGTGTTCTTTAGATACAGAGTTTTTAGATCAACCATTTGCAACACATTTTCAGTCACATCCTACTACAATCACAAGCCAAGTAGGATATCTAAGTTGGGTCAAGAGCAAGGTCAAGAGCAAAAGCAAGAACAACAACAAGAACCCAGGAAATTTGTATTATCAAATTCTGTTATAATAGTAATATCTAGATTAATGACCTACCATAATTTGTAGCAGCTATCTGTGTTGGAGCAGCTGGTAGACCAGTATCTAATGGGTTATGGGAACCATAATAATGATAAGCTTTATCTACTGAACTAAACTTATCAAAATGATCTCCTCCAGTTACATATGTTCTGCAAAATATGATACAAAATTTGATGAGAAAAACTCATTATTTAAAACAATTATGTACATCTGGGTATATATTAAAACATTTAGGCCTAATATATATTAAGTGTTGGATTAAATCAAAATTTGAAAAAAAAAAATTTTGGTTTAAAAACAAAAATAATATGGTACTTACGAAGGGGTATATTCTAAACCAACAGGAACTTTTACAGATCCTACTTTAGGTGGCTCCAGCAATCTGTCAAATCCTTGCTCTAGTATACCAGTACCCATGTGATCAGCTGGGCCTGAAGGGAACATTTGTGTTCTTGGGTCACGTTTCGAAATAAAATCTAACTCTGCAATATCTAAAGGATTGATGGCAGCATTCTGTTGTTCAATTTTCTTCAACCTTCTTTCCAAACGTTCTAAATCTCGCGTTCTTCCCAACAACATTTCAGATCTTGGACTGAAATTGAGAACAACCTGGTTAAACCAATACAATCAAAATTCAATAATCATCTGCATGATGTGAAGCTGTGTCCTAAAAGTGAAAGAATTTTATTGATCACCGATTACCTTACCTTAGTCTGTCTATACTAGATGTCAGATGGTATTGTATTTTACCTTAGTCTGTCTATACCAAATGTCAGATGGTATTGTATCTTACCTTAGTCTGTCTCTACTAGATGTCAGATGGTATTGTATCTTACCTTAGTCTGTCTATACCAGATGTCAGATGGTATTGTATCTTACCTTAGTCTGTCTATACCAAATGTCAGATGGTATTGTATCTTACCTTAGTCTGTCTATACCAGATGTCAGCTGATATTGTATCTTACCTTAGTCTGTCTATACCAGATGTCAGATGGTATTGTATCTTACCTTAGTCTGTCTATACCAGATGTCAGATGGTATTGTATCTTACCTTAGTCTGTCTATACCAGATGTCAGCTGATATTGTTGCTGTTGTTGTTGCTGTATTTGTTGTTGTGGGGGAACAACATCAGGTAACTGTTTATTTGGGATGATTATAACTTTCTGGGGTGGTGTTGGCTGCTGTTGTTTCTCTGGTGATGGTTCTATAAACTCTTGTTTATTCCTACAAAAAAATATCATATTAATGTCACTGGAATTCTTGTCATGTCAAATTGTAATAAGAAAAAAGACTGAAGCAAGAAATCAACAACTAGAATATCATTCTGCAGTTCTAAGCTGACGACTCAGGTTTTGATTTAAATTCCTCATCAGGATCACTGGTCTTTTAGGTTACTTTAACCTTAAACCAAAGAAAGTAGAGTACCAATAGTATAAGATCAATCATTGACAACTATGGGTTAGGGTATAATTTAATGAAGTGAATTCGAAATTAAATCTTACTTTTTTCTGGCCTCTTCAGCTTCTTTCATCTGTCTCATCAACTCATGTTTATATTCTTCCTTCCTCTTCTGCAGCTCATCTCTATCTTCTTGACCTGGTTCAAATCAAAATAGAATAGATAAACTGAAGACATTTTTCTGGAAATGGTTGCTTCAAATGGTTTCAACTGCAACCTTCACAACCAAAATTCATCTTATTCATTTTAAGATGTTACTCTTATGAACTTATCAAGTAATTTAGGTTGTAGAAAAGTCTCATTGTCGGAAACTTGACTTTTGAGATGTTACTGACAACATAAGAGGACATAAGAGGTTAAAATTCGGTCAAATATTGATGTGACTCATTTTCAACAAAAAGCGCAGAGCAAAGCAGACATATAATGTTCTTTATCAACTCACCAACTGGTAACGTAGCATAAAATCTGTGTTTGTTACTCTCTGGTAGATAGGTTGGGGCATCTCTTATACCTCGAGGTGGATATTCATGAACAGCAGGGGTATAGACCCCTCTTCCTCTTGGTGGTAGCTCATTCTAATAAGAACATAAGATAAAACATTATAGTAAATGTCACACTATGGCCCTCACAAATACAACAAGAACTTTAATATGATAAAAATTAATATAATATAAAAACCACAAAATAAATACAGAATATCAGCCTACAATAACAAATTAATTAACAGCATTTATCCATTTCATAAATACCGAAACTTACTTTTATTCAAACTTTGAATAGTCATTGAGTTCATTTCATTATAGTATTTGGTTGTCATAATACTAGGTAAGTACTATACTAGAGGTCATAGGTCAAAATATATGAATAGTTGGGACTAGTATACAACAATAACCTTGATTGTCAATAAAGTGCAAATATGTTTTTCATTGATATAGAATTTATATATCATTGATCAGCCTTTACTGTGATATTAAAGTTCAATAAGGTCTTATTCTTAAAAAATGTTAGTGTTCCAGTCATCTGATTGGTCAATAACTAAAATCGATTTTAAATTCAATTTTTCTATCCAATCAGATAACTGCATACCTTCAAAACTGTATTTTATCTTAGTTAAGTTTTAGAGAATAAGGCTCAAGGTCTATGAAGGATTTTATATTCCATTCTTTGTTACTTTGATACAGTTATCTGAATACAATAGCAATGGAGCTTATTTTATTCTACAAATATTTAAATTGGTTCTCCAGTGAAATGACACAGTCAGTTTACAACCCTGAAGTGCAATTAACATAGACACAAAGACTACAAAATGCTAAAAAAATGTGCATCTACAGTGTATTTCTATAACTTCCACAGCCAGTGTACAATCAGATTTTAACACCAAATAATGAATCAACAAACCTATAACAACATGCAATAAACATTAACAATGGAAATTAAAACATTGAAAAAAAATAAACTGTAAAAATCAGTAAGCTTATTAAATAAAACTTTAATATGTGAATGAACAAATATAACATGGTGCTCTGAGTATTTATGACAGAACCTACATCTTGTTTAGCTGGGGATTGTTTGTTAGGGGATGTCTTCTGCCTGGAATCAGGTCTTGGTGCTTTCAGGTTTTCTTCCTGTTGAGTTAGTAATGATACAAATAAAACACAAAATATAATTCAAACTGTACACACGGTTAGTTATAAACTAGACACAAAGAACCAAACCACAGAAAACTACCCAGAACTATTGTCAACATTGTAAATCATAATTTTTGCAGCTTTAATCATTTTGTTAACAATATTATTCAATATTCTCTATGATTTACAACTTAATATAGAATTTTGTATCATATGGTTAGACGAAAGATAGCACTGGATTGAAGGCATACCAGTAAAAATATGATCCTTCGAATGACTAAACCAGAGATAAATGTCCTACCATCAAGATGAAAATTAGTTTAACTCATATTTCAAAGAGTGGCTTCATAAAACTTATATTTCAAAGACTGTCTTCATTTTGTTATTTAAGGAATATAAACAAGGTGAAGTGAGAAAAAAACATAATAAAAACCCACCTCAAAGTCATCATTCCAGTTTTTTAATCGTTGAAGCTGATAGTTGTTAATAAAGAAAGAAAATCTAAGTATATATAGAAAGCTACTACAAGTAAAATAGGGGTTAGGATGTCATGTTAGACTTTTGACTTTGAAAGACTCTCAAACTGTGCAAACCATTTAAGGCAAATTAAATTTTGCTTATTTTTGCAAAAACACAGCTCAACTTTTTTAAGTAGGGCATGCTCATCCTCCACAGCATCTAATCTCATTATGAAATTTGTTTATCTGAACTTTTTAGCGAGTTTATTTGGTATATTTGTTATACATGCAGTTCAGATTGTAGTCTTAAATTTGCTCAGCTCCGATTGTTTCTCTTTAGATTGAAGTTGATCCTTGTCAGGTAGTTTATGACATATGACTTTAAGTATATTCAATTACTTAGATGGCAAAAAAGTCCAGTCTGCAAGTCCCATTGACAATGAGTCTGTTCTTGCATCTGGGCAAGTTAAAAGTTTTTGGTACAAAGACAGAATACAAAGACAGAGACAAGACACAACACAACAATCACACAAACTAAAAGCGTGAAGAGATAATTACCAATTGTGAATAGGCACGATCAGGGTCTGGACGATTTTGTCTTAACCAGTCTGGATCATCCAGTATTCCATTTGATAATATGTTTGATTTCCTGGGAAAGAGTGATCAGTGCAATAAGATCAGAAAATACAATATTCAATTAACATTTTTTCAAAAACAGAAAAAATATTCCATGTTTGGTTCCAATGTGTGATGTCTTTTTGAACTCGAAATGAAAGTTCTTGTACAGAAAAAGAAATATTGATCGAGCCAAGAGAAACAACACGAATCAGTGAGAATTTGTAATTGTGAAACAGATCTTTGCAATATGCAACACAGAAACACAAGGTATATTAATATACCAGTATTTTGTTTCTAATTTCACACAAAATAATTGACAAAAGATAGCAGACTACATCCATTCATTTGGTGTTTCTTAAGAGATTTCCATGTGTAACAACAATAATAATAGCATGTTCAATCCTTGGATCCCAGCCATTCCGTTTAATCTCCTTGTATTAATTACCATGGGATATCTCAGTAAATGTTACTTTCTCATATGAATTGTTCATTTGCTGCTACCAATGTATTGCAAAACAGTTATTTGGATTTCGAGTTTCGTTTTGTGGTTTGGATTGTTTGTGATTTTTTAATTAAACATACATAATGTCTATTAACCCTTCATAGATCAATACAATGCTTATTTTCTGATTGGTAAAAATGTAAAAATACTGAACCATTCACTTCAATTGATCAAGTAATTTTGAGGAAATATCCAAGGGTAGGAGAAATAAAGAGAAGGTACAGAGCCTAGTGTCAATGAGAATTTAAAGATTTAGTGTGTCAGAAGGTGTCAAAGGTCAGAAGTAACAATAATGAAGAGTGTACAGGCAAGGTAAAATTACCAGTATTCTCTGCTCTGTTGGTAGTTCAGCAAATCCGAGATCTATAGGTGGGATTTTTGTCTCTTCACTGGGGGCAAAATGATAAGAAAGTCTATCAAACCGTTGTAACAGTTTGTACATCACTCTATACAGTTTTTATTGAAATTTTCACCACAACTGGTGGTTCATTAGCTGCAGCAATGTTTTTTATGTTGTTTTGATTTTGTTTTGCTGTTCTGATCGTTAGTACTTGGTTCATTTATACTAAGATATTTAGCCAAAGAGAGGTTGGGCGATTAGACTCAAGAACCTAACAATAGTTGTTATCCTTTATTTCAATATATAACTTTTTAAATACACAGGCACATCTAAAGACATACTCTACTTACTTTGTCTCAGTCTGTAGAATATCTTTTAATCTTTTTTCATCCTGTTTTTAAAAAATGTTAGTAAATGAGAAAAATATAAAAAAATAACTAGCTTAGGTTAGTCTTAGAACTATTCTGTTGAACTAGAAGCAAACTAATGAAAGTGAACCTTCACCACAAAACCAGGCACAAGGCAAATTTGCCAAATACAAATACTGTCACCAGTTTTGTTGTGAAGGGTGGTGATATGAATATTTATGATAAAAAACATAAAGAAGCTTTAGAGATATGAATATACTGTTCCTAGCTGTAGCTGTGGGTATCATCAGAAGATATAACATTTAAGATATTCATAACGCACGTACCATTTATTTGTGCACCAGGAGAATTTTTCTTTAGCTCAATTGCTCAAACGCAGACTATGCCAGGTAATTTTACATCTAGCATGCAATTAGCATATTCACATATCTTAAACTTCTTAATATCTAACATCTCTAACAGACTACTATACACAAAGAAAATCTAAAAAGGCAGATTTCATCAGGAATGGTAAGAATGAAAACAAGTGTACCTAATTATTCATATATATAAGATCATGTAGGACCTTAAACCAAGCTAAGGTCAGCATGCAAAGAAAAAAAAAAAACGGATATCAAAGGGAAGATTTTTAACCAGTAAGCAGAATAAACCTATCACACAAGAGTAACCAGAAACTAATTGAATATAACAGACACACCATATAATAACGACAAGATATTCAACTACTTTCAACACAGCAAACAATGATTATAGACAGACATATTTCAATGACTAAAACACAAACATAGATAACAAAACATCATGCAAAAAACACTGATTGGACCAACGATTTTTAAGATCATTCCACCATTAAATATGCTGCTTAAATATTGAACAAGGCAGACACACTGCACAAAAAGAACTAAGACAAATATAAGAATAAAAATCCAGTATCTCTGATCACTGAAGGAAATAAAACTACTTATAATGCCAACGGTCCACTGCCATTCAAATTTCTGCAAATCAATAAACCATTAAATTAAAGCCATCCTTACCTCTAATCTGTGGAGAGCTGATTCACTGTTGTACGATTTCATTCCAGGACGAGTATAGTCTGGATCATTAAGTCTCCTAAAACATTCAGTCATTTGAAAATTATGATTTCTATGTAAAAATTAGGCAGAAATAGGTCAGTTGTCTGAAGAATGTACAGCTTGAAGTTCTGAGTAAAAACATGTTTCAGGTTCTGTTTTATAATCTCTAAGAATTGGGTTGATATATATGGTTTGGAATAATTTTGGATATGGGACTAATAAAATATAATCTCACCTATATTTCTGCTCTTCATTTCGTTTTTTCTCCAACATTTCTTCATAAGTCGGAGTTCCCCAGCCTTTTCTAGGTGCGCCTGGAGGTTCATTCTCACCTCTCTATAAATTTCAAAAAATTCATGTCTAACAGTAATTCAGAAATTTTATAAATACACTTCCTTTTACATAACTTATTCAAAGCAACCTTTGGGTTTATGAAGATATAGGTTTACATATTGATTCAGACCTAAAATGTCAGCTAAAATCATTGCCTTTAACAATTCAGCAATTCGTCAGGTATTAAAAAATAACATGGTACAATCCAAATATAATTGACATACAGTACTTTATGCCAGAGGAATAAATAAATAAATTTTAATAATTACAATGAATATAATACATACAAGACACAGATACAGGATAAAAATTGTGCAGAATAAAATGATGTACAGGTGACTATAAAAAGTGATGCATTTCAAAAAAAGACAGTGCAAAGCACTCACATAAGGTTTGGTACTGATTTTCCTCAGATTACTAGAACACCACAGAAGGTGTCTGAGAAGCCTACTTGACAGTATTTTAAAAGGCTACCATTGTCCATCAGTAGTTTATATGTTAAGTGCATAAGTTTAAAACATATAGGAACTATATAATAAGGTGTAAATATTTGTTCTTGAAACATTATCCCTCTATAATATTTCATATCTAAGGTTGTTAAAAACTACACTTCAAATACACTAGCTAGTTAATGGTATAAATCTAAGGTATATATTCTCTATATGGTATTATATTAATGGTTAGATATATTAACTAACACAAAACACTGGCAGTAAATATCTATATTAGATATCTTGGAAGTTAAATTCTTGTACTGAAACATTTTCATTCATATATTCATCATCATTATTTGCTTTATACTTTGTTTTTCCAGCTTGATAGAGTGCAACCCCGTCCTAGTGAGACAAAATTTAGTTTTCTGTTAGAATTTGCCAAATTGGTAATTTACTTCTATTAAGAGGAAGGAAAGAAAGAAACCGATCTAAAGGTGAACTCTAAATAATTGAGTTTTACCCCTGAGAAATAACACTCACAATGCAAACATTGTAATAAATGATTGAAAATATTTCAAAATGCAATTCTCATCTACAACTACAACTTACAAGAGACCTAGGTGAATCAATAAAAGGTTTAATTTTGTTATATTCTTTGTTTCGCTGAACTGCTTTCTCGCGCCTCTGATAATAAGAAAGGAAAGACAAAAAGTTAAAAAGTTAAAAAAGTCTGAAAGTATTGATTCCATGCAAAGGCAAAGAATTGCATAAAGATGATATTAAAAAAAAAAATTTTCTATTTCAAATTTATCTAAATAGTTGTTAGACTTATTAACCTGATTTTTTTTTATTTTGAAACTACTTTTCTGACTAAATATCCAAGTATGGTTAAATTTTGAAATGACTAAAATTACTAATTAAAAAATTGACAAATTTAATAACTTTACTACTGAGACAATCAACTTACCGTTGCACTACCATAATAGTTCATGCCAGGCAATGTGGCATAAATTTCGCAGTCTTTAGCATGCTGTTATAAAGAGTAAAATAAATTAAAACATTTCAAGTTACCAATATAGTATTAAGCAGATTTTCCAAATCAATAAAAGCGTATTCAAGCAATTTCGATATAAAAAATGAAGTGAAACAAGGAAATGTGAAAAGTTGTGCTTAAAATAAATCAAAGAACCATTCCAAAAGGAGGATGTAGACTAGAAATTGAAAGAAGAAAAATAGAAAGAAGGAAACCCTTACCAGCATTCTAGGATCTGCAAAATCATGATTCAACCACATTTTCTGTAATAACAATACCAGATATATTTCATTGGCTTTTTGGGTCAATGCCACATTTCATCTCATGCCACCTGAAAACCATTGGCTTTTAAGGGCCTCTGGCAGCTAAGTGACCATTTGCCTCACCTTAGAGAGACCACTTATTTTTGCCACCCACTGCCAACCCTCAAACAATTTTTAGATACGCCCATGGAAACAATCCATGTAATCATCTTGTACAAAATACATGAAAGTATTTTCAAAGGATTATTATGGGATTTCCTACATGGCTTCAGAACAAAGATTTAGACAAACCTCAGCTTGTAATCTCTTATACTCTTCATGTCGTTCATCTTTTAGTTTCTGTCTCTGTTTTTCATGAGAACCAAGTTTATTAAGGAATCCTCCTGGAGTTCCAGGTCTTGGCTGATCATTATTCCTGGTATTCTGGTTATTCTGAAAAATTTTCATTCATTGGAACTCATATATATATATCTACTTCAGAAAGTATCTTTAACACAATATGATTACAAATACAAACATGTAGAATAAAATTACTTTAGTCATTTTTTAACAGTGTCTTCTTACTTCTATAAGAAAAAGAAACCTTTATTTCAAGAAAATAACTGAATTAATCAATCCAGAATTCAGAAAAAATTTAATTAATAATTTTTTTTACAGAAAGTAAACAGATGAAAACCTCTCAGCTTATACATTTTAAAATGTTGAAATATCTTGTGACCCAAGATTACATGAATGAATCCAAATAGCAGAAGATGAATAGATATATTCACTCAACCATAACAAAATGGCAGAAAAAAACTTTGAGAAGGTAAAGGAAAGTGCTGAATTAACCAGATGGAACTTAAAAACTGTCCCATTTTCTGTGCTGCAACTGATTAAGGAAAAGAAAAACAAAAACACTCACACAAAATAATATGGGGATCATGCACAAAACAGAAATAAAGAAGCTGATTTAACAAAAAAGTTTTACATCATTCCATTATCAAGTTTGAGTTGCTGTTAAAGGCAACTTCAAATGCAATGGACATTGAGCACACAAAAAAGAAAGGCATTATTTTCTTTATTGGCAAATTTCAATTGATTGTCATTTCCCAGAGTGAATAGAGGATAGTTAATCATTTTTAATAATACACAAGACAAGGAGAAGATGGTGGTAAGTGGAGACGATGGTGGTAAGTGGAGAAGATGGTGGTAAATGAAGAAGATGGTGGTAAGTGGAGACGATGGAGGTAAGTGGAGAAGATGGTGGTAAATGAAGAAGATGGTGGTAAGTGGAGACGATAGAGGTAAGTGGAGAAGATGGAGGTAAATGAAGAAGATGGAGGTAAGTGGAGACGATGGAGGTAAGTGGAGAAGATGGAGGTAAGTGGAGAAGATGGTGGTAAATGAAGAAGATGGTGGTAAGTGGAGATGATGGAGGTAAGTGGAGAAGATGGTGGTAAGTGGAGAAGATGGTGATAAGTGGAGAAAATGGTGGTAAGTGGAGAAGATGGTGGTAAGTGGAGAAGAGGGAATGTGCACAAACCAAATTCTTCGTTGAGTTTTCAGAATGGTGGAAGGTCATTAATGAAAAAGGTTACAACAAACTTAATATCCATTAACCATAACAATCCAAATCAGTTAAAATCTTTGAAAAGAAACAGACTGGAACTAGTGATGTAAGAATTAATAAATTCTGAAGGTGATTGATTGTCCAGTGTTTGGTTGGAGATCTGTTTCAAATCTTATATAAAACAAATAACTGGAAATAGTTGGTGAAGGTGAACGTGACTCAGATGGTGAGTGAGGTGCAGTGTTGGTGAAAGAGGTAGGGTTCAAGATCTGTTTCAAACCTTTTTAAGATCATTATACTCTTGCTGACGTTGTTTTTGTAATGCTTTCTTCTTGTCCTCCCTATCAGATAGTAATGGTTTTTGTCCTTCTGAATTATTCCATTCTCGATTCTTATTTGGTTTACTCTACAGAGTTAAATATTGCCCATTATTCTCTCAATCAATCAGCTTTTGAGCATTGAAAATCACAAATCATATTCATGTTATATATAGGCAACTGTTGGATTCTAAGCATCATGGGCTTTTACCATTTAAATCAGTTCAAATTTTGACAAGAAAGGAACACGTGATGGTAGGAAATCAAATCAAAACAATCAGAGGTTTAATTTCTACTTTCATTTTTCAAAGCTAAGTAAGGAACCATACAGCACAAAAACAAAGGTTAAGTTCTGAAGGAAAGTATTCTGAAAATGGGAAAAGCAAGATAGGTACTCAAGGATGAATGACAAATATTGACCTCTAGAAGCTGCTTGTATTCATTCTTCCTTTCTTCTGCTAATTTTTTCTTTCTATCATTGCTGTCTTTGATCAGAAGATCTTCTTTACTTATCTCTCTCCATTCTTTACGATTTTTATCTCCTTTCTGTGAGAATTCAGTGAAAATGAGGATAAGATTTAAAGGAAAACTGTTATACATTGGTCAGAAAATCTGAGCTCAGTAAACAAATTGGTTTGGCACATTTCATATCTTGCAGTATAATTGCTAATATAATGCAAGAGCATGTATAATGTCACCACTTCTTACCAATATGATAAGAGGTTTTGTAAGAGCAAGGCCAAATAGGAGACTAGATGCAGCGACAATGAAGGTTTCATCAGTAAAAATATCAAAAATCAAAAAATGAATATGTTTAATTACTCATATGGTGAGTTATTTATTAATTTATTCATGAGAAGTGTTTTTTAAAAGAAATTAGGCAAACATAACAACACTTCAAATCTTTAAGTATTAATAAAGAATTTTAAAATATATAATAAGCTGTATTAAAGCTATTCAGTAGCCAAAGTTGTTAATAAAATTTCTGGAGTGAAACATTTGTGAACCAAGCTGAATGATCCATGCATGAATTCTGGAAAAAGTACGGAAAAATGCTCTGTTATAATTTTTAATGAAGGAAGTTGTATAGGTATTTGTAAAGTAAATATTCTGGTGAAAAAAATAGAATTATTAGTTAACCAAAGAATCAAAACAGTGAAAATTACAAGTTGCAGGAATATAAACATTATTGTGATGTGCAACTTCAAAATATAAGAACCTGCGATGACGGAGTTTGGTTGTCAACCTGTTGTCTAGATTGGCGTTTTGGTGGAGAATTGTTTTCTTCATCAGAGTTGTCTTTCCATGTGACTCTTCCTGTAGGTTTTTTCTGTTCATTAAGAATTGGCCATGAGAATGCAGAACTTATAGTACAAAGTAAAATTTTAAACCAATATTTTTAATACATAAGGCAATATTTTTGTTCTAATGAGATGGTTGATGATGTGTTTGTAGTTTACTTGTTAAAGTAAGGATGTATTTTGTGGCAAAGATATAAGTATAGTAGTGTTAAGCGGTAATTTATCGGCCATAAAGAATGAAAAAATTTATTCTACTTTCACTTCCAAAATCGTATTAAATGTATTAAGCAACTCCCCATATTAGCAAATTTTCCAGGAGGAGGCCCCCTGACTCACCAGACATGACTAGTGCTCTCTAAAATCCCAAATGGACATTGGAGCACTCTGATGACCCTTCTTGTCAAAGAAAACCTTGCTATGCTACTGTGTAAGAAATATATTGGATGTGTATATGATTCAGCCGACGGGATCTGTTCGGGGTTTGTAACTCCATGTATCCTTTGCTTCCCTGATTATTCCCCTTTACCAAGCTTAACAGTACAATCAATCTAGGACAGATAATGTTGAAAAGATCCTAGATTCGAAAGCTGTTATGACTGTATAAAATTAGCTTCTCGAGTGTACATTTATATCTGTTTTAATGCTAAATACAGACATGTCATAAGTCTTCGTAAGAACTGCCAGTGCGTTGCTGATCATTGATCAATTCTATTCCTGCACATCCTACGGCTGCTTTTCATTTCTGCGAAAGATTTAACCTTTTTTCACAATATTTATTAACGGTTAAATGAAAACAAAAACATCAACAAGCCTTAAAAAAAATATCTAATTCTACCCTTAATTAATAATAAATATGATAATTAGAGTTATATAATAAACTCATTTCAAAACAAAATAACTGGGAATTGAATTTGATAATGCACTTTTCTCAGAGCCAAATTTTTTTCCAGAAATTGAAGTCTTGAAACAAATTCTTTAAAATGTGGTTTATTCCAAACAGTTTCAGAACTTCAATGGAAATTTTTTAAGAAATTTATGAATTTAATGAGACCAAGACTTGTTATCTTGCCCAGTGCTTTTGTAATTAAATATAATACCAACATTATCCAAGCTTTATATTTCAATTGTCCAGAAATCTCTGAAATTATTTGTAATAAATAATTAAAATAAAAATGTATAAAAACCTTTAAATATTCGTTATATTCATTTTTCCTTTCCTCTTCCAATTTTTTACGTATTGTTTCTCGTTTATCGTCCAATAAAATCTCTTCTTTTGATGGTTCTCGCCAAGTTCGTACACCACCATTTTTCTATCAGAACAGAAACGAAAGTTTTTAAAATGTTTTGAGAAGTTTTCCACAATTCACCAAAGGCAGTCCACCGCATTCACAGAATTACGACGAATATTTATCACTGATCACAAAATGTTTTATATTTTTCACTTTTCACTGAATTTCACAAATCACAGAATTCAAGATTTCCAAATTTCCGATTGTGCACAAAAAGCACAAAATGTTTCAAAGACAAAGAGGCAGAAGTGCACAAAATGTTTTTAAACGAAAGATTTTCAAACACTTTTGCTTTCATTTAAGTTCATAAAATTTTGATAAAATAGGTAAAAGATTTTGATTAATCATTTTGATGATTCTAAATTAAAACATTTTGCGTGTGGACTGCCTCTTTGAATAGAAACAATGAAACATAGTTTGTCCAATATTCAGTCATCACATAGATGAAGTCCCACATTTGAAAGAAGCAAAATTAACTGCTGTTCAAGACTCAATTAGACTTCATTTTGCAACATGAGAAAAATGAAAAGTTACATTAGCAACTAAATCCCATTTCAAGAGTTTGTAGATCTTTTCAAGCTCCTCTAAACAATTCAATTTATAAATATTAAGACATTTTTAAGTATTTTTCCCCACTTTTATCATGTTTTTCTTGAAGATGATTCCAAGCTCAATTCTATGCTATTCTTAGCTCATCAAAAATGTTTTCTTACAGTCAAAAACTGAAAACAGACCGTTAGGAACTGAAGATTTAAGCTTGGAATTTCTCTCAAGAAATATCTTAAGAAAATCTATGAAAGTTTGCACTTGGTAAAGTTAGTAAGAAATATCTAAGGCAACTATAGTAGTTTTATATATTTTTTTTTCATTAATATATCACGTGCAAAGGGTTATATCTATATCAATATGATTTTTATTCAAACATAAACAATAAAAACAATAATTTCACTACAAAGAAACACAAAAAAGTCTGAAATCTTAAAATACTTCTGTTGTGACAACATTTTGTTACATTTTTCAACACTAAAATTAATAATACTAAAAAGAAAATCTCTATATCTATAATATCACAGCAATTCTATAAGTTAACAAACAAGTAAATATAATATATATATATATCATAACAACAATAAATATAAATAATATGTAAAATAAATCAAAAATTCAAATGTAATAAAGAATAAAATTGTGTAGTTGGACGGAATAGTTTTATCACAGTTGCAAATCTTTAGCAATAAATATCAAAACATTTTCTAATATCATTTAATCTTATATTTAATTTGATATATGTAATACACTAATAACATCTTACACTAACTAATTCAAATGACTATGTTTTGTTGTATACCTAAAAATCAACATTTCTTTGCTTTTAAAATTAAATAAGAATTGCCTCACTTCAATGAAACACACTGGCAGTGGCCCTGTGCAATATAGGTTCTGTAGAATGCTTTATAAAATACCACTTTTCTCTTATTCTACCTAATACATAATCAACCCAATCCTGAGTTTCAATTCAATGAAGTGAACAAGTGCCTCTTTCAATATTTTCCCACATATTAGATATTTTAGAACCAAAATACAATAATCATACTAATACATTGGCACAAAATCAAAAATACATAGCACATAACAGCACTACAAAAATATCAAATACTTTTTCACAACAGCACCTGAATTTAACCTTAAAACTCTATTAGCTTTTTATCAGCTTGCTGAAAAGTTAAATAATTTAACTTAAATTGCTTAGAACAAAGTTTGTTGTGGGTGTAAAATTTTAACAAATAATAACAATATGTCATAAATAATAAACAATATCAAAAAAATAAATCATTATTTTTATCATAAAAATCTATCAATACTGAGATTAGAGATTATCATATATGTAAATTCAGAATAGAAAAGAATGCCAATAAAAACCAAGGTATTTAAACAACAATTTCTTAGCCTTGATCAATTTGAAAATTTTTAAAACAACAAGTACTCCAAAAGGTTTGGCATTTAATCCTGATTAACCAAAATTTTGATCAAAATCCCCAAAATTTTCTGACATTTACAAAATATCTGAACCAGAAGAAAATTTCTTTGGTGCTTGTTGATATTTATCAGTGGTCTCAAAGAAATTATCATTTGTTGGTTCTCGCCAGGTTCTTCGTCGAGGAGTCTGTCCTCCTTTTACTTTAGCTTGGTATTCCTTTTCCTGGTTGTGAAATGTTTCACTGGTTGGGACTCGGGTAGAGTTGTTGTTCACTCGTCGTTGAGGGCCACCATATTTCAGAAAATCATCTGATGAATTTTCTCGATAAGGTTTGAGAATTGGTTTTGGGTTGTTTTTGATATTTTCATTGTATTCTCGTTTCATTTCCTCGTCAACAGGAGCTCGTTCTCGAGGTTGCTTCACTGATGGGTTGTTTCGTTGAATTCGATCAAAGTCAAAGAAATCATCTTTTGAAGGCTCTTTGTAGAGTTTTTTGGGTTTGCTAGAATTTTTGATCAAATTGTTATATTCTTCCTTACGTTCCATGTCAGGATGTTGATTTCGATAGCTTGGTTGTGATTGGACAGGAGATTGGTTGCTAGGTGCAGCTCTAGGTGAAGGACCAGATTTAATGAAATCATCTAGATCACCCTTTCCTTGAACTTTTGGTTTATCATATTTGTTACTCATGAATTCATCTGTCTCATTTTCATTATAGCGACGATTTCTGGGAGTTGATTTTGATTTCAACATTTCCTGATATTCTTGACGTCGCTCTTCATCAACTCTATGACCACCGACTGGCATCGGCTCAGCTTTCGGTTTATTCTGCATCTGAGAAGGGACATATCCATTTTGTTCAGCAGGAGTACGTCGAGAGCCTTTGGTAAATTCATTGAATTTATCAGCAGGTACACGACGTTGTTCAGGACGGTTACTACTAAAGAAATCTAAACTGGAATCCTCTTTCCACATGCGTCTGCCACTCCCTTGTGATTTCATGCCACCATTTTGTTGGTTTCTCATATTCTCTTTATTTTGTTGATTCTAAATGAAATGAAATGGAGTTTTACATCCTATCATTCTTTTTAACTCTCATGTATGAAATGTTTGATATCCTACTATTATGAAATGAAATGGAGTGATACTTTCAATAATTAAAAATTCTTGAGAAAATCTAACTACTTTGTAAGAAATAAAAAAATAAAAGGGTAGTGAATTAGAAGCAAGTAAGCCAAGTTTAAAATATGGTGCAATGAAATTAACAATAAAAGATGAAAGTTTATGACAAGAATCAACTCTGTAATAGGCTCACCAGAGTTTGATAAAGATTTTTATCAACATATGTTTATACAGGAAGGTTTGAACAATAGCACATAAATATATTGTTCTACCTACATCTGTTAGTTTTCACTTTTGGTTTTTTTTTAAATTACCAAGATAGGTCAAAAATAATGATGAATGAAAATTTGGTAAAGGTGCATGGAATTTTCCAAAAAAATAGCTTTACATTGTGTATAACATTATCTCCATATCATATCTTTGAGCTCTATAACAAGTTATATGTGCATATGTTGGTAGTTTTGGGACCTATTTATTTGCCAGTTAAAGATGCATTGGATCATATCTAAAAGTAACATTTGATTGTCTCATATTTCAAAGTTCATATTGAAAAAATATGTAATAGCTGGCAAATGCTAGCTGACATTAGATTATTTTTGATAGAGGAAAACAAACAGAAAGCGAGGGTGTTCTATGAGAATTACTGAATACAATATGATGGATAAGGGGCAAGGGATTATTTTCAAACTGACTATATATATTTATCACTTTAAGTTCAATAAACTCTATCTGAGCACGGCAAAAATGTGAAAGGAACAGAACTTGTACATTGCATCTGTTCAAACTAATAAATCTAGAAAATTGTCAGCTATGTAGACTTTAAACTCTCAAAGATGTTTTAGAATTTTGTGCAACTCAAATAAGTTTTTGAACCTGAACGAGAATTCAAATAATTAAATGAAATTATAAATAATATTCAAACAATAAGCTTATTACTACAGCACAGTTCATGGAGTTTCCTGTTTTTTTATTGTCTGGAAAAAATATGCAAGCCGACATCATCTCAAATTCTGATCAATTACTGATATTGAAACTAATCTGAATGAAATTCTCTTTGAAACAGTAACGATTATTTACTGAAAACTCCAAAAACTGTCATAAATCAAGGGTTATGGGTCATATGGTACAAAGCATATATATATACATCAATAATTAGGGTTCAAAGGTTACATGTCCATGGTTACAGGTCAAGGTCACACAACAATATTTTGTACCTGGGGGGATGTGATAACTGCAGGTTTAGGCGTTTTAGGTTTTTTCAAACTTTCAAGATAGTTCCCTTCACCAAATATCCCCCACCCTTGTTGATCTTCCTGGTCAAACAGTCTTCTTGGTGAACTTTGTTTCTATGGTAACAAGGTGGGTGAGAGGTACAAATAAAAATACAGCTAACTAATGTTGTGATTTTAACTAATATTGGCACAGTAAGGGTTAACAGTTATAAAGGTGCCCTCACACAATAGTGATTACCAGTTGTGTATGGTTGCGAATAATGAAACTGACCATAGTTCTGAACACAACTCACAACTCAAGAGAGATATGTTCAAAACTTATTTGTATTCGCACCCATAGGCAACTGGTCATTGCTATGGTGTGAGGGCCACTTTAAGCTCAGTTAAAATTTCAGTTCCATCATAGGCCTGCAGTCTCCACTCTGTACATAAGTCATACCCTCAAGTATCTATCTAGATTAGGTCACTCAAAGTTGACATTAAATTTGTTTAGAGTTTTCCACAAAAGACAGATCCATTCAAACCTTTTCTATGCCAATATCAGATAAATTCTGTAAAACTAAAAATTTAACATACTATCATACTGCAGGAAAATTGCAAAAAAAAAAGCAACAAAAAATGTAAATTGTGTGATAGTGTTCAATGATAAATAATAATAACTAAATACTTATAAAACTGATCTTAATGATTTAATAATTAATAATACTTTAGAGACTATATCTTTCAAAGACCAATAAAAATTGTATATCATTTCTTGTAATATTAGTAGTGAATCTAAGTAACTCTAGGTGTATACCTGGTATACAGCGTGATTATAGTAGAAAAAATACTGCTACGTTATAGAAGGTCTATAGATTGCTGAAATTGAGTTTCATTAGCTGTCTTAAATTATAACCATATCTGTTTAACATTACTGGTCCACTAGTAGAAATACCTAAAAAATATATCCCCACCCTTACTTCCCACCCTTCCAAAACATGAAAGGCTTCACCCTATGCCAATGAAATTAATCCTTACCTGTGCCATCATATCCTGATAGTCTTGTTGTCGCTCTCTACGTAATTTATCAGCTCTTTCTTTTGATAAATTATCTGGTATCAGTAAACGTTCAGGACTTTCTCTGGCAGACTGGAATATATAAATTCAACATTTCAATTTTTGCATATATAAAATATATTTATTATATATACTTATTTTCACCTTCAGTTTTTATCCAGCCGAGGCCCAGTTAGGCAATATTTTGTCTTGTTTGTAACACAATAAATTACTAGATGAAGCTAAAACAAAATATTATTATATATACATTTCAACAGAATTGAGTATGAAAACATAAACTTGACTATCCATAGATTGGTTTTTATTGCTTTCAATAAGAACGGTAATGATTTCAACTGAATATTAAAAAAAACAACCGGGATCAAAAACTTATAGAATGTCATATCTACACAAATAAATATCTTTGTTAAAATAACTTCATTGAAGATATATGATAAAATAATTCTGTTACAGAGTCCAGATTAGATTAATAATGATAAATATTCCAAATATTAGAATATTATACAAAATTATCTACAATTAGCACAGCGTTGCTAGTCTAAAAGCAAAGTTGAAAATCCAGTTTTACAAAATTTCTTTCTGTGCCGTGAGAAGTTCTTTATTAAACTATGAACATTTTTTCTCATATAGCAATCAAATACCTTGAACTAACTAGCAAAATGTTAAGGCTGACTAAATTAAATTATTACATAACTATAAAAATATAACTTTAAGAAAAAACCTGCAAAACAAAAGACAAAATACTATTTTGCTACAGATATGAAAGCAATTTGTTCCACAAATACTTTTATTTTTAATTCAGCATCATGAAATTATACACATAAACAAAATTTATAGAGTTATTATTCTTAAAATAGATATGAACAAAATAAAACTAAATTTCATAAAGTCTGATATATTATATTCCAATAAAATCTGCTACTACCAGCCAAAGTTGAGCTTATTCCAATTAAAAATGATATAATGTTAAGTTAAATGTATTAGTGTTGTGTTATTACTGGTACCAAAACAAGCGTGTTCTGATGATGGCTGTATCTAGCTGTTAGCTGGTAAAGCATCTATCTACCTAAATTTCAAAACTTTTCTAGGTGAAATACCTGGCGAAGTTCTTCAGCATCAATAGGATCATATAAAGGAGGATCAACATGGGGACTTGGACTGCGATTTTTCTCTAACAGTCTCTGAGTTTGAATGTCAACTTCACAATCATCTTGAGGAAGCAAATCTCGTTCCAGTTCTCTTATTGTTTGATCACGTTCTAATTTATGACGCAATTCTTGTTGACGTCTTTCGATACTATTCAAGGCTGCTAATTGTTTTTTCTGCCACTAAATTAATAAGATGAATATATAAAATAAAATTCAAATAAATCAAAATTAAATCAAACTTAAGAAATTGACAATAAAATTTTCTTTCATTAACTAAAACAGAAAATCTGTAAAATACAACAGTAATCCTTGTAAATATTTACAAACTTCAAACTCGCGATACATGAAGCATTTTGCTACACAAATTCTATTTATGTGTTTTTTAATTCATAATCACAAATATCTGACTGAGAATTTTACAATATTATCTTATATTCACTGTATCTTATGTTACAGAATTAAAACAAGTACCTGTTCATAATCATATTGGTTCCTAAATGTATATTTAGATTGTGAGTTATTATATTCTGTATAAGTTTTAATATTTCTATAATCAGCTGGGGGCCTTCTCATGTCATCAAACTTCTCGGCAGATTTTCTTGGACTTCCTTGAACTCTCATCTGTCTTTTAAACGCATCCTGTCTAGCCTGAGAGCAAAAATTCTATTTCAAAAAATAATCAAGATGGCTTGACAAACTAAAATCTTAAAAAACAACTTTTTTAACAATGATATAACTTTATTATTCTTTTCATGATGTAATTGAAACTCGATTGTTTGCGGCAACTAATCTATTTAGATCGAAATCTGTATACCTTTCCATAGTCTAGTCTCTGTTTATTTCCAGATCTGTTTCTGTTTATTTGTTCTTTCTCTCGCAGTTGCTAAAAATTTATAAAATCTCCAAATATTAGTTTTTGATTTCTGTTTTGATTAATATTTTCATTTAATTGACTGTAGTTATTTAAGAAATCAATAAGTGTATCTAAAGTACATTTGGATTATAATGCCCTGCAAATTGAACCTTTTAAGGAGATCATATTGTTAGTTATCAAGACTCAATTTTTAACGCCTCACCGACCAGTCCTTAACTCAAATATAATTTCAAGTAAATCTTTATGGCAAAATAATTTCCATTAATTGGATGTTATTATTTCAGATATCAGTAAGTTTTCTCCAACAGAATTGGTCTATAACCTCCAGCAAATTTAAACTCTTAAAGGAAATAATATTGCTTTTCAGCTTCATCAACCAGTCCATTACTCAAATACAAAATATATGTTATAATGACAACATTTCTTTAATCAATAAATAAATCAATTGTTAGTATCTATTCTATATCTCCTAGCTAGAATCAAATACCTTTTCTAAATCAGCGCGATATCGACGTTTTATTTCTGGAGCTTGTTTTCTACGCTGTATCTCATATTGACCAATCGGAAGACTTGCTGCTTTGGGAGTCTCGGTCTCAACCGGATAATATTCATCAGATGAATCCAACTAAATTGATACAAAATAAATATGATTGTTGTTTTTTGTTCCAAGGTCAAATTTGAAACTTGTCTTTGAGACATTATGCTCTTGGCTTCTTTCAAAATTAAAACCATCATCATCTCACAAGATATATATACACCATAAAATCATAATTAAGATTGTATATTTGAAAATATATATTCTAACACAATTTAATTTTATACTGTAATTAAAGACCAATCATTAAATCATCGGGTTTACTTATTATTTTAAACACATCTCTATATTCATTCCATTAGAATCTAATAAATTTAAAGGATTGAAAAACAATGGAAGAAAAAATAAGACTAAAAGAAGTTTTTTTTAAGAAATCTAAGGGGCAGTTGCCCAAGCTTTTACGTCACAGCAGCAAAGTTCTTATAGTCTATTAAATACAGGCCACGTATTCTCAAAACAATCTTAGTGCTAGGATGTCCTAGAATCAATGTTAGAAGATAAGACCCTAGGACATCCTAGCGCTAAGATCGTTTTGAGAATACGTGGCCTGTATTATAAGTTCAAATAATAGCTTATATAGGCATATAAAAGGCAGTGTTTTGTCAAATGTTATTGCAGGCTCCTTTTAAGGAATCAACACCAATGCATTTCAAGAGATTCTTGAAGAATCAATTTTCATTGGATACAACATCAAAGAATTCATGTCTTCACAGATTTAGCAAAATACTTTGGAGAAAATTGTATATTAAACAACATATGGTGCAAATAAAAATAAATGATTTCACAGAAGAACAATTTAATCAGCCATGATAAAAAAAAAAAAAATTGAGAATTTCCAATATGAAAACTGTTTGCAACTTACATTTATAAGGCCTTACAATTCCTGAAGTTAAATCACTTTCTGTTTTAAACAGACAATAAACGACAACGAGGTAGGAATCCTGATTAACAAGTCACGTAACTAACAAACAACTGACAAACAACTCTTCATCACAGATCAATAGAGGAGTCTACTATAATCTAGTCTACATAGTCTTGATTATCATTATCAATTATTTAGACATTACCTATATTGGTATTTAAAAATCAATAATAGTTTAGTGGAGAATTGGTTGAGGATGGTAATGATCTACCTTAGGTATTGATGATGATAAAAGATCCTTCAAGGTCACTTAAAATTATTATTGAATTACATGGTTGCTTTTTGTCAAACGTTAATGTTCTACAGTCAAATTAAAGATCCATTTTCCTAGACATTTGATTTTTCTCTGCTAAATTTCATTTAATTACAGAATTAAAAAAATCTCTTCTTAATTTGTTGACATTTCGGGATATAAAAGCTTGGCCAGGCCCAAAGATGTGGATATGAGATTAATATTAGACCTTAGTTAGTGAACTCATTGAACAACAGAAGTCAACAGTAGAGGAATCATGGTCAATTTTCAATTACAAAGTTTCATTATAAAATATAATCATACATAGAAAGGGGAATCAACTGTTCCTGTATAATGATTTCAATATCATTTCTATTGTACCTAATCTCTGATTTACTGTACTGTATAATATACTACAATTATAGATATTTCTATTGTTCAGAACTATATAGTATTTGTCTGATTATACTCTAACAATAGTTCTTCAATATAACACTGGTATTGTCATAAACAACAAATTAACTACATACAATATACATATACATATCAATATTCTTAATTTTCAGATAATTTGCTGTGGTAATTTCTGGAAACAGTTTCTGACATGGAAGGGGAACCACCCATCTGTGAATCATGAAAGGTATAGTCAAGATACTGTTACTGTCCTCAAATATGGTAATTTGTCATATTGTCATTTTTTTTATCTAATATAATTATTACTCATATACCATCAGTATCACCATAGCAACATAAACAATGATGTTGACATGTATTTATTAGATTGTTTAATGTGTTTCCAAGCAACCAATAGATCTGTATTAATTTTATCAATAATTAAAACAGGTTAATTAATCAATAGATGAATTTAGGAAAGATGTTAGTGAACATTAGATTTTAAATGGTTTTTGTCATGCACATTATGAATCAATGACAGCTGCATGCAAACTCTCTCAGAGTTGTACCAAGTGTATTTTTTTTTAACATGGATACTAGTGTAGAAATCTCTCAAGTTGGCTAGCAACAGGTCTAACATGGCAAGAAAAGAAATCATAATTTAGATCTAACAGATGAAAAACTAATCTATATCTTTAAACCTAAACTAAGAGTACCTCAAGCCTCAATCTTAAGTCAACATTCTGAGGCATTTCATCAGAATATTTTAACTGTGGATCATAGAATTTCCTCTCTTGAGGTCTGGGTTCATAAGGAACACGTCTGGTTTCTGGGAGTGGAGTTTTTCTCCCTGGAAATTTTCTGGGTTTTCTCTGAAAATTTAAATTCATTCAACACACATGAAGAAAAGAAAATGACTTAGATACTGTACAAACTTTATTCTAAAGGAATACTACATCTTAGAATGAACATAAAATTAAATCCTTAAACTTGGCCAAAAAGAGTGTATATTCATCATTGGACTTACTTAGACTAGTTTTAGAAGTTTAATTTTATGAGCATTCTAAGAGGTAGTGTCTCTTTAAACAACATAACATCAAGAAGCTATGTCATCAAGGGGCTGTTCAAGTAGGAAGACATTCAAATTCAATGTTTGTAGTTTAAAATATACTTAAAAATATTGAAATCAGTGGAAAATAGTAATCAATATTCAGATTTCTGAGATTCTATTATACTTTTGTGTTACCAACGCATGTTTAACTGTGTCATAAAGTCCCATGGAAAACAACATCAGCAAATGGCAAAAACACTTAAAATTAGGAGAAAAACAACAAACAAACATGCAGTGAAAACAACAACCATGCAGTGAAGGGTGTAAAAACTAAATGTGCTACCTTTTCCCTATTTAAATATTCATTATAATCATTCCTTCTCTCTGTATTTAATATCTCCTTTGTTCTATCATTGGGGTTCCCAACCTGGATACTTTTCTGAGTTGGTGTCAAATTTCGTGGTTTTCTACGATTGTTTGTGTGACTCTAGAGAGAAAATAGATATTGACATAACTTTTACTCTTAGAATAGGATAGAAGTTATCTCTCTCACAATATAGACCCATGACCAATTCTGCTCATTAGACACTACACAGAGTTTCCTGTCCAAGGTATCTCAAAAGGATGCAGATAATTGGAATGTCCTAACTCCATTTTATTTCAGCTTTAGTCTGACATAACTGGCTGAAACTCAAGAGTCTTGCGCATTCTGTAGATTGATGAACTTATTGATGAGAAATCACTTCAGAGATTCATTAAGAAATGTCGTGCATACCTTTAAATAAGCATTGTACTCTAGTTTCCTCTGTTCTGATAATTGTTTACGTTGTTTAATCACTTGTCTATTATCGACTGGATAACCCTGTCTAGCTGGGGTCTCGGGACGCCGAAGGTCGGCTCGTGTATCAGGCTACAAAACAACATGGTGCTCAAACAACTAATAACAGTGCAAGGTGCTTGACAACATAACATGCAGTAACTGTGCTATGAATTCTAGGTCTACTTTGAAATGTATCACAACCACAAGATAATAATTCTAATTTTTTCAAACTAAAACAAGGTCTCTCTTTTGTAATTATTACCATTATTACTCTATGTTTTTAACTTGATAAGCTGACTTTACCAATTTGAATTTTGAATCCTAAATTCATTCATATGATAACAGATTCGTTACATTGCTTTAGAAATCCGGAAAAAAAAAGAGCTACTAGACACAAAAAACATGAAATATAAATCACAGAAAACAGGAATATCTCACCTCTTTTTTGTCATAAAAATCAATATTTTCTTTATCAGGTTCAGCCCATCTTCTCCGGGTTGTTCTCTGATATTCTACCTCAGCCTAATGATAAAAAATACAGTTTTTACCTTTTTACAATAGCATTGAATTATTAGACTTAACAGTCTGAGAAATAAAGTCAGACAAATAACAAACATTTAAATACCTGAATTTCTGACATTGGGCATTGAAATTCAGAAAGTTAAGACTTTTGAAGTGTATGTTATGTATTCAAATAGAATCTCATAGGATTATTTCTTATGATATTTCAAACATTTCAGTAAGCTTAAATAAGATTCTCCAAAAATACAACTAGTTATGGATACTTGAAGATAAACTGAGACAAAGCTGTATTAATTGTTGGACATCCGACATTGCATATTTTCCTAAGCATTTATTTTCTATTCAAGGATAAGGAGTCCTAAAAATCTGTAAGGAGTGTGATCAAAGTACAATATTGTTTCTATTTATGGAAATAACAGCACGTTATTTAAGAGTCTATAAACTTACATCCATTTCTCGTTTTTCTAAAGCTAGTCTATTTTTCTGTTCTCTGATGAATTGATCAATGTCAGAATCAGCCAGTTTTTCTGTCATCTTTTATTTCTATAAAAAATAAAAAGGGTACTGATCATTTTCTAAAGATTGATATTCAGTTTATAAGCTTTAATATTATTTCAAAATATGACTGACACTTAACAGGGGAGTATTTTTAGTTCAAATTAAGAGTCATTTACACTAGAAACATCTAGGACGAAAAAATATTTAATTTTGACGGTAAAAACATCAACACTTTCTGTGAACCTGAACAACTTTCTAAGACAAATGCATGCAATTAAAAATCTCATTTGAAATTTTGAATGACAGAAAAAATTCTCAGCTCATTTTTGTTGATGAATTGACAATCAAAATTTACTTATTTAGATCTACTACAATGTCCTTTCAAAACTATTTGTGTTAACATTTTTTTCTCTATGTTCTAGGTCTTCTATATTTTGTAAATTTTCAATACATTCAGATGTGGCCAATTCAATGTTATTGTAATAAACAAAGTGTATATGAGGTCTCTAAAGCAAATAGTTTCAATGCAACTGTATGGTCATAATACTTAAGTTTTACAAAGGCAATATCTACTGTGGGAGGATGAAGCAAAACTACGGTACTTGTCTATTTCAATATTTCAAATGTTTTATTCATCATCATTGATTGATCGATTATATTCTCACCTACAGAATCGTCCTCTTCAAAACAAATCAGACGACAATTTTACATCAATAATCAACAAGTTGAAACAAGTTTTAAACTTCGTACACCCGCCATTGGCTTCTCAACTTGATTGCATCGTTATTGATTTTTCAATAGCAACCACTGTACACAAACATAAACAAACTTTCAATCGACTGATTTCTGAGGGGAAGTCTAAAACACAGGTCGATTTTTGGATAGAGAGTTCTTTATTCAGTCTTCATTAATTTTTGATGCATTTGTATTATTTTAATTATAGTATCTTTGACATTTTGTAAAAGAAATCTTACAAACAAAAAAATGTTTTCATAACAAACTTTGACAAATTCCGGTTGAGCGCGCGCAAATAAAGACGTAAACAGTTATCTTCTCTTTAAACTGGACTCACTCCACTAAAACATTTTATGCAAATGATTGTATAGGAATGTAGTCCAGGCTATTTTAGAATGTAGTCCAGGCTATTTTTAGAAATCTTCTTTCTCTCTCCCTTTTGGGGTTTTTGCCTGCCTATTTTTGGGTAAAATTTGGTCTAGATTTGGAATTTGATGTCTGAAATTGCATTATCTTTCAGATTTGGTGAGATGATGAGAGACTTAAAGGCGGAAGGCTAATTCTAAAAATAGTCGTTTTGTGAAGTGCCAAACTCTAGCGGATGAGTATAACCGGTAGTAGTCTACTTTCAATTTTAGTAGCTCAAAATTTTCATGGTCATCATATAATGAATTTTTTAGGAGACATTGAGAATTGGTCAGGCTTTCATTCGACATATTGGAAAGCTTTCAACGAGATTTCTGGAAAAAGTTATAGAAGGTTGAATTTCGTGTTTTAACATGGGAAGAGATGGCAAATGAATTAGTGGAGTGAGTCCAACTCGATTGTCAAGTCATTTTAAAGTAAAAATGGATTTATCTCCCTTAGACCAATACTGTGGCTATATTGCCTCTTATCTTGATTTAAGTCATCATAGATTTTGACATAGTGTAGGCCTATTTATTATTTTGATGAGCCATATAGGGGTGTCACCTCGCAATTACTCTGCAAATGCATGCGGACATCTACACTATGGGTGAAATTTGGCCGAGTCTACTCTCCTCTACTTAAGAGGAATCTCTTGATCAAAGTTTGCATTCTGACACTTTATTTTTGTCTTGATCTCACTTGCAAACAAACTAAACTGTGAATTTACATAGAATTGAGGAAGTGAGCTCCAGGATCAAAATAATTATGGACACTAAATTCGTCAATATTTTTCAAAAGGCCGAATAGACTTAAGGGATGGTTCATTGGCGTCTCCACTGCCCCTTGCCCTTACCGCTTATTTCCTGAACAAGGTGATAAAAGTGAACTTTATTTAAATAAAAACTTACAATAGTACAACAAAACCTATGTATTTTTATCATAATATTATCATACTCCGATCCAGTTCCTATAATGACGAAAATCAACAAAATGACAAATTCAAAAATAAACGCTGAAAACAACTGTCCAGTAATTAAAGCGACCTACGAAAAGTTACAAGAATTTGCCCATCAAAATGCCTCAGAATCCAAATTAATAATTTTATCAAGTAACCCTACCATTAAAATCCACGAAGCGAAAATGTAATCATCTAAAAATAACCATTGTAAAATCATCTAAGAAGGGTAATTAAAACGTTCATGAAAACAAATTATATCAAACAAACAAACAACGTGTTTTTTCTACATCATTTTGTGGAAATGTGAATCAAATTTGCCGAATTTGCTCTGATTGGTCGAACGCTCCTTGCTGTTGGTTGTGAAACAGCGTCGTCCGATTGGTCACCACGGAATGAAGAAACGGAGGTCAACGATTCGCTCGATGCGCTACTGTAACCAGATAAATCGTCCGTGCTTCCACTTGGGTTACTATTGTTGTTGACGTTGTAGAACTGATGAACGAGACGAGGTTGGTTTGGGTAACCCGGAAATTGCCAAGCTATCAAAGGAGGTCCATATCTCTGCGGTAAAACTGTTCTTGGGCGAGGTTCTGGAAATCCAAAATTCAAATGTCGAGACACAGGGGGGTGTGGGCATGGCCATTGTGGAACTATAGTGTTTCCTCTTACGATTGGAGGACGATGTGACAGCTGATGATGAAGATGTTGCGGAGGGAAGGATGTTTGTGGCTGTTGGGAGTTTTGATTAAATATGCCCACATTTGGTTGAGTTGGTATCATTTGATGCTTTACGGATTGCGGACTCTGGTTGGAATGAAGAGTCGGTCCACGTGTAGCTAAAGGTGATGTCTGCTGTTGGCGATTCAGAGCCGCCTGGGCAGCTACTTGTCTGCGAATCTGTTTGTTTCTCAATTGTATCAGATATGCTTGTTTGGCGTCGTTTGTTGCAAGTAATGGTGCCAAAATTTCTGGTGACTGCAGAAGTTTCTTTATGGCCTCTTTATTCGGTGTCTGACATTTTACCTGAAATTTCAAGATTCATAAATCATGGTTATAGAAGTACAAGACACAACAACAAAACTTGTCATCACCCTTGAGCAAGGATAGCAATTGATTTCAAACACACAGCAACAACCTCTTAATTCTAAATTTATAGAGATTGTAACCATCATTTTCAAGTTAAGTTCAAATGGTCTCATAAATAACATCAATCAATGTTATATTAGCACCTATCTATATTTCTCATTTAAAAGCCATTCAAACTCATTATAACTTAAATCGGAAATGATATTCATCTTCCATTGCCGTATTATCCCACAAACTGTAGATAATCTGCAAAAAATGTACTTACAGGACTTGATTCGGGTTCAAATTTTATCTTTGTTGGTGTTGTTAATTTCGGAACTTCCGGATTCTGAAGACGTGCAGGAACAAAAGGTTCGCTAGCTGCGTTCAGCTGTGAAGAAGTCTGGTGGGGTTCTGATGAGCTGTCTAGAAGCGATGAGTTTTGAGAGTTAGTATTTGGAGACGAACACTGCGAACTGAAGCTGGAATTCTGCAGAGCCTGACGTTTTACTGGAGACATGCTTTTGGATCTTGAGAAATAACAGGTTTCAGGCTTTAAATCAGTTGGTTGAATCAATCTTTCAGTCGAGTAGCCAGTCTGAGTTTTGAATAGTTGTCGCTTTGGAGTCTGACTTGACTGTTCAACATCTGAATCTAAACCTGTTGCTCGTGATGGATTCCTCTCGGACATTGTGTTTTGCACCCATCTCATCTCTTGCTTCTTTTCCGACTTCTTTGCCCCAAAATTGTCTTCAAACCAGCCATATTGTTTTAGTGTGTTGAAGAATTTTGATTCCTTTGAAGATGCGTCATTTTTCGGCTGGAAATTTGTCTGAAATCTTTGCTGTTCTTGACTCACATGGTTTCCAGTGCGATTGTAGTCTCCATATTGGAAGTTTCCAGGTTCTTTCATTCCACTCCGATCTGATGTCGGGTAAAATTCTTTGCTCCCGTAAACTATGTTACTCTTTTGAGGCAGCCCATCGGAAAAAGAAAACTGATTCGCATTGAACTCTTGTTGACGACCGCTCGCAAAATTAGATCTTGAGGAACCTCTTGGTGATTGTTGAGGAGATTTGCGATGCGAATAGCAGGATTCAACTTTGTTTAAAGCAGACTCACTCCTCATGGAACGAGCTCGGTCGTTGCCAGTTCTGGTAGATGTTAAAACAGGTATAAATTTCCCTTCCTCTGTGAACACTCGTGTATCTGATAATGCTTTAGACGTGTTTCTGCCTATCATCTGGTTTTCGATGCTCTCGCAAGTCATTTGACTGGAAATGAAGATTATAATTAGTGAGAAAGTGTAGTAATCAGCCCTGTTATTTTCGCACAGCTTGGTCCAAAAAGTCCAAAACAAACTGATAGGTAAAACACTTGATAACTATTTGAAGGGCCGTTAATTTGCATTTCGTTGGTTAGAAGCCATATATACTTTTAGTCTGTAGCTTTGAGAGTGCCGTTGGACCTATTCAAGCTCTTAAAATCTAAATGAATATAGTTTCTTACCTGTTTCTTACCCGTTGATTTTCTTCGTTAAAGCTGGGAGTGTGTCGTGGTAGAACCTTGACATTCCCATTTATTATTTCTAAATCGAACTTCAGACCAACTTCTGAAATATTGTTTTGGCGACCATCGTGGATGTGCGATTGGTGTGGAAGGGTTCTTTCTCGCTGCCGCTCATTCTCCCAAGCTGCTTTCCACAAATGTTTAGAAGGAGTGGAATGAAGTGGTTCGGCATTTTGAGCTTCAACTGAGAGCCTTTCTGCTTCATGGCATCGTGAAGGAGTTCGTCTAACATCAGGCACAACCGGAAGTGGACTTGGTGTCATCTGAAATTTCGCCAAGCTCTCACCAGCAACATCATCTCCAAGCGTAACCTTCTGATCATCAGTGCAGGAAATGTCTTGAGTATCTTTCCAAATATTTTTGACAGCAGCAGAGTTGAGGTTCTTGGCGATTTTGCGCTCATCTTCAGTCTCCCAGCACGTTTTCAGGTCAAAAAATTTCGGCGGTGGTGCTGAAAGCTTTGGCGGTTGACAAGCTAGAATCCTATCTTTGTATTTCTTCTGTATCTTTTTGCTCCCCCACAATTTGATTAGATATTGGCGGTATTTGTTGTAGTATTCGTCTGCTAGGTCGGACACGTCCTCTACATCGATACAATGGTTGTGTTGAGCTGTTATATCTCGCTCTAAATCGTCCAGAACAATTCCTTGATTCTCGAATAATCCGTTGAAAGTCCTGTAAAATTCAAATCCGTTTGAGTATAAAGAATATAGCATTAAAATTGGGAGTCGGAATTGGAATATTACAAGAATTGTCTTTCTATATACATATAACTCTGTGGTTAAGCGTTTTTAATCTGCCATATCAACTACCTGGAAGCGGATATTAACTAGCGATCGACCGTTCTAAAAGTATAATATTATTCATTATAATGGCCTTTTAGAGACTACTTTTTGCTATCACCTTGTATCAGTTGCAGACTGGCACAAATTAATTCCCAAAATATAAAATAGACTTACAGTCTAGGATCAAATGCATTGTTATAAGTGACATTAACCTCTCCAAACTGTCGGCCAACAGTTCTTACATCATCCCAATAAGCATTTTCAATCTGAAATGAAGTGAAATACAGATGTGCACTCTTTAATACAACTTTGAAGTTTATTAAGGTAAGGGTAAGGAATCGGTGTGTATTCGAGGAGGTTTTTTGATGATACACTTGTATATCACTTGAACTGAATATGAAATGGGTGGCAATGGGTAGGTCTATCAGGGAAAGTAATTCTGGTCCTTCAGTACAGCAGGTATGGATTGAGCGACATCGGGTATCAGAGAGGGCACATATATAATCAGTCACCTCAAACTGAAACTGAAAGTACATGTTACGTGTATTTAGGAGAGTGGCCCAATTTTGAAGAGATTGCGAAAACTAAAATGAAAGTGGACCAATGATGAGGCTTTCAGAGTAAGCCTTTATGGGTCCGAGAGAAGATAAAGAAGGCCACAGAAGAAATACCAATGTTAATAAGCGTCTATAATCACTTTTTAATTTTAAGGATTTATTGAAAATATTACCTGGTTTACATCCGTGTATGAAAAGTTATCATGTCCATTAATATAACCATCCTTGTTTTTAAATCTGAAATATATTAGATCTATAAATTAGGCCTATTGAGAATGCTTTTTAGGGCCATTTGGCAATAAATAAAAATAACATGCAAGATTAGGGTAAAGCTCTAAAAGCCAATCCAGCAGCTGTAGCAAGATAGCATATACAACACTTTTATTTTGATAAAGCAAGTTACTTTATACTTACATCTCTCCATCAAAAATACTTTCAATCGGCTCTACTTGGTTTGAAACTGGTTGGTTTTCTAAGGTCACTATGTATTGGAGATCAGATAAAATTTCAGCAGTAGGGGTTGAAATAAACCTGTGACTTAATAAACTCTCTCTTCTAGATATATTTGCAAAAACATCTTTAAATTCGCTATCGTAGTCAAAAGCATTCCAAACGTCGTCCGAAATAAGCTTGAGATTGTCTAAACTTCCGTGCAAATAATTACAGTTCTCCATTCTTCTTGCTTTTCAATTTGGTCTCTTTTCATCCCGACTTCCCAGCAGAAATTTCAATATTGCGGCATCAAACTGTTGAAATTCGCAATCATCCCATTCTCAGGTCCATCGAAATATCCAAGCGGATATTTTATGGAATCATAACAAGCGTCTCGCCATCGCAACATTGCTAATGTAGTTCACTTAACGTCATTTTCAACATGACGTCATTTTCAATCACAAAGTTTCGATTATCGATGGTTATTATTATTATTCAAACATATTGAGAAAAATATTTCAGGTTACAACATAGGGTCTTCATGTAACAGAGATGTCAGTGTGCCGTTTTCGTTTCCTTAACGAATAAAAAGGCCCACATTGAATATTTCTTAGATTTACTACGAACGTCACCATGATGAAGTTAAAGTTGGCCCAAGGGACGTAACCTATTTCTTTTATTAAGAATAACCTACATACAACAAATAACTTTCAAAATTTTTTGTTATATAAAATTTGTTGTCTTTCGGCAAAAGATAAATCTTTCTTATTTAAATCATTAAAATTATTATGCATTTTACAATAATTATATCAGCAGTCAATCCTTTATGTCTCGTCAATTTTGCTTTTCCTATGACCTAGTTTCCTCATTCACATATCAGGCAATTGATTGAATCGGGTTCGATTACAAGCAAGTTTAAACTTGAAATACTTGTTCACACTATTTGTTCAATGTCGGTGGTCAATCAATATGGATTAAAGAAAAGATTATTATCAAATGTAGGTCAAGTATGGATTAAATTATATGATATTCTCACTTTTGAGTAATTATTAAAGATAACGTTATAGTTTTAATTATCTTGGAGCATTTCCTTGGCATGGGAGATAAATGTGTAAATTTAAACTCCTCACGAATATTTAAGCACAGTTCTGTTTTAATTTATAGGATTTCACAATTTGAAGGTTGATATAGAGTGTCGACATAAATTACTATTATCGCCTATAAAACCCTTTTCAAATGAAAATCTTGACAATGATACAAAATCAAATGTCATACAAAAACAGGGCAGGTTCTTAAGACTTAATGCGAGCTATTGAACAATTTGTATCTTGCAGATAATGGCACTATTATGGGGCAGCTAAAGTCCTTTAAAAATGGCAGAATTCCTCAAAGAGCAGAAACTATTCACAAAGTCACAAATAGAATCACACGTGGGTCTCGATGATGTAGCCACAGCTGATGAACTTCTAAAAGGGAAAGTCACAGCTCTTCTGTTCTCGGCATCATGGTGCCCACCTTGTCTCAAGTTCCTGGCACTTTTAAAAAAGTTCTATAATGAATTAAAAGACTCTGAGTGTGCTATTGAAGTTGTGTTTGTAAGTTTGGATCATAATAAAGAATCTATGGAAGATTATTTTATCAATAACCATGGTGATTGGTTTGCTCTACCATTTGACGAGTCTTTAAAAGAGTAAGTGCTCCCCCCCCCCCCCCC